AGAAACGCGTCTCTAAAGGCTAGAAGGAAGCCTTCCTTGTTAATATAGAAGACGTGTTAGCGTGCTAAGTCCTAGATGTGTTGGGAGTACTTGCGCTTCAACAGCAAGAAACAGACCACGTTAAGTAGCTAGAGGATGTGTAACAAGTAAGCTAGCATACAGAGAGTAAGGATCTTGTTATCTAGGCAATAGTTCTTAAAATCCTAGTTAAGATGGCTCTTATAGCCGTCTAAGATAAGTAGCCTGTATCCCCCTATCTAACGCGCTCTTGTATGCGCGTTAAAGTGCTTTAACCACTTAAGGCTAAGCGCGTTGTTTGTCTAGCTGTTCTTAGAGACAGAGAGCTTCTAATTGTGTGGTATATCTGTCTCCTTGTACCAGGCAGAGATGTGGATGCGTCCTTTGTAGATGATGAAAGGCGGGGTCGCATATCTAGCAGCGCAGATGCTCTGTATAACTGTAACCCACTCCTAATTGCCTGGCTGAACAAGCTCAGGTTGAGCGCGTCTCTCAGCGCCTGTGACAACCTTCATTAACCCTATCACGCCTATCTAGAACCTAGTCTTATTAAAGTTGTGCATGTTATTGTTGTAGATGCTATACTTAGCCTTAGTACCCTCTACTAGCATAAACTACGTGTTAATTACCTTAGGATCTTCCTATAGTATCCTCTGTCTGTCCTTTGCTTAGTTAAACGCTATCTTAAGCTAATCTAAACGTGTTACAAATCTTATAGCCTAGAGTTTACTAACAGGCTCCCTACTACACACACCTAATAGTTTATTAGCTATATCTGCCACCTAGGCTGGCGGAATGGGTATACTCCAACGTCCTTCGTGGGTACCCCCCAAAACTTTGTCAATAATACATGGATTCTAGCGAAATAGGGCTTAAAAGAAAGAGAAAAACTACCTCTACATTTCTGTAGTAGAGGGTTTTGTTATAACTATTAAACTGCACAAGCTAGAGGCTAGAAAAGGTCAAAAAAGGGGGGGTACCTAGCGAGCATACCCATTGATAGGTATACTTTGCTAGGTAGTGTTGATAACTCAGCTAATACTAGGCAGAATGAGCTAATTCTTTTTTTATTAGAAGGCGCAATACTAGGCGCTTCTATCGAATAATAGATTATGTAAGCATATCTCTGCTAGTTAAGAAGCTATAAGCCAAAACGTAAAAAAGCATACCCTACCCATCCGCCAGCCTACCAGTGCCACCTTACACAGCTAAGGCACAAATCCTCACAAATTAAGGTTAAGGATATATTAGACAATTGTCTGCTCTTTAGTTGTAGTAAGCTTCTAGCAGTTTGCGCGTACGTTGAGTCAAAATAGAGTATTGCTAGCGCGTTTAGAGAGCCTGCGTTGGTTAACGTTGAATGCAGCAGCAGCAGCCTGATGGCTCTGAAACTGTCCAGTATTGTAGGCCTAGAGAGCAAGCTGCAGTCTCCCTTTGTGTTAAAGCAATAGGTCGTAATGTTGTTAAGACATACTGTGAAGTGTGGAGTTGTGTTAGTCTTGGCAGATTTTGACTAGTTTGGTGATATGACCAGCTTGGTGATAGAGTACGTTACGCATAACTAGATGATTTTAATTCTCAACTAGTTAACTAATTAATTAGAGTAAGTCCTAAAAGGTAACTTAACTGCAAACTAGACTGGCAGATGGGTAAGGTAGGGTTGGGTAGGGTATAATCATGTGATTCGTAGGTATAGGTAGGGTAGGGTACCTAAGTATACCCTACCTATCTAATTTAGGTAGGGTAACACGTGCACAATGCAGATGTAATAACACGCTGTAGAGCATCCTGTAGTTGTCAACAAGCTTCGATCCAACCTCACCTGGGCACTCAATACCACTCAAAGTACACCACAACTGAGTAGCAAACCTCCGACCATGCTACACTTGACAGCTGTCTCTATTTCGTTATTGTGGAGTCACGTGCACGCAGCTACAATCACCCCTTGTGGGGGGCTAGGTATACGATCAGATATGATTCGCGCATTGTCGACAACCTAACATTCTTGTTGTCAGCTACAACAAGTGGCCGCCACAAGGCAGTCAAAATCCTGATGATAAGTTGAATCTCCTTAACAACAACAGCACTTGGCGCAAAAACAGGCACAAAAACGGGCACCAGATTATGAACAAAAAGACATTGAAAGGCAACTTATGTTCATACAACATTCCTGCCTAGAAGAAAAGAGTGTTCAAACAATCCGTTGGGAATGCGACATATACCGGTAGCAGAGACGGATTCAATTGCTTTGAGGATGACGAACACGAAGTCTGGGTCAGCGAAACAGGGGCACAATGCGCAGTGTATGTTTACTGCACCCGCCGGGAGGGCGCCTTGTACAATATTCAGACCTCGGAAGAAGTCATCAGGATAAATAAGATACACGACCATATTGGCCCAGACAGCGACTTTCCCCTCATTTCTGCGCACGACATCCTCTCTAAGCTGAACGATAGGAAGATTGGCACTATGTGCGACTGTAGCTTGATAGCTCTTGACGTTGACGAGACTTGTAACATCAATTTCAACTTTCATAGCGCTGATTCAAGCGGCAAAAATCTGGACGTTCTTACCAACTTGCTCATTGACCAGCTCGCGAGCCGAGCGGAACTAGTGCAGTGGTCTGAATGAGAGGACACCCACCCTGATAGTCCATTTGGGATGCGTGTGCTGACACGGCATGCCGAATTCAAGATTTTACGCTATTAAGGTCGGCAAACCTCTAACATGTCTGTGCCAGGGAGCCCTAACCAGCCTAGTCTTCAAGCCTTTGTTGATGCGAGCATTGATTGCAAGGTTAAGGAAAGCCATAATCTTCTGTGCACGGCTCTCGGGCTTATCATGGATGCAGCTACTTTGGTACCAGGCAATGAATTAGCGGGTGGAGTTTCTGGTCTCATGCTTGAGGGAGCAGGTACCAAATTCTCAAACTAGTCACTGCCCGTGACTGGGTCTGTGCTATCCTAGCATGTACGAAGGAGCTAGTATTTGACTAGACAGGAGCATTAAAGTTGTTCTGTTTGCGTAGCTTGAAGTAGTAGGGAGCGGTTTAAGGTTAGATCTTGATTTCATTTGACGGCCCGTTCACTCCAAGGATAACTCCACGGACATTTGTTTATTGAGGTTGGCGGTACATGAATTAGTAGAACCCTGCCTACTGGTGTATAGTAACTTAAAGCACAGGGAGAGACGAAAGTTGGTGTGACGAGCTCTAATTGAACTCTTAGAAGGCGGCAATGCCTCTAAAATGTTGGACACCGAACTCCATCGTAAACCTAGATTCTTACACAAGAGATTCGAAAGTAAGAGCATTTGCGTAAACATTATGGCCAGTTTCGCGCGAACATACAATGATTGCATGTATTCTAAAGCCACTATCCCTCGACTCTGGTGTGCGTGGCATCGGCACTACCCGCTGCATAGCTCTTTGAAACATGCGCTCTATCCGAGGAGTCTTCAGGACCGAGTACTAGGGGTAATTAGTATCCATATCTGGATGATGCTGCTGAGACCGCTGCTCTTCCCGTGCCCGTTGACATGCGGCGCCGTCGAAAAGTGGAAGTAAAAATACAATGACATACTGAGACCATGTACCCTACTCGACCTGTGGTGTATAGTTCGCTCGGATACCTTGGCTGGACCCTCTAGAATTCTCTGTACGAGGTGGCCAGTTCAGTTCCCAGGACTGTGGCTCCATCGGTGCTTTTGAATCCCGGAGCAGCTACTTACAATTTGCCTATCATCCTCTTTCTATAGAGAACAGATAGGTATGTTGGAGGTACATGTAGCGTAGCTTGTAATCTCGCCACGTTTTAAGCCCTCGATATATTCCTTTGCTCGCCACAGTCAACAGTACTAAGATGTTTGCACATATCATCTCTCTGACACGATCAAGGGGTCTCGATTTGCACAAGACGTGGCGGCGTACATATCCGCAGCTGGCGCGAGTCCAACATGAACGGAACTCCATTTGAATGCAGTTTCCATGCGGTACCGAGCATCACCCCACTCGACTCATACGATAGAAAATGGGGCAAGAGAGATTCTGTGGGAAGGATCCAATGTCTAATGCGCGTGGTTGACGAGCTGAAATTGGCCGTACTTGTGTTATATCATTCTGACTGGGGCTTTTTTTTGGAGCAACTTGTTCATCCTCGCTAATGCACTATCAATCGGTCGATATCACCAGGCAAATTCGCCGTAGTGGAGCCTTAAGCCGGGCACAAAACATGATCGAGGAGATGCTGTCGGAATGTGTCGTGACAAATATGAGCTGAGCCACTTGTACTTGTCCAAGCACTAGCTGCTGTCAGACGAGAATAATGACTCGTTATAGGTTCATCTTGCTCTCGCATAAGCTGGAGCATCATATACACATCGTTCGGCTTGCAGTGGCGCAGAATTGCAAAAGAAGGAATGAAAAGCAATGTGAAACAGTTGTACCATCTGCTAAGGTGCTCTACCCCAGGCAAGGCTCTTCTGTCACATACAGTTCGGGATCATTCAGTGAGCAAATTGGATAGGCTGGGTCTAGTGAGAGTATGGCTTAGGTGGCCTGATCGCAGCGTTACAGCAGTTCGTATGCTTTCACTCACGCATCTAGGCCAATCCACAAGTGGCAAGTGTACCTATGTAATACACCGGCAAAATCCTGCTCCACTCTCGAACAAAAGATCACCGGCGCACCTACCTATTGTGATCCACGTCTCGTTAGACTCGCCGGCATACCTGGTTAGCATACATGAGGTCCAATTTGATCATTGAGATGACTCCTGCGAAAGTATTGCTGACACTGCTCTATGAGGTCCGAATACCCTTGTCACACATGGTACGTGCTTTGGACCGGTCCAGGCGCGCATTCAAAAGCTTGATCTTCCAAGGTTGCTGGCAGTGTGTCGAACATCACCTCAGATCGGACTCCACCGGTGAACTAGGTAACCTCATGATTCCCACACAAAGCTCTTTTGCAGTCGTAGTGACTGCCGATTGACTTTAATCTTGACCTCTGTCTGACGCCTAAACAACATGCTAGCCCAGTTCCTGCTGGCCAGGGGTTGGTGGCACTTGGCAGGTAGAAAACCAGCTATGTCTTCTACATTAGACAGCCGGGCCATAAATCTCTGCTCGTTCAACCTCAATATACGCTGGAAAATCACCTGCTCTTCTATATCTGTCATGTTCATTAAATCAGGGTGCAATCGCCTTGTGGTAAGGTTTCAGAAAGTTGCGTGCTTTCACCACGCCTCACTCACAGTATTTTAAGAAAGCGGAGATTACGTCTGAATACGGCATTATTCTGCACTATTGGTGCTGGAGAGGAACGTTTGCTTCTGTCAAACTTTAACAGGAAAGATCTTGATTGCATGTATCTGTGCTGAACATCTACCTCCCTGCTTGGTCCCAAGATCCAAGCCCAATGGACTCATCTGCTGGTCCAGCAAGGTCCCTTCTTAGCCTTCAAGCAGTCTTGGATAGGGGAGCAAAGAGAAAGACGAGACGTAGCGCTGACTTGATTTTTTCGCAGAGAGGTGATGGGTTTTGGCAGTCCTCGGTGAAATTACAGTCTGAGAGAGCGTGGTCTGGCAGAGCATGGTCTGAGAGAGAACGGACCTGCGTTGGCCACATTACACAAAAGCAACGGTCCAGAACAGCCGAATCTGAGCAGAAGATCCATAGCAGAGGATCAAAGTATGCGCTGCGGAGTAGAGAGACCTAGACTAATTTGGTCAAAAGCGCCTCTGGCCAATGTGATCAAGGCCAATACTGTAGCTCTAAGAGAACTTGTGTCCTGTTACACTGCAGAGAAGAGCATGTTCTGTAAGGCAGTAGCGGAGAAGTGCACTGAGGAATGCTAGGTGCGCTGACACATCTGATCATCACAGAGAGCGTAAAGAGACGTAAAGTCAACCGCTGTATTTAATACTCTTAAGCCCGACCGGCAGCGCATTGCAAAACACCTATCATTTCAAGCATCCATTTACCCGCTATGAAGACATTCCATATTGTGGCAGGCATTCTGGTCTCTGCCCTCTCAGTTCAGGCCGAGACCGATTGTCAGGTAGGGGCAAACTACTGCGGATGGTACCTTTCTGACCATCTGGGTAAGAAACACTGAACTCATGACTGTGTCCCTTTTTTGACATTCTTCTTAAACAATGTAGGATGGTCCACAACGCCGATGAAGAATGACATACAGAGTATCTTCCACGTGTCCGTGGACGATCAGCATGCCAAAAACTACATGTACCACTGCAACGCTGTACGGCAGGCAAGCCCAACTACATCCTGTAGCGGGAATTGTCAGGGTCCAATCGCACATTGCGTGAGGGCGGCTGTAAGTCAATCCACCATCCTTGCCTAGCAAGCTGTTCGTGCAGTCTTCAGATAGCTAACGAGTTTACAGCCAGTAAGTAGTTCTGCTGTCCTTTGCTAACAAGCTGGTTGCATAGTCTTTTGATGACTAACTTTTTCACAGACGGTGAGTGGTTCTGCCGTCCCTTGTCTAGTGAGCTGATCGCACAGACTGCAAATGACTGACCTTTTTACAGGTGTCCTCCGCCTAGCGAGCTGATCGCACAGGCCACTTGGCTTCTAACAGCCAGGAATACAATAAAATTCCAGACGTATCCACCTGGAAATAGCGATGGATTGTGAGAGTCCTGTTTGTTGTATGGAGTTCCTATGGGTTTAAGCTCAGGCCGAACTGGACAGGTGTCTGTCATTACAGAAACAAAGCTCAAAAACTCCAGGTTAACAAAATACATGCTTCTGCATCATTTCCAAAAGACACAGTGTGAGAGCGCAGGACCCGTGACCATCTTTTATGCTTCCTCCAGCAATGCATCTTCTTCAGCTAAAAACATTGAAAAAGCGTGGTGCATAGACAGCATAACACCTTTGACGCAGCGCGAAGCGGACAATGCGCCCAGCTGGGACTAGTCTGTTGTTGATGGTCCTGCCACTGCCACTCTTCTGCAGATGGAGGCAGAGGAGAAAGCTAAACTTCTGCGCGACGAGCAAGAATCGCTGTCTCTAACCAACAAACTCGAGCACGACAAGACAGACTGGCTGCGTGGCTGTGGCTGACCGCGCTAGTTCGCCCACAAACCGCTCTACGTAATCATTGCGACTTCGAGGTTGCCGCCCTCTGGCAGTGTCACCAACAATGGAATAACCCTGTTCTGGTCAGGCCTAAGAAACAAGGAAATGTAGGTAGCCAAGGAGTCACACTCTTCGTGGAACATCTCCTGAAGAGTGAAGAAGCGTGAACTATGAAGGACCTTGATTTGTTCTTGCAACGAACCACTGGAGCAGCAAGCACAAGTGCAGGCTGGTCCAACAGAAGCACGAACCGGAGTACAGCCGCATGCACCGCACCGACGCAAGACGCGACGCTGCGGGATGCTCCCAGGGGACTCGTTGGAGCGTCCGAAGACCGAGTGGCTGATGCGCGTGTTGCGGCCTACAGGTGCGCACTCGACGTCGCCCTCTGCACGAAGAGGCCGCCGCGAGTGCAGCGAGGATGTAAAGTGTCGAGGCGAGGGAAGGTCGCAGAGAGGCGGGAGAGAAATTCAAGTAGTACGCCAAGACAAGGCGCGCTAGGTAGCGTCCGTAAGCTTGGGGAAATCGCGAGCTGCAGCAACCACGGTCGCCAGACTCGCGCTGCCGACGCCTGGCCATTTCCGACCCCTTGACGACACTGCGCGCCGCCTAACGCCAGTCCTGCCCAGCCGCGACGATGACGAAGAAGCGCAAGAGATACCCAGACCTCAACCAGAAGCTCGAGCGGCCATGGTGCTTCTACTGCGAGCGCGACTTTGACGACCTGAAGATTCTCATTTCACACCAAAAGGCGAAGCACTTCAAGTGCGATCGCTGCGGGCGGCGGCTAAACACGGCTGGAGGTCTCTCGGTGCACATGAACCAGGTGCACAAGGAGAACCTCACGCACGTCGAGAACGCCATCGGCGGGCGGCAAGGGCTGGACATTGAGATCTTCGGCATGGAGGGCGTGCCCGCCGAAGTCCTCGACCAGCACAACCAGCACGTCACCCAGAAGCACTTTGCCGAGGAGGCCGAGCGCGCGCGCGTCACGGGCAACCCGGTGCGCGGCCAGTACGCGAACGGCCAGGCGCCGCCGCACAAGCGCAAGAAGGTCAACGAGACGCTGGAGGACATTGAGGAGCGCGCAAACAAGTTCCGACACGACCGCCAGAACGGCATCCTTCCCGCGCCGCCCGTCGACGCCGCGCCGCCGAATCCCGTGAGCCTGCCCGCCCGGCTGGAGAGGCCGGGGAACATGGCTGACAAGCACCAGACACCGCCAGCAGCCGCTCCCTACGGCGCACCGCCCATCGCCTTTGCTGGCGCCCCAGCGTACCCGCCTCAACCCGCGCAGTCCTTCCCCATCAACGGCGCCATGCCGCCGCGGCCAGGCAGCATCCCCGGGCAGGCGACCGCCCTGCCGCCACGACCAGGCTTCGGCGCGTCGCCCACACCGGCCCAGACGGGCGCGATACACGCGTCGGTGGACGACCTCATCGGGTCCGTTGCGGGCGAGGCGCCGGACAAGAAGGAGGAGAAGAAGAGCAAGAAGAGCACGAACATCAAGCTCATCTTCTTCGACGAGAGCATCAGTCCCGAGGAGAAGATGGCGCGGCTGCCGCGGTTCGCCGAGTTTGCAAGGGCGTAGCACTGGGTGGACTGGGGGATTGGAAACAACGTGCGTGATTGCGAAATGGCTTGGAGGCCGCATCTGCGGGCGAAAGCGAGACCTGTCACGGTGCAGACACATTCCAGGCGTTTACCAGCCTTGGCGCGCGATCCAGCTGAGGATGCACCTGGGCCAGCGATGCTCACACGGCCAACGCCGCCGCCGCCGTTCGAGGTGGACTGACAGGCATGCAACACGGGTAGATCAGCAAAGCAACGTAGTGGCAGAGACGGCAATAGAAAGTACTGTGCATTCGCTCCTGCGCCGGTATTACATGCAATGATCAACATGGTATCTCAATCAGACTCGCTCAGACTCGCTCAGACCAGCTCAGACCAGCTCAGACTCGCTCAGACCAGCTCAGACTCGCTCAGACTAGCTCAGACTCGCTCAGACTCGCTCACACTCGACCAGACCAGCTCACACTCGACCAGACCAGCTCACACTCGACCAGACCAGCTCACACTCGACCAGACTCGACCAGACTCGCTCAGCTCTTACATGTCAGCTGACACTCACCCCAAGCCTCCGTTCAATGCGTCCAGTGCCTTTGCTGCTCACTGCCCCTCGAAATCCAAATCCAAATCCCCACCCTCCAACTCCTCGCCCTCGGCCTCCTCGTCCTCGTCGTACTCCTCGCTCTGCTCATCGTCGCTGCTGCGCTCGCTGTCGCTGCTGCGCTCGCTCTCCCGCGCCCACTCGTCGCGCTCGGTAAAGGCCAGGCTCTCGCCGAGATCGAGCCCGCGCGTCTTCTCCAGCAGCGCATCGGCCGTCACGTCGACCGCCTCGTCGTGTCCGTAGCCGTAGCCGTCGCCCTGATGCTGGGGCATGGGCTCCACGTGCGTGAGGCTGTCGTCCACGCCTCTCTCGTCCTGCGCGAAGAGCACGCTCTTGCCGCCCTCTCGCGTGCCCGGCCGGTCCTCGCCATGCGCGCTGCTCTGCGCGCGCCGCGAGGGTTCCAGCACGTCCCCGCTCCACGGCGCGCACTCGAGCACCGTCGCGCCGCACCGGAGACACACCCACCCCTCCCCTTCTTCGTTGGCGATGCGCTGCGCGATGCACGCGAAGCAGTACACGCACCCGCAGTCGGCCGCGTACGGGTTGGTCGTGTCCGTGGCCGCGGATCCGACGACGCCGCCGGCGGACGCGGTCACCTCCGACGCCGACGCCGAGGATGTCGGGTTCTGGTCGAGGTGGCAGATGGCGCATGTGCGTTCTGGGAGGAAGCCCAGCGCGCCTGCTTGCCTGCTCTCGTCGGCGTCTCCGCCGTCGGAAGAGGAGCTGGGGTGGCGCCCGAGGAGCGAGAGGAACGCGCTGCGCAGACGGCGCAGCGAGCGCGAGAGGATACGCCGCCAGCGCGAGATGCCCACGAGCGGGAGCAGGAAGAGCAGGAACTCGGTGAAGGCGTGCCAGACGAGCTGCCGGTTGAGATACTCAAAGGAGACCTCGCGGCTCGTGCTGTGGCTTGTCGGCGTGAGCCTCAGTCGTAGCAGCCGGTCGGTGAGCGTCCGGTAGCGCCCGTTGACGAGGAACACGAGGAACGAGGCGAGCGAGGCCGTGTCGTGCAGGTTCGCGGCCTGCTCGGTCACGCGCGAGAGGAACGCCAGGTTGGGGTTCGGCGCGAGCGTGTAGTCGTCCGAGGCGCCGAGCAGGTGGGCCTCCCACTTGCTCCAGGCGTAGCGGCCGCCGATGGTGATGGCGCCGTATGCCGCTTTCTGCCAGGGCTTCGGGGGCGGCCGGTTCGGAGCCGACGAGCGCGCGTCCGTGTAGCGCAGACCCTGGAGGAGGGCGCCGTAGCTCGCGTTGTTGTTCCAGATGCTGAGCTTGAACAGCACCGCGCGCAGTGCCAGCAGGATCTCGGCCGAGTATGTGTCGGTCACGTGCGTCCCGAAGTACTTCAGCGCCTCGCCTACTTGGCCCTTTAGCAGCTCGAGCAGCTCGTCGTCGAGCAGCTCGGCGTCGACCTGGCCGACGCGGAACTCGGGACGCGTGCCTCCGCGCCCTTTGACCGCGTCCCAGGCGCTTAGCCCTGCGGTGCTGAGCCGGCTGAAGGGAAAGGGCAGCCGCGTGAAGGCGCGCGCCGCGGGCTGTGGAGATTCATGGCTGCGGGCGGCGGCGGCTCGTTGGGCGCGGCGCAGGGCGATGCGTTCCTGGGCGGCGGCGAAGTCGGCAGCGGGCATTGGGGCGTGTTCGAGGTTACTGTGGCATTGCTGGGTGCAGTCGAGTGACGGCGCGGCGTATATATGGAGTGCAGGGTGATGGGGTGATATGTTGTAATGCGCGGAGCCGAGGTTCCAGTTTGGGCTTTGGTGCTCGAGGTAGGTGCTGGCGGGCTCTCGGGTATACTTGCCTTGTTTGTGAGCCAGGGTCTGCCCGGGGCGCATGTCGAAGTGGACAAACTTCAGACGAAGAGCGCTTTCTTGACAACGCCAAACAGACACCGACAGCCTGAGTTTGCACTTCAGCCTGGGTGAGCAGGCTCTTTCGACAGGATACTGCAGCAGAAGATACAAATCTTCACAGCTTCTCAGTCTTCTGACCAGCCATTCGACTGCCCCGCGAATCCACAACTTTCCACCAACACTGACGCGCCGACATGAACGTCGAGTTTGGCATAGAAGTGCCGGGAGAGGCCAACCCGCTCACCGATGGTATGCTCTACCATGTCCTCTGCTCGGCCTCGTCGTCGGACATGCAGCAGGTCCAGACCGGGACAAAGCAGCTGCAAGAGTGGGAAAAGGCGCGGGGCTACTACCCACTGCTGCAGACCGTCTTCCTCGACAAGTCGCTGCCGCTGGAGGTGCGCTACCTCGCCATCATCCAGCTCAAGAATGGCATCGACAAGTACTGGCGCAAGACGGCGACCAATGCTGTGACAAAAGAAGACAAGGTAGCCATTCGCGCGCGTTTGCTCGAGACGGCGGTGAACGAGGCAGACCAGCGATTGGCCCTGCAGAACGCGCTGGTCGTTGCAAAGATTGTCAGATTCGAGTTCCCGAATGAGTGGTACGCGTCTGGAGGGCTTTCCCCAGCACCAGCTAACAAGAACAGGCCAGAGCTGTTCCAGCAGCTGCTCCAGACCCTCCGCGGCTCGACCGACCCGAATGCACACCGCTCACAACTTCCCCGCGCTCTGCTCGTCCTGCTGTATATCGTGAAGGAGCTCTCAACCGGCCGCCTGCTGCGCACGCGCCAGAGCCTGCAGACTGTGGCGCCCGACATCTTCAACGTCCTAGGCGCAATCTACGTGAACAAGGTACAGACATGGCAGTCCTTCTTCCGCGATGGCGGTGAGGACGAAGGCGGGGTGATGGAGAGCATCGAGCACAGCCTCATTGCCATCAAGATCATCCGCCGCCTGCTCATTGCGGGCTATGAGTTTCCAGGTAGGGAAAAAGACGTGCAAGACTTTTGGACATTGACACGCACACAACTTGGCGAGTTCTTCCAATATGTTTGCACTGAGAATTCGCCGCTCGGCCAGAGCGTAGAGAAGCTGATCGAGAAGCACTTGATGCAGCTGTCCAAGCTTCACCTGAACATGGCCCTCACTCACCCTGCCAGCTTTGTACTGCTACCAAACTCAATTGCTCTTGCGCGGGACTATTGGGGTCTAATTGCACGGCTTGGAGAGACCTGGGGGTCCAAGTCACTAGACGGCGCAAAGATTGGCACAGATGGCGATGCGGAAGACGATGCACCTATCAATGAGCGACTCGGTCTGAAAGGCCTTTTGCTGGTACGCGCATGCGTGAAGATGGTGTTCTATCCTACTCAGACCTTCAAGTACAAGCAACAACAGGAGAAGGACGAGCGCACCCACGCAGTGCAAGCGGTGAAGCAGGAGCTCCTCACAGATGACCTTGTGCGTGAGATGATCTCGACACTCGTCACACGCTTCTTTGTATTTCGACCGAGCGATCTCCGAATGTGGGAAGAAGAGCCCGACGAGTGGGAGAAGATGGAAGAGGGCGCTGAAGATTGGGAGTTCGCCATTCGTCCCTGCGCCGAGAAGCTGTTCCTAGATCTCGCAAAGAATTTCAAAGATTTGATCGTCCAGCCGCTGCTCCAAGTATTCTACTCAGTTGCCAGTGAGTCTCACTGCAGCCCTCACTTACCTGCCGGACTGACGAGAATAGCGCCGGAGAACGAGGACATTCTCTTCAAAGACTCCGTATACACAGCGATTGGGCTTGCTGCCGACGTCCTCCACGATCAGCTCGACTTTGACGCCTTCCTCGAGAACACTCTCGTCCCTGAAGCCGGCAAGCAGAAGCAGGGCTTCAACCTTATTCGGCGCCGAATCGCCATCATCATCTCGCAGTGGATTGCTATCAAGATTGCGCAGGAGAAGAAGCCTATTGTGTACCAGATCTTTCAGCATCTCCTCGACACAAGTGACCCGCTTAATGACCAAGTTGTTCGGGTTACCGCAGGTCGCCGTTTCAAGGATATCGCCGATGAGTGGGAGTTCCACGCTGACAACTTCTTGCCATATGCGCCCACGACCTTGGACAGATTAATGGCACTCGTGCAAGAGGTCGACCTCCCCGACACCAAGATGGCGCTTCTCAACACCATCAGCATCATTGTCGAACGACTCGAGCACCATGTGAGTACATATCCTCCCCGCAATGATCCCTCTCTGACCGCGGCAGATCACACCGTACGCCAACAGTATCGTCTCACTGCTCCCACCCCTCTGGTCGCAATCCGGCGAAGAGCACTTGATGAAGCAAGCCATCCTGACCCTCCTCGCGCGCCTCACAAACGCGATGAAAGCCGAGTCACGCAGCTTCCACGTTTCCTTCCTCCCCATCATCCAGAGCGCCATCGAGCCCGAGTCAGAAACACAAGTCTACCTCCTCGAAGACGCGCTTGACCTCTGGGCGTCAATCGTCGCACAAACACCCTCCGCGCCCGAGCCCGCGCCCCAAGAACTCCTCAACTTGCTGCAGTACCTCCTGCCACTATACTCCATGGACAACGAGACGCTCCGCAAAGCCATCGAAATCACAGAGGCCTACTTGCTCCTCGCGCCCGCCGCGGTGCTGGCCGACTCGTTCCGGAAACCGCTGCTCGCCGCGCTCGCCGATCTGCTCGGCACGCTACGACCCGAGGCCAACGGCATACTCACGCACCTCGTGCAATGCGTGATCCGGGGCGCGGAGGGCGTGGGCGGCGAAGCCGCCGTGCAAGTGCTGACCCAGGATCTCGTCTCCACGGGGTTTTTCGCAAAGGTGCTCGAGGGTCTGCATGGCGCGTGGACACACCATCAAGCTCACGGACCGTATCGCGAACTCCCTTCCAGGGCTGTGGATGGCGTGGTGGAGACGGATTTCTTCACCGTCTTGGCGCGAATCGGGCTTGCAAGTCCGAGCGTGTTGCTCGAGGCGCTGGCGAGTCTCAGCTCCGAGGGGCTAGAGAAACAGCTCGACTGGTTGCTGGAGGAATGGTTTAGTCATGTTGAGAACATCGGCGATGCGCCGGGGAAAAAACTCATGACCCTCGTGTTGACGCGGTTGCTGGAGACGGGGCAGTCTTGGGCGCTGGGAAGACTGCAGAGTTTCATGAGCTTGTGGACAGATGTCCTGGCTGAGCTGCTCGACGGGATGGATGATCGGAGTGTCGAGTATGTTCACCCTCCTTTCCTGTCAAGTTCACGTTCGTGTGCTAATTGTCGCAGCTGCCTCTACTGGCCCCCGGAGCCGTATAATCCGACGGAGCCTGAAGCTCCGGAGGATGTCAGGAAGAGAGATTTGTTATACTCGGATCCGGTGCATCAGATTAATCTGGTGGCATTTGTCAGGGAGCATGTTCAGCAGGCCGTGCAGGCAGCGGGAGGAGAGCAGAGGTTTCAGGAGGAGTGGCTGGCCAGGGTGGATAAGGATGTGCTAAAGGGATTTGGGGAGCTGGGTATCATGTGAGCTGACGATGGAATGGTCAAGGAGAAGACGAAATCTCGGGCTACGGGACTGAACAATCAGGGAAGAGTGAGATTGGGAAGCGTCTGAAAGGAGATGCTGTCAGATTTGTTTGCTCACGTCCAAGTTCCCAAGACAGCCTTGCGACTCAAGTAGCCGAACATGTGATGTCACACATGTTGCCAGTTGCTCGCCTAATCTCACATGCACATCTGCCTGGGCACGCACAACAGCACGCATAGCACACCTTCATCTATCAAACTACAAGCAGAAGAGAATAGTACTGTCAATCATAGAATTAAATCCTCCACAGCCTCTGACTTAGTGCTGAGCGTAAAGAACAGTCTCAAAGACAGGTTTGATCCGGCCATCACTCGCAAAATGCGGGGTTACCGACATCGACCATTGGATATCAAGTCTGACGAAATCCGGCTGCTCCAAATTGAGCTCGCGACCGGCGACGACGACCCGATCACTGTCAGAATCAAACACGTCAGATTGAGTGATGGGCTGAAGTTCAACGCACTGTCGTATGCCTGGGGGGGCGACTCTCCGTGTTACAACATTGTGATACACGACGATGACGAAGCCTACTACTATGCCATACGAGAGAATCTTTGCGATTTCTTCAACACCACACGCTTCTCCATCAGCAGTTGGCGTTCGGAGTGGATCTGGATCGATCAGATATGCATCGATCAAGGTAATCCCAAGGAACGATGTCATCAAGTTAACAGCATGGCTCAGCTATACTCCACCGCACATTCAACGATCATTTGGCCTGGCCTTCCACCGAAAACTTTCAGGGCGGTCGACGAGATAGACCCTTTCGCGAGCTCGATTCGGGGGCCGAGTCCGCTGGAAAACATCGATACGTATTCCGAGGTTCGGAGAGGCAGCGTCCGGAGACGCCTCAACGCCAAAACCATGTCGGGCGCGGTCCTCCATGGACTGACCACGAGCTCATACTGGAGTAGGCTCTGGGTCATCCAAGAGATCGTGCTTGCGGAGCACGTGCGCATGTTGGTGGCAGACACCATCTATGACTTGAGAGACTTCCACAAGGTGTTGCGAATCCTCAAACGCGATTCAGACCAACTCCCAGTCACAGCACGACATCCCGAGATCCTCGCCGCAGTACCTGCCTTGTACACTCGCATCGACAAACTGCTCAGAATGCGACATCGCAGACAGGACTACGCGTCCAACACCTGGGCCGACGTGCTCATCCTGTGCGAAGGCACCCAGCATTCAGTGCTCCTGGATCGATTCTACGGTGTGCTGGGTATGCTTGCAAAAGACCTGCAAGTGCAACCCGACTACGAAGTCGTCCCTCTAACGCTTCTGAAAACCCTCTTCGAGAAGCAGATCGCTCACTCGTCAGGGCGCCCATTGAACATGCTAGCAAATCTCCACGCCATCGTCAAAGTCTGGGCGGCTGCGTGGGCAGTGTGGCTGGAAAAGCCCGTTCCTAATACCAGGCTGATGGGCATCCCGCCACCGCCGGATCCGGGCCATGAACCTAGGGGGTATCCTCGGCTGAGAATTCTGACCATGATGCATAACGTTGGTCTATACCTTGACGCGCTTGGTATTCCCGTGCCTGCGGAGCTTAAAGAGTTCAAGAAGAATCTTCGCTGCGAGGATTGGGTCGCGCCGAGCTGGGACCCTTCACTGCCGTACTTGTGAAATTTGCGGCGAAGACGATTCCGGGGATGATATCGCTCGCAGATCGTCATCACTTGCATATCAACCACCTTAGGGCTTCGATGTAGCCTGCTTCATAAGCTTTCCTGGCGACAATTCCGTTGTGTCTGGATAGTGCAGGTTGATGGCGAATAGCGAAGTGCGTGAAGGCCAACGTCTTAAGATGATTCGCGTGCGGATTACCTACAGAGTCAATGGTCGGAACGAAAATGAATAAAAGCAAGTGGCGGCGCTTTCCATCTGTCGTAAAATCGGTGCACTTGCCCTTGCTAATGCGTGGTTGCAGGACCCAGTCTCGTTGCGCATCCGATCAGTCTCAGCTTGGTCACTTTTGAAGACGGAGTCAACCATCGCCGCCAGATAATCATCGATTGGCAACCAGGGTAGAAGAGAACTGAAGTCTCGTTCCTTCGGTGACACGGAACTATCCATTCTTGTCACGTCTTTGAACAAACAGCCGCTGAGTCCATTCAAATATTGACCTCCCCCCACCGACCCTATCTAGACCTGTCGTATACGCTTCCAAAGCCTGGCCGCCGTCGATGATCTCAAACGCGCTGCCGAATTTCGAAAAGCCTCCTGATCCCATTTTGCCGCTCGTTCTGGATTTGCGCCATGCTAAGCTCGGGGATCTGCGGAGCGGCGTTGTCGACAGCAAAAAAGTGGTGGTCATGTTATTGTACAGTTGGACCAATACCGATCCAGATAACGCCATCGAAATCATAGATTTTACTACTACACACACTTTCAATATTCGAGTCAACCTTTCTTCGTTTCTGCAATTTAGCTGCCAACCATGAGTTCACATAGCATTGACGCTCGGCTCGGCTCTGAATTGATCAAGTCTGCATGAATCAGGAAGATATCAAAAAGAATTACAATCAGGTTGGACACAAGATATACTGCCTCAATCTACAGAAGAAAATTCCGAGGGTGATATCCACGCCCGGGCAGACCTACACGAGAGTATGCCACCAGAAGTCTGTAGGGCACCTCAAGGCCATCGATTAGGTTTGAATTGATCGCCAGAGAGGATGAGCTTCGCTGCTATGATTGTTATCATCGAGATGACCGATCTTCTCAAGATCTTGTACGATAATCTGCTTATCTACATCTCTGAGTACGAATCTCTATCTTCAGCATCATTGAACCTGCGCTAGTGGTGTGAGGTCTGTAAGGTGTGAAGATGAATTACGAATGACCAATCTTTCCGGCCGAAAGTCGAGCTGAGGGATCTGAGAGGAGCTGGAACGTATTATGCTCGATTCATAATCATGACTTGTTATTAATCATACTAGTGCTTGTGGGGTATTGGTAGGGTTTGGCGGTGTTCACTAATCGGCAGCCGGACAAGTCCGCACCTTTGTACTTCAGCAAAGAGGAAATTGCGGAATACAGGCAGTTCTAAAGGGGTATAAAAGTTGCAGTGCCAGGTTCTGTTGCTGCTCATCACTACTTCAGCGAGCAGCAACTCCCTACGCCATAGTCTGTCAATTCGTGTTAGCAAGAGAATCATCGCATAGTTTCCAGCATGTCTTCCAATACCTATCTCATCACCGGAGCCAATCGTGGCATTGGAAAGGGTTTGACTGCAGCGCTTCTGCAAAGGCCCAATACAACCGTCATAGCTGGTGTGAGAGACACGACCGCCTCGGCACCCATCCTAAGCAGCCTCCCCACCGCAGCTGGGTCCAAAGTCATCATCGTCAAGATCGACTCGCAGTCTGAAACAGACGCCAAAGAGGCAGTCTCGCGACTCAATTCAGAGCACGGCATCACGTCCTTCGACGTCGTCATCGCCAATGCCGGCGTCGCCCATTCTGGCACCTCAATCGCGCAGACCACAACCAAGAGTCTCCGCGACCACTTCGACACGAACGCGATCGGCCCTTTGTTGCTGTTTCAGGCTGTAAAGCCGCTTCTACAAGCAAGTCAAAGCGGGAAGCCTGTCTTCTTAGCAATGTCAACTGTTGTCGGCAGCATTGGCGGCCAAGAAGCATTTGCGGGGCTTCCGCCCGTACTCAGCCCCTACGGCGCCAGCAAAGCAGCGCTCAATTGGATAGTGCGACGATTACACTACGAAGAGACCTGGCTCACAGCATACGTGACGCATCCTGGCTTGGTTCTGACGGACATGGGCTCCGGCATGTTTGGCACTCCGGAGCAGTCTGTTGCCATGGGTGCGATTACTGTTGACATCAGCGTTGCTGGGATCTTGAAGACGCTCGATTCGGCTTCTAGGGGTATTGGAGGAAGCTTCCAGAACTATGATGGTACGACACTTCCGTGGTAATTCTTCAAGCTCATCAAAGGAAATGCCCACACCCATAGCCAGGCTTTATGTCTTATGAATGATCCCATCTCGACTAGCAGTAGTCAATATAAATGTTCGCATACGATGTTCAGGTTCAGCGCACTTACATGGCTTGACTTCTGTTGCAATTTTGAGTCTTGTGTCGCGGGTTTACCGCACCTGTCGACACATCAACGACAGAGTTCGGGACTTATAATCATGTACCCGGGGCTCGTTTGAGCTTTTAAACAGTCAAGTATGGTATAAAGAACTATCTATCATTTCTTTCAAGTAAAGTAGGCAGCTGTGGCTTCATTTCAAACGGAATTTCGGAAATGCCATCAAGGAATCACAAAACGATTGTGTTGGCAGTCGTTCATCTGCAGTTCTGGAATTCTGACGACGACATACAATAAGGCCAATCGTGAAACTTGAAGATGCTGTACAAGCCTATTATGCTGATTCACTAAAAGAATTACATTTACTCGAGCTTTATTGCGTGAGGTTAAGACTACCATAATTCGTTGCCAACCTTTGCAGGGTCTCCCCTCATTCCCCACGCAGGCCCAATATAATAATCAGAACTCGATCACCAATTTACTGCCTGACACTTTCCCCTCTCGCAACTTATCCAACCCTGGAAGAATGGCGTCCATACCTCTAGCCTCACGAGCGACAGGAAGAGGCCTCAATACGTCCGTCAACTGTGGCAGAGCTTCGTAGAACCGAGCTAGCATATCTCGATCTGACTGCACCACAGCAAATTTTGGCCCAATAGGAGGTAACCACTGGAATTCGTGGCCAAAGACGGTGTAGGCCATGATGAGTTCATGCTTGATAGATGGTAAGGTCGGTTTTGTCGAGGGCAGTAGAGTGATCACTTGGCCTCCCTTGCTTCCGAGGACAACGTCGCAGGTCTTTGTCGACTTGCCTTCCGAATAACAATCAACGGCAATTTTGATATCTGGATGGGCTTTTGCGATCTCCAGGCCGATGTTCTTATCGCGGTAGTCGAAGACGGCGTCTGCGCCATAGCTCTTGACGAGGTCGTATGAATGCGGAGAAGTTGTGGTGACGACCTTCCAACCGAAGGCCTTCGCTAACTGTATGACCGAGAGACCTGCAGAAGTTGAGCCCGCATATACGAATATGGTTCCGGTCTCGTTTCCGCAATTTGGCTCCAACAACGTCTCGACCTTAGGGAAGCCCAGGCGCCCACACAGGGCCAATACTGCTGTAACAGCGGATACACCATAGGTAGTTGCAACAGCGTCTTCCATGGTCTCTGGTATCCTCCAGGCAAGGTCGGCATCCGTCTTCAGGTATTCGGCAAACGAGCCGCGATCCGCGTACAGGCCCCCATGAACAGCGCCAGCTACTCTGTCTCCAACGCTCCAGAGCTTTGATACACCCTTTCCCACCTTATACACCTCCCCTGCATAGTCACAGCCAGTAATACAGTTGGGGGGGGAGATTGCGTCGATATGCTTGAAGTCAGTCGCATTCAACGCGACGGCATGGACCTTGACAAGAATCTCATTGTCTGAAACAGCAGGTATCGGAACATCCTTCCACTGCGCCCTCATTGTGGTAAGATTTTTGTGGAGTGCGAGATTTGCAACTCTAGAGTATAGAGTATTTGTGGTGATGAGTGCTTTCATGACGTGCAGATGCGGTGTATGATGATGAGGTTGTAGGCAGTGTGTCGAATGGGGCAGTTTCGTTTAGATATGGCTACAAAGAAAGCAAATAAGGAAGTAAAGTGCTTCAAAGTGTTCGGACCAAAAGATTACTAAACATCGGTGAGATTGACGTAATGTACGTAATTTGGTCCGTCGCGCTACAGACACTGACATAGATGTTCCGAGCAGGTCTGAGAATGATTCCAGAGCCCGCACTGAATTCATCGACTATTGACTCTGTCTGAACGTCATGGTGGGCGTATACAGTACGTTGTGCTGGATTCGGGGCAACAGTTACTCTGAAGCCCAAGCAGCTCGTCACTGCAATGTGAAGCCGGACGCTACCGGTAGGGGCCATGTTACATTGACTCAGCAGCAAACTGATTCTACTGGCTTCTTTACTTCCCATTAGCACGCAAGAGATGGATACGCACGTACCTCGGTTTTATGCTCCCTGTACACATCTGGAGCTCGAAGCTCGACAGACCTTGTGAACAGGGTCAATTTTCGTCTGTTGTAACCACGTGGCTCAGATCACATGATACCCTATTGTAGCAGGCACTGCCCGGTGGGCAAGTGCACTTACCTAAGAGCTGAGAGCTTGAACAACACAACATCACAACACGACAACAGATAGCAATACACTTGTTGATCGCAGTCTCCGACCGACACTGCTCACGCAGTTACATCTGTAGACTATTGTTTCCAACGTGGATAAGCTTCATTTTTTATTAGTACAATTCTTTTTGTGTCGATCACTCGAATGCTAAATATTCGCAAAGAAGACGCATCTGGTAGCTCTCTGTTCGGAATAGGCTACCGTAGCTATCTCACGATGCGCCTAGAGTTTTCACTAATTATGGGCTGTTTCCCGCACACAACATCACTTCCCTTGTATGGGCGTCAAGTCTGAACCCTTGAAGTCCCAATTCTGGGAGACATTAATGCAGCTGAGTTGGATATTCACTTGCCTATGATTAGCGTTGGAGACACATCACTGATCTGCCGCACTAGCGAGGGCACATATTGAAAATTACATTCCGACGAAGTGGACGTATGCGACTGACATCAGAGATGTGACGATGACAATGTTTTATCTTCGTCAAACCTCAAAACCCTGAGTTGGGGATAGCCTTACCCGTGCAGCGAACAAAGCGGACGGAAAGAGTTAGTATCGTTAGATCGACTCGAGCGGGACTCCTCTTCAAAACTAGTGCAACAGTAATTACCCGTGTTCTTGACTCTGCGAATTATGCAACCGGTCAGTGATGGCGCCGAACCTCCTGGGGGGAAAGGTTCATTCGATCCTTCTCTTCACTTGTGCTCCATTGTGCGCCAGACTTGGCATATACAGTTCCCCTTCAATCTTACTTCCAGTATCTTCAAAGTCCTCTAACAGCTCCAGTAAAGCCGTCAATTGCAGAGTGATGAACACTCCCACTCTACAGGGAAACTAATCCGAGTCCAAGCGCACTCTATGCTCCTAGCTTAAATTTTGAGGAAATGCATCTCGTGTCTCCTGTTCGAAACCCACGTGAGCGCAAAATACTTATCTTTGACCTGCACCAGTGCTTAAAGACTTCAAGAAGCAGCCAGTGCCGTCTGGATACAAACTTATCTGCCTCTATCCTGCTTCCGATACGCAGGATCCGGCATAGAGAAGACGGATGATCGGTCCGCCTGTTTTAAAGAATAAACGCTGTAATTGAAGCGGTGCTAAGTTGTTAAGAAATAGTTTCCGCTAAATTGCTCCACTCTCAATTTCCTAGCGTGCACAGTTCTCCGAGCAGCTATATACCGCTAGCCTCTTAAGAGCGTGCAATCTGTAGATAGCGAGAATGCAGGACATTTTCTGGGTTCTTGTATTTTGAAGAGTCTTACATCTGCTAGCTCTTGCCAGTACTTGTGGGTGCGCAAGAAGGAAATAGAGGTGTGCAGGGGCGTTTGGTCCGTAATGAGGACCAGTTCTCCAGGCCTTCCCCGATTTTCTCGCCTGGACCTGGCAGTTTGCGAATAACCATGACAACAGCTCAGTCTTTGGTTCTACTGCTACTGGTGCGGATGGCTCTCAAATCTTCGCAATCTCCAACAGCAACGATTTGATGCTACTTTCCATTCCATTGTCAATACCTCTGAAGGCGATTTCCGAACTCTTAGGGTCAGTACCACACTTCCGGTGCTAAGAGATGGTGCCTAGAGAACCAATAAAATCCATGATTTGGACTTTGCTTTGTTCGCGGCTCTTTGTTTTCACGATCTCGATCATACGCCTGGTTTTCACGCTCAATGACATTGAGCATATGAGCATACTACGCGTAGCGGTATGGACAATTCGGAAAATGGTGCGATTCGAGACTCTGATTATGTTCCATTGATGTCAGACATTCCGTTACGTCAACGCTCCATGTCTTTAACTGTTGTTCTCCTCGTCGAGCTGGCTGAGAGGCTATGGGTACAGCTCAGGCAAGAAATACACTTCCCACAGTGACGGGTAACAACTTGCCGCTTGAAATGGTCAACAAAGATCCATACCCCATCACGAATCTGTCTGTCTACGCAAGTACTGAGCATGTCAACCGACCAGGCTTTAAAGGGGCTAGCTAAAGAACTAATATCGAGGAGGGGTCAAAGCGGCAAATCCATCGGATAACAGAAGTCGAAGTCGCAAACTGAGGTCCAGTAAATGAAGCCGAGTACGGTGGGCCACCGTACGAGCGTAGCTCCTGGGCTCGTGGTAAAAAATTGGGTATGTCCTTTGATTATTCGCGAAATCTATACTCGTTTACAAGCAGGAAGAATATGTACAATTGCTATGAAGAAATCGGATGGTTCAGGCTCAAGACTGGCGCTGGGTGTTAACAGACCACGCAAATCCATCGCTCGACACAGTCTCCTCGCTAGTCTCCTCGCCAATTTGCACAGTCACGTTGAATCCGTCAATAACTGGGCTTGAGCTTGCACCGTACAAGCTATACACACCAGCGCTCAGAATCAAACTCCCATTCCAGCTGTCACTGCCGAGACTAGCAGGCACAGTCGCCTCAATAGTGATGTTGTCGAGAGTGTTGCTCTTGTTGGGGCCCAGGTAGGAGCTTTGGATGAAGGAGCCAAGAGTCTCAGGGTAGCCGGGGGCGAGTGAGTAGCCCCAAGCTACAGAGATGTCGGCGACGGATTGAACGTAGTTTCCCGTGATAATAGTAAGGTTGAAAGTGCTGTTGGGTGCGAGTGTGGAGGGGACTTCGATGCCATAGATGCGCGCAGAAGCGACGGAGAGGGTGGTAAGGGCGGTAGCGAAGCTGGTGAAACGCATGGCGGCTGTGATCGTTGTTCTTTGGTATATTGGAGTTGAATTGTAATAGGTCCGATGGGAATAGTTTATTTGAGACGAAGTCAGAATGAGTTGTTGTGAGTCTCGGCGCAGACGCAGTTGGGCAGGATTATATATTCCACGTACTCAGCACCTACCATCATCGTACCCACAGTCAATCAAAGCTACCCTGTCGTGATGGTAGCATCGGAAGTTTGTTAAACTCCTGCCGGCAGCACGCACAGATGCAGATCTCCGGAGTCAGCCACAAGCGTTGCTAAATTAGCGAGAAGAAGCGGCCGAGAATGCATAAAAGTATGACGATCTCTGCAGCATGTTGCTATTTCAGGAGGCACCCTTTGTGCAGGTGCGCGAATACGAGGCTGGTGATGCTGTAGATCTACGATATACGTCATCCTGAGGCGCGCTAGTTGCCATTTTTCGGATGGCTCGGAGATATTAGCGGCAGGGTTGTACAACGCAATAACACCTAATTACTTGAGTCAGACACAACTCTCAGGACAGGACAGTGACATGCACTCAAGTTGAAAGGTTCCTACCGACGAGCATGAGTACGAGCTTGGTATATATTACTTCGCCGTAGGTCTACTCAACGCAGGTGGCGCTATTCCAGTACGATATTGTTCTTTCCCAATCACAGTCCGTAGATGAGAGTCTCGCCAACGATGTCGCGATAGGCTCTGGTTGCCGTATAATCTCGAGATGATCTGCAAGATCGAAGTTTGAAAAGCGTCTTCCCACCAAGCAATAACTCATGTACTCCTTATTTCCTTGTTTCGACTTCCACGGCCCGAGGCTGAAGTGGCCGGACCTTGTGATCAAACAACGATGATTCGGATACACTTGATCGGTCGTCTTAGGGTATCGTCCATCCTCTGGATTGTGTGGAGATATTCCACGATTCTGAATGCGTGGCTCCTAGTTCGGCTCTCTTCAGTCATAGTTCGATTGACCACCAGCAATGTGTTCCCAGCTCAGGAGCGCATTCAGCCGATCGACACCGGCAAAGGAGCTTTCTTGGTAGAACTCTCCCGTTCTAATAATGATATCAACTCAGTGTCTTTTGAGGGGCAGATTCCAGCGAGGTAGGTGGGCTTCGAAGAGTTGAAGCTGTGTCATGGTGTTGAACTGTCAGTCATGTGCGAAGCGCCAGCCACGGCACCAGCTCGTTTTCTGAAGCTTAACGCCTGTAGCCAGAGCAACAACAGAAATATTTGTTGTTTATGATGCATGGTAACGCAAAAGACAGAAATATCTGGTCGAGGTTCGCTCTATACTCTGGTACAGGTAGTGTTGGGGTATCTGACCTCAAAAGACCCAGAAAAGCGTATACATTGTCGTTCCCAAAAATCAGCTGCCTAATACCGAGGACGATACACCAGTCCCGAAAAAAGTGTTGCGAATCGCGTCGTCACTCCGACTTCCCACACAGAAGTCCTGAATATCCGGGGCGAACAGAAGAGTGTTGAGGCTTCGGAAGAGTTACTGGATAGCCTCACAGCTGAAAGTTCTCAATCAATCATATGGCATCCGAGTCACACAACAACTTCCCTGTCCATGACGGCATTACGTATAATCCATGCGCGGCCCCATCGTTCACGTTCCGGAATACCGCGGGGCTTCTTCCATGTCGTGGGCCAGTCGGATCTTGCTCCTAGACTTTGCCACCAGCCTTCCCTGCTGTCAGCGTCGATATCTCCATCCTGCCACCTGGGTTCGAGCAATGACTCGATACTCTGCTCGTGTTCACCCAGCCAAATCACGACCTTCGGAGCTTTCGCGCTGCATTGGGCTGCCCTTCTCGTCATTGTTGCTGTGATTAGTTCACATTACACCCATCCACAAGGCAAGATCGTGCCATTAATTCCGTAATTTTTCATGGCCTAGCATAAATTCCTTATAACATGGAAAAGCTTCTTATCCATTTTTATGCAGTGCAGGATGAGGCTAGTGTATGGGACGGAAGTCTCCAGTAGACAACTGAGTGCTGCCTCAGTACCTGTCGCTTCAAGATTAGGCAACTGAATTCGTATACAAGGAGTCGGTAGAGGCCGAGCAAGAAGAGGAACATCGGTACCACAGCGAGAGTCCAGGTGCCACTTATCGCAAAAGTAGTAATAGATGCTGTGGTGACAATAGAGTGATAGTCACAGCAACGAGAATAAAACCGTAGATGCCTACAAGGACGTATATCATCGGGAATGCAACGGTGTATGTAGTATACCAAACGGCCTGGATCTTGATGAGGTGGAACCAGAGCCCAAAAAATGCTTTAGTCGATTCTGTGAGGACGTTGCGGTTCTGAGTGATTGGGCGGAAGATCAAACCGCATTTCGGCCTCTTACCCATGGGATACCTATCCCACAGTTAGTAAGACACGTCACAGACGAAGCGAAGCCCCGTGGCAAAGACTGCAATAGCGTTAACTCTTGCAAGAAAACCGAGATGTCGTGGCGCGTTGCGCGGTGTGGCTAGATTCCAATGTTGTTTTCCCTCCGACGCCCAGAATCTGGCTGTCAGCACAGTATCCTCAGCCATGTACCGTATAACGAGCTACGGATGCAGATTCAAAGACCCACAAAGCTGACGTGACCAAGGAGGCACGTCTGAACTGTCATCATTACCAGCCTACACACTAGCACAGCAAGAAGAAGATAATCTTTCCCCTATTCTCAACCCACTTATAACCGTACTGCTAGACCGTCTTGCACGCAGACCGAAGTAAAGTGTGTCTCCAGCAGCAAATCTTACAGTCCACAAAGCTCGACATACGCTCAGTCTCGAAGTGCTCCGCCCATCTCAAATCAGAGCTTCCACCAGCCCTCCAGCCAGACGACCCAGACCAAGAGTCCCATGACGCCCCAGATGAGTCCCATCGCGACACCCTCAAGACTATCTCTGCCTTTCTTATCACTGAGTTTCAGTCCAAGAAAATTCGGGTTTTGCCTTGCAGCTTCAGAGCGAAAGGACCAAGTATGCCTGCGTGGAGTCAATAACGCAAATTCGAGAATATTTGATACAGCCGTGTTTGTGGAACTGTCTGCAATTCGACGTAACGATATCATGTGCGAATAGTACTTGCAGTACAGACTCACGGAACGAAACCCCCATCATCACTTTGGCCGAGTCTCTCGAACTCCAGCATTGCCCTCAGCACCGCAACACCGCTACCCTGCGTCTCAACAGTCCTTCCTCTACCACGATCATTCCAGTCTCTCGAGGCGGTGTCATCTCTCTCGTCGTGATCACCAGTCATATCGTGGCCTGCCAGCCGCTCGTCCTCATCCTCTGCGCCCCCCGCATCATCCGACGTGTGGGCCTCCTCTTCAAATCGCGCCGAATACTCGTCAGGCCGGTTCTGATAATCCATAGCATTCGCCACTCTTCGGACTCTCAATATCTGCCCAGCATGTCCATTCGCGCCCCACCAGCTACCAAACCTGCCTTCTTTATTCGTCGTCCTCAGAGCAGCCTTCGCATTGTGTACAACCCACTTCGTATATTCCTTGCAGCTTCTAGCATGCAGAATCCTCGTCTCGCGACTCGCTGCATACGTCCTACCAAGACGGACCGGCACGGCAGGAAGCGGCTTGCAGAACGTAGTAAGATGGTGGAAGAAGATGCCCTTGAAAGTCTGGCCGTTCTGGTTGCAAGATCCCGACGGGTCGCACGCTTCAGCCAGAATGCCGCCTGCGCCCAGACCCGCCCAGCTGGTGAGGATGTCCCGATGCGACTCGGGGATCTGGTCGGGTTTCTCGGGGTGAGTGGAGGCTGCGGCGAAAATCTGGCCATCTGTCCATCCAGTGGCGCGAATGACGTTGCGGATAAGCTCGTGGCCGTCCTCAAGATAGGTTTGCTTGCCAGATGCTTCCCAGAGCCCTCGAAGACCGGAAAGGATGACGCCTTGGTTGTACGTGTACACCATTTCGTTCCGCTCATCGCACTCGGTTTTGCTGTGATTAGTGCGGTAGCCGGCGATGTGGAAGCCGTCAACGTAAAGGCCTTGCTTGTTCTTCATGCCGCTATTCTTCAGCCAATCGTAGCCATTGATTGCATTGGCTAGGTAGACAGGGTCGTATGAGCTTTCAGTCTGGGTGTTCTCATCACACTGCTCACCACGCTCCTGCGCGCGAAGAAGCTTATCGCTCGGCTTCCTGTTCTTCTTATCTTTAATATCGTCGTACTGGGAGAGGAATGGTGCGCAGTTCGCATCGCCAGGGAAATGCAGGTACATGCCAATGCTCGCCGATATAAACAGCTCATTTGTGATAGCGTTCTTGTATGGCAGAAGGCGAGGATTCCAAGTCATTCCTCCACCACAAAGGCGCCAATCCCAGCCCTTCTCTGCAATTTCATAGAAAATTCGTGCACGATGTGCGAAAGCCGGAATGAACTGGCGCGCATGCCATTCAGGAACAGCCGCCTCTTTTTGCGACCCAGAAGCATAGTGTTCTGCAGAGTGGCCTTCGATGAACTGTATGCTTTCGAGCCAACCCAGCACAACCCAGAGTATGTCGTCGTACGCTTGCATTCTTATCGCAAAGTGGTCTTCGCCGAAGTAGTACGTTGCAATCTGCCCGAAGTACTTGTTGATCTCGTTCTCCACCATCTGCGCCTCAACGTCCAGATTCTTGGACTTGTCGAAAGTCCCAGGCATTGTGTACGTGAGCGAGCGCGAGAGCGAGGCTAGGGTTGCTGAGACATGTGTCGCCATAACAGCAGCAGTCCAATCGATTGCAGTGGTGTACTTTCCCAACCATATCGAGAAGTATGAGCTCTGCATTGTTTCGAGGCCATCGTGCAAGTCTTGTAGTATGCTGGTTGTGTATAGCGAATATGAGGGCGCATTGGGGGTGGAGGCATTGGCTGCGGATTCGGAGGTACGAAGGTGTGTCTGAAGTGTGTCACGATTTCTGGCCTCGTAGACTTGCGCGGGCGCATCTAGATATATGTCAGTATCGAAAGGCGCAGTGTTCCAAAGAGCTGTACCTGACAAAGGCTGCTCGGCATGCGCCGCAGCTGTAGTGATTGTAAAGACGCCCAGAGAGACGCCTGCAACAGCACATAGCCGCCTGAGAGCCATCTTTCGAGACATTGTCGTGCTGATCAGTTCCAAGCGCTGCACACTCTGCACGACGACGGTGGTGCGATGGCACGTAGTAACGGTACAACGCGTAAGAGCGGTGGAGAGCCGCTCCAGCGAAAGCGGCGGGTATCAATATGCAAAAATTAGGACATGAAATGAATAGCCCAGAGCAGCGGGTGACTTTTGAGAGAGCGGGACTCGCAAATAATGGTTCGAGGGCAAATCAGCCGCAAATGCATGAGGCGTTCCAAGAGAGGCCAAGTTCACCTTGCCATATCGAGATGCGCGGCTTCTGCGCACCCATGGCTGGCATGATTGCAGCTGCATGTCAAAGAGAGGGGTAGGCGCATTCTACATTGCGTTGTTTGCAAGTCTAAAAAGGAGTTGCTGCTGTTCACGGATGTGACTGCTGCTGCTGGTTCCACGATTCCGCGGGAGTTTAGGTGAAGCCCCACTCTTGCGTGGGCCCCGCACGATTTATCACGTGCCAGCCTCACATTTTGAATGGCACAATCCACGATATCTTGATGACCACAACAGGTATTATTGAGGTCCGGATAAGTGCAAAAAAGAATGTTGAACAGAGTGGGATTCGAACCCACGCAGATTGCTCTACTAGCACCTGAAGCTAGCGCCTTAGACCGCTCGGCCATCTGTCCTGTGCTGTTGATAGAAATTCTGTTGGTAAATAAAAATATAACCCTAATTTAAAATTTAGACATTTAGACGGCAGGCCAAAATCTGCTATTGGGGGGATGCCGGTGGAGTGCACTAAACCTTGTACATCTACCTTTGTACATGGTGGGGCATGACGATGAGGTAATCACCGCAACACAGTAGTTTCCGCGCGGAATTGAGAGCAAAATAGTAGCATGTAAGTAATGGGTTGTTCTCTGGCAAGATGTGTCAGGTATTGAGCATCAGATTGACAATGCCCTTTAACCTGTATAGTCTTTCCAGGATTGGAATACCGGTACTCTTCTTGTCGATATGTCTGACATTCGTCAATCTGAGTTCAGAGCTTTGGATGTCCGCACCTTCACGTCGCGTCTTAAGCAAAATACATGTCTCGGGAATAAATTGGCATGCTTGATTGAGGCGACAGATGAGCAAACTTCTATTCAAAACGCAGAAGAGATGGGTAAGTTGCGATCACGTAAATGTGCATAACTCATATCGTTCGTTTACAGGTCAAAGACTGCGCATTCAAGAATGGGGCTTTTGCCTTACGCTTCTACTTATGGGATGCCTAGTTCCTGACCTGTGCTTATTGTTTGCTCTTAGGGCCGATGCACACACGCTGCTTCGTCTTGAAGCCAGGGGAGGCATCCTCCACGCCGATCTGGTCGGCATCCGCGACGAAAATTGACAAACCAGTCCCGATTGCCTTGAGCCTTCGACTTGCTCTTCACTTCGGCTTCGATAATCTCGAGAATCGTGTTGTGGCAACGTGTAAGCCCTGTCTAGAACTTCAGAGTAGCTGACTTACCAAGCGATAGCGGTAGAGTACCAGTCCTCTCTCTACTTGCCTGTCTGCAGCAGGTGCTCGTGGATTACGTCAAGCTGGAGGGCAAAGACGCCGTCTAGACCCTTAATGTCGAATACGGTCGACGGGCGGAATGCATCGAGGACCTGAATTCCAGCATTTGTTCCAACGTCAAATGCCAAAGATATGCCTTATTGTACTGGAAGAAAAACCGGACGTGATCTCGCATTCGCCGACCATGTCGACAAACATCATCAGCGACTTGTCGAAGCATGTGAACCCAATCAGGGCCGCAGATAAGCAAAGTCAGGTCACTTATTCGGTTGCGGAGTCCTACGGCCATCGCGTTGTCACGGCCAGATTTCTTGTTGAAATCCGTGAATTCGCTACTTTTCTGCTGGAAGCACATGCTTTCCAGGCGCTGGAGCTTGATCAGCCGAGGGATATTGCGCTCAAGGCGCCCGATCAGCACTCGGTCGTCGTCCTCCATGTCCTGCAAGGTCTGGATTTGCGCTGCCTCGTCGCTGCTATACTTTCTGGCTGCTGATCAGAAGCTAGTCAACAGATTGCGAAACAGGTATCGTACGGTGTCTTATCTTTTGGAGGGAGACACAAAATAGACCAGAAGAATTTCGGAAGTTGTGCTTCCATGAATATGACCTCAAGAAATATTCGAGGTTCTTTCAACAACCGATGGGAAAGAGAGGAGGTTTTGGGAACTTGAGTCAGCTCCCTCCAGTCATAAGGAAGCATGTATGACGTGGCATAGTTGTTGGGTCTTTAGTGATATGTGTGTGAGAGGTGAGAAGAAAGATAGAAGATGTGAGCAAGCTACCGGTAACGCGTGCGCCTTCACCACGCACACGTCACACATGACTACAACGCGTTTGCCGGTAGTTAAAGCACATCAGATTGGTTGCATTCAGTGAATATCTTGGATTCAATGTTCCGTGGATTTTACTTTATGGGGACTGGTAGTACAATATTTTTGGTAGTGCGATAGATTCAAAGTGTGGAATGTACATGTGCGAACTGACCTCTCAACGAGCGATAACGATCGACCATAGGAGCAGAGTCTCTGTAACCTCCGAAGGAATTGTTGAGTTGCGAGGGACTTATATTCAGATCTTGACTACCTCCCGTTCAACATGACTCTACAGCTGACAGCGACTTTTTTTGCCATCAAGAGCCGCTGCACTGCATAACGGTGATTTTTCAGGAAGACTGCGCAAGCCAGTATCAACAGGGCCATACGTAGATCCATGCAAAGACCGATTTCACAGCTGGTAGTTAGCGGTCATGCGAGTTTTCCGCAGCCGCTCGACATCACGGAGACCACGGTGAATTCTCGTCCTGCAGTCCAAGCGCACGCGTTGAGTAGACTATCAAGTCAATAGCTTTCGAGTAGTATATGAATGTGCAGCTCTGCGTCTTGTGAAACTGTGCATGGGTTAGTTCGGTCTGCTGACACTTGGGCAACAGGGAAGGACGACTTGAGACCACAGATAGATGCAGACAGGAAACTCTCTTCCCAGGAGACTGGAAACTCTGCATACAGAAACAGGCCACAATTCTATAACTTCCCTCTCCGAGCTTTCTTACATTTACCGCACGCCTACACGGCTCGCAACGCCTCGCAAACAGACCCTCATGGTTTAAGATAAGTTACTTGAGAAACTTACTAATCAAGCCCTTCCCCTGCTTCGCCAGGTTCTTCAGCTCGTTCTTCACGTTCGCACTATCACTCGCATTCCCATGCACGCCATGTGCATCGCCCTGAACATACTGTCCTCCAGCACCGCCAGCACCTCCCGCGTGTCCCTTGCCACCGCACTGGCCCCCGGGACAGCCTTGAATGAAATGGTTAACATCACTGCAGCAGCGTCCACACTCTCCGCTGCCCATGAACGGCCCCCCATGAGCCCATCCCACACGCATAAGCCGCGCTTTCCTGCCCTCCCAGCCCGTCTTCGCGTCGGTGGCGTGGAAAACACCCCACACCTCTGGCCCGCCGGGGCCATTGACGAGCACGAAGTTGCCGTGGCCTGGGCCGTACGGGGGACTATCGTCGCGGCTGGCTTGCAGCAAGGGCCTGTTTGATTTGCACCATGACTGCGGATCGAGCGCATGCCCGCCGGTCCAGTACAAGACGTTCATCTTGTACTCGTGCGTCCAGGAGCCAGCGCACGAGTATGCGATGCCGATCCAGCGTCCGTCGGGCGAACAGAGGAACTGCGGTCCTTCATTGATGCCGCTGGCGCCGGAGAATTCGAACTGCAAGTCGGGCGTGCTGATGCGGATGGGGTGTCCAGTGCATTGTGTTGGAGAGGTCATCTGGATGATGTAGATTTCTTGTCGGGACTCGTTCTCGTGCACGCCGGGCGGCCAGCCGGAGTAGACGAAGTACATTGTGCCACCGAGGGTGATGACGGTCCCGTCGATGGCCCACTGATCGTCGGGCAGGCCGCCGACACGGCCGAAGAATTTCCAGTTGTCGGGTACCAGGGGCGATTGGTCTGCAGGTGGGCCTTCGAGGATGAACATGCGGTGGGACTTGTTGCCGTGTTTCGGATCAGCGGCTGCGAAGTACACATACCAGCGGCCGTGGATGGAGTGGAGTTCTGGCGCCCACACGTCGCCAGAGTATGGCTGGTCTTTCGGAGCCCACCTGAGCATGTCAATTGAGGGCTGAAGCGTGCAAACGATTGGCCTCTCCTTCTTACCAGATGATATCCTTCTTACACCTCTTCTCAAAATCAAACAGACTCTCCGCCGACCATATCTCAACCGAACAACCTGTGGTCCATGTCTTCTCAGTTAGCCCGCTTTCGCTCACACTCTCTCGAGTACGGTTGTTTCGTCGCTCACCATGTAATACGTGCCCTTATCGAACAGCACATACGGGTCGGCACAGCTCTTCTCCGTGATGGTCAAGATGGAGTCATTGTACGGCGGCTGCTGCATATGCATCTGCTGCTGCACTTGTTGCTGCCCTGGGAAAGCCATCGCAGCGATACGATCCTTCTCTTGCTCGACCTCCTTTTTGAATCTAGCTCTTGCTGCTTGCTTCGCAACTGTTATTTGCGATGTTGACAGAGTTGTTGATTGATTTCAGAGCGATGTAAACAGAACCAGACCCTGAGGTGCAAATGAAGCAAAGCAAGAAGTTGCTCAAGAAGGAGCATCTGGCCTCAGCCACAAGTGCAGTGGGGCGCACATGACTTTGTCACATGAGGTACGTAACGTGACGTCATGGCGCTCGGGAAGCGTCTGTAGAGAGCTTGCTGAGACGGTCCGTTTCAATTCCCTTGATGTGGGCGGTCATGAGGTGGGAAGCCAAGTTGGTAGTGGGGGTGGGCGAAATCTCGGATGGAGAGGTGTGGCTGGCGTGTGGTCGTAAGGGGCGGGCGTGCTAAGATGCCACAGGTCCGCGCAAGCACGGAAGCTGCACCAGGTCTTTAGTTGCAAAGACAGTCGGCTGGGCACTCAAAATCTCGGAGGTAGTCAGTAGTGTATATACACGATTATTTTGCGTTTTAAATTTTTCTGCTGTCACAGCCAGCTTCTCTGCCAACTAATGCAGGCCTGTCACAAGTGTTCGACACAATCAATTCTCTACTCTAATGTAGTTCTACACATTCTAAATTTCGAAGCAGCGATATCTTGCATTTAATCATCTACTGACAGCCCAGCATGTGACCCGGTCGTTCGTACACGCACTCGGCAGCAGCCAATACAATCGTCGTAAAACAAACACTATCAATAGGTAAGGTAAGGTATAAGCCGCTCATGATGTCGCATGGTCGCAGGGAAGCAAGTTAAGGTATCCAACGTGAACAGGTTGAAAACAACAGAAAAGACGCATGAATCATTTCCCTCCAGCTGGGGAACGCTGCATCGAGGCTCACTCGAGCTATAGGTATATAAAAGTAGGGAGGTCGGTCGTTACGTCAATGCTCATGGAGGTAAACAGGCAGAAGTGGTGTACTGGGATTAAAAGTCGGTTTTCAGGGTCTGCTCGACGGTCAATTCGCCAGACTCGATACGGTCAACACGAAGGACAAGTTCCTGTTCATCGTCAGTATACACGTAATGGTAGCGGCTGTGTGCGGCATACCTTGAGAGCTCTGGCTATCTTGAAAGCAAGCGGAGGAACCTTGTCGCGGCCACCGTTGCGAATGTCGATGTCGAGCATATCTCGTCTGCAATCGTCGAGGACCTCCACGACAGGAATAGCGTGTTTTTGCAACGCAGGGCTGGAGAGTTGCTTAACGGCGTCGTAGGTGCGGTCGCCAGTGTCATCGACTGCGCGAGAAATATCCTGTATGTACGCGTAAATCTGCTGCTCCTCGGCTGGTGTGGAGTCTGGCCCTGAGCGGATGAGGTTGACGAGAGGCTGGATGCTCTGAACGAGGGTCGCGGTCTGGTCCTCGAGGTAGTTCTAGCTTCCTGTTAGTCATGCTTCAGAAGTTTGTCAGAATACCGACTCACCTTGAACTCGGTCATGCCTTTATCAGCCTGGCCGTTGATCACGTTCGAGCCTGAGCTTTCGCGACCATATCCACTGTAGGGCGAGCTGTACGAGCTGTAACCAGTCGCATTGCTGCCCTTGCTACTTCGCCCGCGTTGGTGGCCGCGGTCAGGACCAACGCTGTTAGCATTGTTGCTGCTGCTGTTGTCGCTGACGTTATTCCCTGTGCCGTTCGGCGTGACCGGACTGTATCCACCAAATACGGTTGGCTTGAGCGGCATGGGCATGTCAGCAACTTCCTCGCGATCCAGCTGATCACGGTCTAGCTCGTTGTCTGGTGTGGGTCGCACTTTTACGAGCTTGAGGAGCTCAACCACGGCGGTGGACAGGTGGCTTGCAGCAGCATCTAGCAGACTGACGGGTGACATGCCATTCGAGGAAGCGTGATTCTTGGTAGCTGTGATGAGGTTGTTGGCCGTAGCGCTGACGCGCGACTTGAGCTTGGCTTGCTGCTTCTCTGGACTAGCCATCAAGTCACCGCTGATACTGCTGGTGGGCGATTGCATCTGCGACAGCGGCGTGCTGTCAATATCGCCTGTAATAGCACGCACGCATTTGACGACGCTGCGCATGCTTTCAAGTGTTTGCTCCGAGTCCACTCTGCGTGCCTTTTGTAATAGCTCGTCGATGCTGAGCTGGAAGTTGGTGACATGGACGTCTTTAACCAAGCCGTCCGGTGATGAGAAGCTGGCGTTACGGGTGTAGTTGGCAATGTCTGGGGATGCGAGGCCGGACAAGCCAATCGACGAGGCTTTCAGCGTGCGAAGCTGTGTCTTGGAGCGTGCATAGCGACTCTTCCATTCCTTCAGCTCTTCCTCCAGTGTCGACACTTTGCTCGTGAGCCGTTCCTCTTTTTCGACAGCGGCATCACTGCGTGCAGACAGTTCGCGCATCTCCTGCAAGAACGTGGATGCGTCCCTGCGGACCTCTTCCGCGACCTGTTGCTGCTCGCTCAGCTCGCGCTCAAGCTCCTCGCACCGCTGTCTCCATTCATCGTTCCCGCTATTGTACGCTTGCTGTGGTGGGTTCGATTCGAGGTCAGTGATTTGCGCACGCAGGCTCTTCTGCTCTTGCTCGTGATCATTGCGTATCCTATCTAGCTCGGATCGTAATGACGCGTTGAGGGTCTCTGCCTTCTCCACCTTATCTTGGAGAGAGTACCGGAGTTCGTCCCATTCAGCGCGCTCAGAGGCATTGGTCTATGTATGTCAGCAGGAGGTTGGTGCATGGTCAGAGCTTGCTTACGCTGTCTCTTGTGCCTTCGGCGTCCTTGAGTCTCTGCAGTTCATCGTCCTTGTCCTTTAAGGTTCCTCCCAGCGCAGCAGTCTTCTCTTGCAGCTCTGTGACTTGCTTTTCTAGTTCTGCAACCATCTTCTCCCGCGCCATGCTCATGCTCTTGGCGCTCTTATTAGTCTGCCGCCTGGCAGCAGCGCCCTCTAGATTGAAGGCATCATCGTCGTCCCCAGCGCTGTCGTCATCGTCTTCTACTAGCGTGCCCTTGTTCGGTACAATCGTGTTCTGGTGGAAAGTCTTGGGAAGCGGTCGGCCGTACTCGTTAGCCTGCGATCCCGGTGCGAGCCCCCCTGGAGGCCCCTGCATGCCTCGCGGGTCGCCTGGTGGAGGTGGCCCTCTGTATCCGGGACCTGGCGGTCCCCGGCCGCCGAACCTGCTGTCCATGCTGCCGTTGCGGGGGGGCGGCCCTCTGTCGCTGACGCGGCTCGCGACGCTCGCTGCGGGACTTGCTGAGCGGGCCAGGTCGCCGGACGTGAAGCGCGGGTACCTCCGCTCCAGCTCGTAGAAGACGTCGGTCGCGAGCTGGCGGAAGCGCTCGAGCGGCAGCGTGGACAGCTTCTGGCGGGCCTGGTTGCGCTTGGGGTGGAAGTTGTTCTTGGGCAGCAGGTAGCTGGGCGTCGCGTTGCCGGGTGCGTTGGGCCCGCCGCGCCTGCGGTCCTCCTCCCTGCGCAGCGACTCGTCGTAGACGTCGGTGCTGAGCTCCTGGAACTGCACGCCCGACAGGCGCGTGAGCTTGTCCTTGGCACGGCTCGGGCGCGGGTTGCCCTGGGCGTCGTTGAGGTAAGGCCCGAGGTAGACCTTGAGGACGCGGAAGTGCTCGGCCATGGTCTCCTCGAGCATCTGCAGCTTGCGGTTGCTCATGCTGGCGTCGCTACCGGCGAGGCTCGCAGCGTACAGGCCCGTGCCGTCGCTGCTGCGGCCGACTGAGCTGGGCGGCGACGGGTTGCCGTTTCCTTGGGGACGCATTCCATTGAGCATGCCGCCATCGGGAGTGCTGTTGCCGCCGTAGATGCTGCCGCCGTAAGTACTGCCTCCGTAGGTGCTGGGCGGCAGCGAGGGCGAGTATGGGTTCTCGCCTGCGACGTTCGTGTAGCGTGTGATGGGCGACCACTCCTGGCTGTCAGTCGAGACGGGCGACAGCGTGCCGGTGCGCGTGTTCATAGTGCCTTTGTCGCGTTTCACCGCGCGGGCTGCCGCTGTCGCTGCTAGCGCGCCTGAGGCACAGAGATCGAGCCTGCAAACGTCGCCGGAGGGCGCGGCGGGTGCTGGGCAAGCGTGAAACCCTGGGCGGGAAACCCTGAGCGTGGTGGGTGATGGGGATTGGACTGGCGCGCCTCGTGCTTCTACGAATCAGTCGTCGGCGATGCGTGAGCGAGCAACATCAACAATGGCATGCAACAATGGCGTGTGCTGGAATGGGCCGCGCAGTTGTTTGCAGGAAATCCCCCGCGGCGCAGCAGCAGAGGGGCGAATAGCAGGTAGGAGGTAGCAGGTAGCAGGTAGCAGGGCTGGAGAGCAGCAATGCGCGGTGCCGGGGCTAGATACCTTTTGAGGGCGTGCTCTACCCGCCTGCTCTTCCGTCCAAATGTCGGTGGATGCCCCTTTCACCACTCTGGGCTGGGCGTGCTGGGGAGCGTTGTTGGAAGTCGGAGCGCTAACTGCAGCTGGCCTGCAGCGTCGACGAATGAACCTGGCCCGCCCTGCGTCGCTGCATGTCACCGAAGCTCGCGATGTGGAGCGCCTCTGGAGAAGGCCTGGCGGTGCGCGGTGAGTGGTCTGCTCAGTACGGCCGAGCTGATGGTGGAGTATTCCGTGCAGCTCGGCGCGTGTCGTGCGTGGTGCTTTGTCACAAGGCACGACTCACCAGACTGCCTCTTTCCACGGCTGCCAAACGGCGCCCGCACAACGGGCAACGACTATACGAGGTAAGCGGACACACAGACCCTGGTCCAGGGACGAGCTCGACGATCGAGACTGTTGCCGTGCTCACAGCAACGGGCTCGCACGGCGATCCTTGCAGCTCCTTGTGGAGCCCGCATCGCCACGGCATGATGGATCAAGACAACCAATTTCATGAGGGTATATAACAAAGTGGCCGTGCCTGGGCGACACTCCGGTCGTGGTTGCCGTTTTCAACGCCTCTCCCGCTGCCGATACATTGCTGCAGAGCGCCACAGCTTCAACGCACCCGCTTGATCTTCTGTGCCGGCTGCTTCTTGCACTCAGGGCACAGCCAATCGCCCACCGGCTCCTCCTTGATCCCCACACACATCCAGTGGAACCACTGATACTGGCAGTTGTCGTTGTCGCACGCAACCATGTCACCGAAACTAACGCGTTGACAAAAGCAGTACTTAGTGTCGTCCGACTCTTCTTCGTCTCCTTCTCCCGCCACACCAGACATCTCCTCATCTTCGGTACCAGCATCACTGGCTACACTCTCATCTTCAGCTGTTGTAGACGGTGAAGCTCTCGAACCGCCCTTACGCCTCTTCTTGTTGACCCCAGACTTGGCAGTCAGAGCAGCCTTGCGCAACGGCTGCTGTGGCTTGGCCTTCTTGACTGTGAGTGCATGCCTCGGTCCTACGCTGCCAGCTCGCGAACCTGGCGTCGACGGTTTTGGTGTGCCCGGTCCAATTGAGCCTTGTCGACCCAGAGACGAATTTGCTGCGGGCAGAGGTCCAATGCTGCCAGTTGGTCTGCGACGCTTGCTGTCACTTCCCGCCGAGAGCTCTCGTTCTGATCGTGCACTAGCTTGAATCGCGCTTTGTGCGTTGGTCAGTCTTTGCTGGTTGAGCAGTGCTTGGGTCTGCATGTTCTGTATCGGGGCTGCCCTCGAGTTGGCGCTAACATTTGTCGCATTTGTGATGCGTGCGATTGCTGCTGCCTGTGCAATGTTGGGCGCGCCTCCACCTTGGTTGCCAGATACCGGATGTAACGGTGTACTTGCGCCTGTATTCGTGGATGATAAAGGTGGCACTAGATTGCCTGGTGAATCCTTCAATAGAGAAGGCATCTGCGGGTCTGCAGGTATAGAGCCATCGCTTTGGAGATCCCGCAGCTTGATGTCCAGCCGCTTCACATATCGATCGAGCTGCGAAAGGTGTTAGATAGAAGTTTCGATCGTGCAGTAGGTTGCTTACGAGCGCGGCGGCTTTGTCTACGAGGCCAATCTTCTCCTCCTGAAGAATCTGCGCGCGTTCGTAGTTTTGGATCACAACTTTATTGTACGGCTCCTCCTTAGGGTTAACGACCAAACTACCGTTCAGCTTAATGAACTTTTGAAGACTGTTGTCGCGTTGCTGTATCGCGGCACGCAGGTCGTGGATCTGCGCATCTTTGGCCTGTACTTCTTCGTAGAGATGCGTGATCTCCGCGGGAAGATTGGCGACATCGTGGATGAACTGCTCAAGAACAGTCGCCGCATCTTCCGCAATAGCCATGATCAGGATGTTTTGGTGATGTTGTTGAGTGAGGTGACGATGTCGTCTTGATGGAAAGTGGTAGTTTGTAGATGGAAACCCCGGAGTGAAAGCACGAGATGCGCCAACAGGTAGGCGCGACTGCAACAAAGCCTAGAAGCCCAGCTATTAGTTCACGGATTTCCTGATTGCCTCCAGATTCCTGTGTCTATCTCTTTTGAAAAGTGAAGAATGTTATATGATGTCTGCTTGGACTGCGGTGCGTGTTCTCGACTTGGTTGCATTCAGCCCTAACAAGCTAGTCAGCTAGCGCGTCACGTGCGGCTCAGCAAAACATCAAGAGCCTACCAATCAGACGGCGACATCCACTCCAACCTCACATCCATATCACACCCTGAAGGAAATCGCGCCACTTTCACTACACGGCAGCAAGATATTCAAGCAAGACTTGTCAATCTGCGATAGTTGAAAGGTGGCCCGCGGGGAAACCTGACCCTGCTCAGCGACCGACGCGCACACCGACAACTACACCGAGAATCCCGTGGGCGATAGATCCGTCAATATGCGCGTTTCTGGATATGGACCGAGCAATAATATTGTCGAGGAATATCTCTCGCCGGTTGACCATGACGTTTACACCGGCGAGTTCCAGGATTTCAAAGCTCTCGCCGATTCCGCGAAACAAGAGGTTATTGCAAGAGAGGCTGAAGAGTACGGGCTAGAAAGGCCGCAAGGATACAATGTGTCCTTCCACTACAACCCACATGTCGAATACCACCACTTCGGAAGCTCACATCCAATGAAACCATGGCGGTTGACCTTGACGAAACAGCTGGTGCTTTCGTACGGGCTCGAGTACACGATGGATCTTTACGAGCCCCGGCCAGCCAGTTTCAATGAATTAGCCATTTTCCATGACCGAGAGTATCTATCTTACCTTAGCGAGTAAGTTGTACTCCTGTTTGGCAATCTCGTTCGTCGTGGCTCGTCTCTCTAACATACACAGAATCACACCTCAAAATGCCAAGCCAGACGATTCACAGTACATAGCTTACGGCTTTGGTGGTGACTCGAACGATTGTCCAGTCTTCGATGGCCTGTGGAACTACGTGTCGCTGTACACAGGCGCCTCTATGAGCGCGGCCTACAATCTACTGAACAAGCAGTCTGACATAGCTATCAACTGGTCGGGTGGTCTGCATCACGCGAAGAAGAACCTTGCATCGGGATTTTGCTACGTGAACGACATCGTCATCGCCATACAGCTTCTGCTGACCCAACACCAACGCGTACTGTACATCGATATCGACGTCCATCACGGCGATGGTGTGGAGCAAGCATTCGAGTCGACCGACCGTGTGTTCACACTCTCGTACCACAAATACGGTATTGACAGGCATGGCTGGCCATTCTTTCCAGGGACTGGTAATATTGACGAGATGGGCCCGAAGGATCCAGCGAACCGCGGCAAAGCGCACAGCCTGAACATCCCCATCGACGACGGAATCGATGATCACCAGTATAAATGGTTGTTCAGGACAGTTACAAGCAAGGTTGTCGAAAAATACAACCCTCAGGCCATTGTACTACAGTCAGGTGCCGACTCGCTTGGAGGAGACCGACTCGGTCGATTCAACCTCAATATCAAGGCACACGGCTCCTGTATCGAGACTGTCAAGTCTTTCGGACGGCCTCTTGTCCTCATTGGCGGTGGAGGATATACACCTCGAAATGTCGCGCGTACCTGGTGCCACGAAACAGCTGTCTGTGTTGGCGCTACATTACACAATGACCTTCCGACTCATATTCCGTACCTTCAGGCATTCCAAGGAGAGGAGAACGGCGACGGCATACTGTATCCCGACTTGCACAATACTAAACGCCACGACAATCTGAACACAGACCCAGCGTTGCACAAGCTCGTTGAAAAGGCCATGGAGAACCTCCGTTACATGGAGGGAGCACCGAGTGTCGTAGTCAACACAAAAGGCATCACAGAAGAACAGATCATGAAGGTCAGAGAGCAGATCGACCAAGAGCTGGCAGAAGAGGAAGATGACAGGATTCACTCCTTGCTTGTAGAGAAGACTCGACGAACTCGGGAAAGGAACATTGGAGGGAGGAACGAACGACGTTGATTCGATTGTATAAGGGACAGCGTCGAGATTGGCATGCTGTACGATTAGACAATTTGTCGTTGGCGTTCGGGAATCTGGCGTTCGAGAGGTTAGACCAAAGCTTGTCTCGATACCCCATCAAAGCATACACCTTCACCCAAAATGCGCTTACACTCTACTCAACATGAATGTCTAACGTACCTCAAGCTACGAAGTAGGAACAGGGATCGTCTACTCTTTGACAGGCTTCGGCCACGGCCGTTCAATCAATGGACCCTAAATTTTACCCCACGAAGCTTAGTCCACTAAGCGCAGCCATGTGGACTGCTTACTGCTCATCAGATGCTCGGGCTAGGTAGCTGGCTTTGTTTTAGACCCGAGCACGAGCCCCGGCGGTCAGCGAACGTAGCCCACGGAATCCGTTTCGTTCTAATCGCCCCACTTTGAAGGATACCAAGGCGTCTCGACTTTTGCTGCTTATAAGTCCTTGTGTTACGACGCAAGATCGACTCGTAGTGACACTGGGCGTGAGGGGGAGAGTTGCTCCGCGTGCGACTGCTTCAGAGGTTACTAGACGAGTAGGAGACCGACGATGCACGGAGCGTTGAGATGTGGGCCTTGCAGCGATGACTCAGGTTCCACCTTCGTGAACTGTATCGGATGTCGCGTCTGGAATACCTATGAGTGGTCTTGCCTTATCAGAAACGGCCTCGAGATTTAATCAGATTCGGTGACGCCCAGTCGGACATAACACTGCCATCGGCGTTTGCGCCCGCAAGAAATGGTAACATTACAGGAGCGTGCCGCAGTAGAAAGCATCTACGTTTCACTGCTCCCTCGAGCATGACTTTCAGGTTCCTCCCATCCTTACGATCTTCAGCCCTTTCCATTGGCTCGCTGGCCGACTAGCCCTATTACCAATCCCCACGGCGGGCATTACCTAGCGGATGAAGTTAAGCGTCGGTGGCTTTCATGCACCGATAGCGGGCCAGGATTCTTGAGGTCTACTGCATGCAATTGCTCGGTCAGCAAGCCTGAGACATTCAGACAGCTTCAATCCTGAGGCTGTAGGGCCATACTCTACACATGCACCGCCATGTCTGATGAACACATATATACCGGGAGCGCGCCCGATCGCGCGCAGAAGAACGGCAGCCTGAACGGAAGTTCCGTCGCGCCGAATCCCCGATCTTGCATCACCTGCAGGAAACGAAAGGTCAAGTGCGACAAGAAACACCCGTGCTCCAATTGCGCGAGGGCGAAAATCGAGTGCATCTTCCCAGGACCGGGGCGCGCGCCACGGAAGAGCCGGAAACCGCCAGATGCAGAGCTGTTGGATAGGCTGCGACGCCTGGAAGGTGTCGTGCAGACACTGAATGCGCAGGTCGAAGAACACGAGCAGGAAGCTGTCGAGCGCGAGCGCGACAATGGCAGTCGCCAGGGAAGCGTGAGTGAGAATTGCTTCGCCGATAATGTTGGCTCCAGAAGCAGCCCTTCCATTGTAGTGGACAACAGCGTCGAAGGGCTTGAAAGCCGCTTCGGCAGACTAGTCGTGGAGAAAGGCAGGAGTCGCTACATCAACAATAGTTTCTGGGCCAGTCTGAACAACGAAGTCGAAGACCTCAGGTCTGTACTGATTGAGTCTTCTGACGATGAGGACGATCCCAGCTCACCAGACACATCCGAGCACACAGGTCAACACCAGGGATACATCTTCGGCCTGAGCTCTACTAATGTCGATATGCGAGCATTACACCCAACACCTGAGCTCGCGCGCCAGTTCTGGGAAGCCTACAAGGATACCGTTGAGCCCCTGGTCAAGGTACTGCACATCCCTACTTTTGAGCTAGCTTTCAACGATGCCCTGCAAAACCCCAAAGAGGTCAGCAAAGCCCTGGAGTCTCTACTGTTCGCCATCTATTACGGAGCAGTAACCAGTGCGACTACAGAAGAATGCCTACAGAAATGGGGCGTGGACAGGCCGTCACTTCTGGTCAGATATCGTTTCGCTCTGGAACAGGCGCTTGCTCGAGCAAACTTCCTCTACTGCGATGAGATTGTCATCCTGCAGGCTTTTGTGATCTTCCTCATTCTGCTGCGCAGAAACGATGATGCCCGGAAGATCTGGACTTTGACTGGTCTTGCGGTGCGCATTGCCCAGACACTGGGTATACACAGAGATGGCAGTCACTTCGGACTAGCGCCCTTTGAGATCGAAATGCGCAGGAGGCTCTGGTGGCAAGTCTGTATCCTGGACGCAAGGTCGTCCGAGGACCATGGATGTGATCCCACCATTGTTGAAGCACAGTTTGACGCCAAGATGGTAGGTATCGGCCGAGCCACACATAGATACATGCTAATTACATCCTGGCAGCCCTTGAACGTCAACGACACTGACTTGTACCCCGACATGACTGAATTTCCCCAAGAGCGCACAGGCTTCACAGACATGACCTTCAGCCTCATTCGCTTTGAGGTTGCCAATATCTTCCGGCGCATTCTGTACATCCCGCCTGGACCAGTCAGGTGTACCGAGCTGTTCGCCAATCTTTCGATAGCCGAGAAGGAAAAATGGATTGCGGAATGCCATCAGCAAATAGAGCAGAAGTATTTACAGAACTGCGATATGTCGGTCCCGATTTGCTGGGTGACTGCGACAATATCGAGGCTCATCATGAGCAAGATGTGGTTGATCGTGTACCACCCACATCAGCGCAAGGACGGTGGAGCGTCCCTGCCACAAGAAACGAAGGACAAACTGTTCATCACCTCGCTCGAGAACGTCGAATACTCGATACTGCTCGAAACGGAGGCTCGTACCATGAAATGGGGTTGGCTCTTCCGCACTTACGTACAATGGCACGCCATCGCGTTTCTGCTGTCTGAGTTGTGCGTGCGCACTAAAGGAGAAGCCGTAGAACGTGCCTGGCGCGCGCTTGAAGCCTCAGCCGGACGCTGGTGGTTTCCGCTTAGCGACACATCCGCGAACCGAAAGAGTCAGCATGGGACCTTGTGGAAGCCTCTCAGAAAATTGTTGGCCAAGGCAAGGGCAGCGAGAGAGAGGGAGATCCAACTCGAACAGGCAAGTCGAGCTGTCAGGTACGACCGGTATCTTAACGATCCCTTTCTATGGATGCCCAACTCCGTTTCTCCCGTCACAGTCGATCAGCCAAGCTCGGAAGCGCTGGACAAGCTCTTGCGGCCATCCGCGCCCAAGCTTGGTGTAGCACCAATACGCGCAATCCCATCGAGCTGGCTTGAGAGCCCCGTGGCTCTGAACACGAGCAGACCAATTACAGGCCTCAGAGGCGAAGACTTTGGACAGGCCCAGACGACACAGGGCAGGAGTTCGACTCGATTGGAAAGTCAGACTGGTAGCCCAGGTAAACAGTTTAGCCAGCTGGCGGACCACGGGCTTGACGACGTCCTCTTCGATGTAATGCAAGGACAGGCCTTCGCTACTCCCTATGTTCCAGACCCGCCGACCTCGATGCAAGACAGTCAGACTGGCCTCGCCACGGGTGCGCAGCCGGTCATGCAAAATGGAGGGAATCTCATGACCGGGGGTTATGCACCCGATATGCAGTTCTTTCGAGACCTGAACTTCGACGACTTGACATCCCCAGAGACGATTAATGGACAGAACAGCAGCAACGACTCCTTCGTCGGGGATGGCGGGCAGATGGACTGGCAGGTTTTCGACGACATGGTCAGCCAGTACGGCTTTGACGGACAGGCAGCGAATAATGCCAACGCAACGGGAACCGGACACATGGGTTTGGTGCATTTCTTGTGAGATTAACGTGTCTGTACAGTACAGCGCAGTTGGCCATGGCGTTTACATGGGAAACCTTGACTCTTCGGCTGAAGGAGCCATGATACCCATGTTTGAATGGTCCTTGTACAGTAATTTGTAGTTTAGCGACATCATACTCACTTCTTCAAGGCTCCGTGCCACCGCCTCCAACTATGAAAACAACCGCGTCAACAACACCGCCCAGACGCCCAGAACAGGACCGATTCTTCCACGAATGCTCTCCCTGCAGACGTGCCGATCTGCCGCAGGGATCGCGCCGGCTATATGCAAGACGGATGAAACAGGGTAAGCTGGTCCACATCAAGACATGACTAGATGGCGCTGATAACCTTATCGTCACCTTCCACGTCCCATTCGAAAACGCCCTCGTAGACCGTACGCATATCAACGGCGGGAGGCAGGTGGCAAAGGAGGGAAAGCGAGGGGTTGATTTGTGATTGGCCAGTGCATCCACGTGCTGGACGCTCACCGCTTCAATCTTGAACCATCCCCGGACCGGCTCGAGACTTGACGGTTGTACCCGTAAGGCGTCGCAGTGGTACTTGAACGTGTCGACGCGCCAGCGGGGCGATTTGGTGCTTACTCCTTGCGATTTCCGAATGCAAGTATCAATAAAGGCCCACAACACCCCAACCACACCCTCCTCCCTCTTCAGCATGGCAGCCACACACCACCCTCCCAGTTCGCCCGCAGATCTCCAGACGCCAAACACACCCGCGCCCGCCAACGCAGCCGCGCAGCGAAAACCCACCATCCTCCACCTCGGCGATGACATCCGCTGGAACCATGACCTGTACGCCCGCCTCAGCCAGAAGTTCACCATAGTACGGACCCACTCCCTGCCGCGCGCGGCCTTCAAGCGCGGCCTGCAGGACAGAACGTGGGGCGACTTCGTGGCAATGTACCGCCCCTTCTGGAACACGGGCGGCGAAATGGGGAACTGGGACGATGAACTAATGTATACCCCCCTCCCATACCCATCCGAGATATAAAAAAGGAAAAGGAAGAAGACTGACAATACAGCGCCCTGCTGCCCGCGAGCTGCAAACTCTTCGCCTCAGCCGGCGCGGGCTACGACTGGGTCGACACGCGCCTGCTCGGCACGCGGGGGATAACATACTGCAACGCGGCCTCGGCGTGCAGCGAGTCGGTCGCCGACGCAGCGCTGTTCTTGATCCTCGCGACCTATCGGCTGTTCGGATGGAGCGCGCGGGCCGCACACTCGTGCTCGCCGGAGCAGTTCAGCGACGCCATGCGCAACATCGGCGCGCAGACGCATAACCCCAACGGCACCGTGCTGGGCATCGTGGGGCTGGGCCGCATCGGGGCGCGGATCGCGACCAAGGCGCGCGCACTGGAGATGGACGTGTGGTACCACGACGTGGAGCGGTGGGACGAGCGCGCGGCCGGGGTTGGGGCGCGTTGGTGCGCGAGTCTGGAGGAGTTGCTGTGCGGGAGCGATTGCGTGGTGCTCGCTGCGCCGTTCAGCGGGCGCGTGCTGCTGGGCGCTGCAGAGTTTGCGTGGTTCAAGCGCGGCGCGCGCCTGGTTAATGTCGCGCGCGGCGCGCTGGTGGATGAGGATGCACTGTTGTGCGCGCTGGACGAGGGCCGGCTGGCTGCCGTCGGGATGGATGTGCATGCGACGGAGCCTGTTGTGAATCGCGAGCTGGCCGGGCGCAGGAATGTTATGATGCTGAGTCATACGGCGGGGGCGAGTGTGGAGAGCCATGTTGGGTTTGAGCGGATGGGGATGGAGAACTTGCTGGGGTGGTTGGAGAGGGGGGAGGAGGGGCTGCTGAGTCCTGTGAATCTGCAGTGGTTGAATAGAGATGGAAAGTGATGTTGAGACCAGTTATTGTATGTCTTTGTTTCACGGTCTCCAGCTCCTGCTCAGTCTCTGGCCAATCCCTATAAAAAGATGGAGCTGTCGTTGATGTCCATGGTTCCCAACATATTCTTTTAACAGAAGTTGAAGAGCATCAGCAAGTGCTTGAAGTAGATCACATCGACCTTCTGCATTAGGACCTAATTTTCTCTCAGCTATTGTTAGAAAGGCTACTGTTAGTAACAGTGGCACAGTAACAGCACAGCAGTCGATTCGTTATCAAGAGAAGAAGGGATTTTTTTTTATTTACCTACATAACTATATGTATTTAGAGACAATACTCTCATAGGAGTTGGTCTTCTTGTTAATCCACCAGACACCTCAGATCTACACACTGTATTGTATAGTGTCATGCTTGTCAGTACCGGCGGTTGCATGGGGGCGGCGACGGCCCATGTCGAATCCAGATATCCAAGGTGGTGGACTCAAGTCGGACACCACACAACGGGAGATATTCGACGTAATCTCGTGGAGCAAAAAGCCCAAGCACAGTTCATTCAACAATACTCCCCAGTCCCACAGAGGTATAATAGCGAAACCCACAACGCGCCACCACTCGGCCATCAATCAGACACTCCACCATCACTCACCCATCAATCAGACACTCCCCTCACCACTCGGCCATCAATCAGACACTCCCCTCACCACTCGGCCATCAATCAGACACTCCACCATCACTCACCCATCAATCAGACACCCCAACAACACCTCATCCCACTTCCCCTCCTTCGCCGTCTCGCTCACCTCAGTGCACCGCTCGCGTCGTCTCACCGTGCTTCCGACGCCGGAGCCGCGTTCCTCCGCGCCGACGGAGGTGTGCTCGCGCGGAGAAGCGAGGGAAGCCGCAGCGCTGTGTGTGTTCGACGCCTCATCTCTTGGCTGAGAGAAGGTAGATCTAGCCGAGTTTGCTTTCGTCTCAGGATCTTCCAAACCAGGGCGTGCCGACGCTGTATCACGGCTGCACTGAGAGATTGAGATTACCGATGGACCGTGGTGCACGCATGCCTTGCCCAAGACGCCTTGCTCGCCCAATTGCACGCGCTCCCATCCGCGCACCAGCAGCGCAGCGCCGTGGAGCAAGCCCAGCGCGATTGCCATGAAAGTTGAAAACCCGCCCGCGACGTGGATGTCGACGTTGAGCTTGACGCAGTTGTCTCGCACGCTGAGGGGCACTTTGGCCGCTCCAAACTCCAGGGGTGGTGCGGTGTCGACTGCGAAGCCGCGGCAGTGGGAGAGGTACTGCGGGAGGCTGAGGATGTAGGAGGCAATGTGGCTGGTGAGAACGGCGAGCATTAGGATGTCCAGGACGCCGAGGAGGATGTGGATAGTCCGGGGCGACAGGCGGTGGTGCAGGAGGGAACGGTACGTGGACGGCGTGGACGGTACCGTGGTGGCAGGTGATGGATCCGTCTCGATCCCCTCTCTCACACACCACCACCCATCCAACACCACAACCGCCACCACACAATCCAGCGGCACCATCCCCAACACACCAACCCACACAGCCGTGCGCCACCCCCTCTTCATCTCCCTCACAAAACCACGTGCCCACCACCCCGGCATCTCATAGTCCTGCACCAGCGCGACGGTGCCGACGTGCCAGAGCAGCATGAGCGTGAGCAGCAGCGCGGCGATGAACGTGAGCGTGGCGATGTGGATGTGTGCCGTGAGAAAGCGGTCGCGCGGGGTGAGGCGCGGGTGTCGTATCGGGGAGATGGATGCGGAAGCCATTGCAGTGGGCGTCCGGGGAGGCGATGTGATGGTGGTGGCGCGGAGTATTTTCAAAAAAAAAAAGAAGAGGTACGTAGGTTGGCCATGGGGCAGGAGCCGACAGTGGCGGAAGGCGTATTGAAGAAGACAGCACAAGGCAAGGACAGAACGACATGGCATTTTTGGAAGCGGGAAAGCCGTTTCGTCTAGTCTACCCCGTGCTGATGAGAAACGGACAGCAGTTTGATCAATAAAAGTGCAAGCGCACAGTGCCAAGGACACAAAAGTAACCAACTACTCCCCATCACGCCGTGACCGTGAACGCCGCGCTAAATCCAAAGCAAGAATCACAATGACAATGACAAGACCGGTTGGTGGTCGTGGTGTTGGGGGTGTTGATGGTGGTGGTGTTGACTTGTGAGCTCGAAGCTTGTTGGTGTGAGCTCGAAGCTTGTTGGTGTGAGCTCGAAGCTTGTTGGTGTGAGCTCGAAGCTTGTCGGTGTTCAAAGGGCTTGGCGGCGGCGGCGAAGCAAAGGTGAGGTAGGACCCAAAGTGGCGTCTCGCCTGCTCGACCCAGCCCCAGAGTCGTCTTTGCTGGTCGCTCTCAAAGTTTGTATTCAATGTGATTCGTGTGTGGAGAAATCACGATGAAGCCGGACTCTGCTGGTGCCGCTTCACTTGTCTGTTGTCTGTCTTTGTATCTCGCTCGTGCTGTTCTCGTGTTCCGCTGGAAGACCTTTGCTAGTGTGGTTCCCGGCATTCTAGTGTGGTTCCCGGCATTCTGTGTGGCTCCCGGCATTCTGTGTGGCTCCCGGCATTCTAGTGTGGCTCCCGGCATTCGAGTGTGGTTCCCGGCATTCGAGTGTGGTTCCCGGCATTCAAGTGCGGTTGTAATCACCACCTGGTCTGTCCGCGCTCGAAAGCCCCGTCCTGGCAGTCGGCAAACCATCGATGCTGCCCTGCGTCTCCGCTTCGACGGCTTCTCTGGCACACCGCTCCTAAGCATTAAAGTCGGCGCCGAAGCCCCCGGATCCGTACTGGTTCCAGTCCGTCTGTGCCTCCAGCATCCACGACACAGAGTCGAAGAACTCGTAGCTGTTTGCGCTCGCCAGGCCCTGAGGCAGCGCAAGGGGCATGCTGAGGGTGTTGAGATGCGGGTTGAAGTTGGGCATGGTATGCGCGGGATTTTCGACGACGAGGCCGGGCGGAGGCGTCGAGCTGCTCGAGGAGTCGGGGTTCGTGGGGTTCGTAACGACGGTGTTGTCGAGCTGCTCTGCTGCACCGCTGACTTGGGCTTCGCGCCACCGCCACACGCAATCGAACACGACACTCATGCTCATGCGGCTACGGACAATGAGACCCAGCGGATCCTCGAGCATGCCCGTGCTTTCTCGTCGCTGCTGCGTGGTCTGCTGGGACTGCGGCTGGGTGTTGAACATGTTGGCGATGCCAGAGTTGCTGATCGAAGGCGATTGCGACATGCTGTGAAGACTGCGCCCCCGTGAGCTCTCCTTCCAGAGCTGCGCCAGCACTTCGGCAAAGCGATCCAGGAGGTCGTTCGGCCAGACTTTGGCTCGCCTCAGCGCCTCGACGGTCTGCAGCACATATGTACGGCCCTTGGACGGCAGCCGCCCGGCGAAATCCGAGTTGAGGAGCTTGAGGAGGGCAAAGCCAGCGGCGAGGGCCATCTGCATAATGTAGTAAGGCACGTAGGGGAGTTTGCTCGCTTGCTGCAACTTGAACACCTGGTCGAGGTACGCCGTGGCTGCGTAGTACAGCGCGACCAGATCGTCGCGGCGTTCGAGTCGAGGCTCGGGGCTGAAAAAAGAGTGGAGATGCAGGTGCAGTGAGACTGCACAGTGGTAGAGCTCCTCCAGCTCTGCGATTGTTAGCTGCTGCGTCTGACGAGCCGCGCGTCCACGTACCGTTGTCGGCGCCGTCCAGCGACCCTCGCTCTTCCTTTAAGCGATCCGCCTCCAGCGTCATGTACGTTGTCGCAGCCTCGGCGGCGAACCTGTGCGTGTTGGCCGAGTACAGGAGCTTGTTGATGCGGCTGGCAGCCATCTCCTGGCGCAGACGGACAAACAGGGTGGGCGGGATGGTGCGCATGTGGTCCTCGTCGTCGACCTTGAACTCCAGCGTCGAGTCGTAGAGGGTGATGGAGGGCTGGCCGTTGCCTGTGGAGACGCTGCGGGGTGTCAGTTACAGCGTGCGCAGCCACGCGTCCAAATTTCCACTCACGTCTGGGCGACAATGTTGCACACGGCCCACGTCCGCAGCCGGTCGTGGATGTCTTCCTGCTGCAGACGGACGCGCGTGCGCGAGAAGTCCTGCGGGTGGGTGGGCTGGTGCAGCCCAATCTGCATGGCAATCTGCATCATGACGCCGCACAGCATGTACGTGGGGTCCGTGACGGTGCGCTCGGCGGGCACCGGCCAGGTGCACAGCAGACACAGGGCCTTGACGACATGGTGGTTGGGCTGGTTGCGGATCGAGTCCCAGATCAGGTCCGTCAGCGGCTTCGCCAGGTCCTTGAGCAGCGCGGGCCGACTGGTGGAGCGGCGGGCGGCGACGCTGATAATGGCCCAGAAGAGCAGCTTGTGGTCGTGGTTGTAGTACTCGTCGGGCGAGCGCACCTGGTCGAGGAACGGCAGGAAGGGGTGGTACAGCTGGAAGTACTCGGCGAACAGCTCGCTGACGTCGCCAAGGCCCAGGCGCACCTCGCCGGCCCCGAGCGAGTAGAAGAGGGGGGACTGGCCGCTGCGCAGGTCGAGCAGCGACGTGGCGGCGACCTGCTGGTGCTGCGTGTGCAGGAACGCGTCGGCGGCCTCGAGCTTGAGCTGCGGCGCCGCGCCGTGGGCTATGTGGCCAGCCACGGCGGCGCCGCGGCCCTCGTACGCCGCCAGGCGCGCGCGCAGGGCCTCCATCTCGCGCTCCATCTCGGCGTTGCGGTTGCGCTTGCCGACGCGCTTGAAGTTGGGCTCGATGACGCAGCGCAGGTTCTGCTTGACGCAGCGCGCGCAGCTCACAAACGGGTCGCGCTGGACGTTGCACTTGAGCTGTGCACACGCGGCCTGTCAGCGCGGCACGCGGACTCGGGACGCGCTCGCTCGTCGACGGCGTCGACGGGGCCGACGGGGTCTCGACTCACCTTCTGCTGGCGGCATTCGTTGCATGCGCGCTTCACGGCCATGTTGCGACGCGCCGACGCTGGGCGCGAGCCCTCTGCGTCGCCGTTCGCAAAGTCGTCGTCCTCGCTGGACGCAGACCGCTTGAACCCGCGCGGCTGGCCGGGCGGGCTGCCCGCGAAGCCCTGCGCCGCGAGGCCGTGGCCGTTGCCCGGCGTCGTGGGCGCGAGCTGCTCCGACATGGACATGATGTGGCGACGTGTAGCTCCTGCAGCCTGTTGCGCGCGGCGGCACCGATATCGCTGCCCGAGGTGTGTGCTCTTGCGCTTGGGCTGGGGCGGGGTCGGAGCTGGGAGGTGAATTCTGCGCGGCGTGCGCTGGCTTGCTCCCCGCGCTGAGGGCGACACACGGCAGCTATCAGGCAGTGCAGGCAGTGCAGGCAGTGCAGGCAGTCTGGACAGTCTGGACAGTGCAGGCAGTCCGGGCAGTCCAGACAGTCAGCTGGCCCCCGTCGGCTATCGATATCGCTGTCACGTCTGCTCGCGACGACAGGCACGCTCGAGCTTGCTGCAGGATCCCGCCGCCGAACAACCTCTTCAGGCTACTGGAGCTCCGCTTGTCCCCGCCGTGTTTGCAATGGTGCCATTTTTCGGACCCATGCACTCCTCCCCGACGCTACTGGCCACACACACTGCCGCTGTCCAGCTGGCAGAACGTCGGCTGATGGGCAAAGGCAGGGACAGGGTGATGGCATCGAGTCACCACGACTGAAATCATGTCATGGGCGCTGGTGCTAATTACTTCGCACAGGAGAAGCTAGCTGCAAAGGTGGAAGCCACAAACTAGACAAGGTCTTGTCTGCAGCAAGACGGCAGCTCTGGAGGCTGCAGATACTGCTGTGCCGCGGCCGACCTTCTCTGTAGTCTGGCGTGTGCGTACACGACGGACCTGCGTGTTTGTTCACCTGATCGACCGATTGGTGTCTTGTTCGTTCCAAGCTCCCGTGCGTTCAGTCGCTGTCAGAGTCACTGTGGAGGCTCAGCGCGTTCGGATTGGGCACATGGTCACGTAGACAACACACAGTCACAGCAGGCCAGAGTCGGCAGGGTGACGACAGTCTTCCACGGGCTCAACGCGTGGGCTCGACTGCAAGCATCAACCAACAAGCCCTGGCCCTCCACCGCCTTCCATGCCACGCCCTCGTCGTCACGCATCATGCACCGCATAGCCCAATTGTGTTGCGCAGCTTGTGGATGTATTCGTGATCCTACTCAGCTACTGTCCTGGTGGACTTCGGAGAGTGACGCAGAAATCGCCGTGATATCGTGAAAGTCGACCGAACCAGGAGACTGCCCATAATGCACATGAACACCGATAGCCCCAGTTTTGCCATGCTTGAACCCCAGTTACCCTCGATTCATCCCCGCTTAATGCTTCTTCTGCTGGGACTCCTTGAGGACCTTCTTGACAACCTTCTGCTCCTCAATGAGGAAAGCGCGGACGATGCGGTCCTGCACGCAGTTGGCGCATCGCGATCCACCGTAGGCGCGCTGGACCGTCTTCTTGGGGCGGGAGACGGTGGCGTATTCGCGGGGGCGGAGCGCAGGGACACCGGCGAGCTTGGTGCCGCAGTCCTAGAACCTGTCAGAGCCGGCCGCGGCATGCAATTGCGCTGCACTTACACCGCACTTGGGGGCAGTGCCCTTCTTCTTGATGTGAAGGTAACGGAGCTCACCGCCGGGAGTCTTGATCACGCGGACCTTCTGGCTCCTGGTGTTGTAGGGGGCACGACGCCTCTGCGCGCTGTTAGCCACTTTCCCACACGCGTCCAACCAATTCCATCTCTGGTCTTCTTGCTCGGAAGCTCGGGGCGACGTACGTAGGTGAGTCTGGTGTTAGGCATTGTGATTGATTTCCCGGGGAATCAGTGGGTGATTGTCTGTTACAGAGCGTGAGCGAAAAATTCGTGTCGCGGTCGAGCGCAGTTTCGGACGAATGAATCGAGCGTGCAGGCAGTCGATGCTGTCGGCGGGCTGCGTGATTCGGGCAGGGCTTCGCTGGGGCAGGCTTACCGCTGGGCGTTAGTAGTCGTGATGTCGTGAAATTGATCACCTTGCGGAACTTCGGTGTGCTCGCTTAGCAAAGCGTGTCCGTGCGCTTGGCCCGCAGAACATCACGTGGATCCTGAACTTCATAAATCTGAAAGGAAGGCGCTAGCGCATCGCAGCACACGTGACCATGCCCTAGCGCGTGGACGAAAAGATATCATCAAAGGTGCGACGCCACTAGGGGAGCAACTCCATCGCCAATCGCTGCAACGCGTGGAGCGTCAACCCCAGCTCGACGCGCATCTGTACGATTTTCCTTTCGGAGCATCCAGCGACCGATTCGGAATCTGCGCGCGGACGCGACTTTCCAGCATCGACCGCGGCGCGCTGTCGTCCGCATAGCTTGGAGACTCGCCCTCTGAGCTGCACCCCGATACAGCACGACAACGAAACGCCCACCCAGCATGGCGTTCCCACCACCCCCTCCCCCGCCGCCTCCTCCAGGCCCTCCCGGGTCTGGCTATGGAGCACCCCCGCCGCCACCTCCCCCTCCCGGTCCTCCGGGCGCGCCAGGCACCTCAGGCCCTCCCGGAATGCGCCAGATGGCCGATCCTCAGGTCGCCAAGTTTGCGCAGAAGAAGAAGGACTGGCTGCGACAACAACGACAGAGGTTCGGCGAGAAGCGCAAGGCCGGATTCATTGAGACACAGAAGGCAGACCTGCCCCCAGAGCATCTGCGCAAAGTGTTCAGAGACATTGGCGATGTATCGCAGAAGAAGTTCACCACAGACAAGAGGAGCTATCTGGGTGCGCTCAAGTTCATGCCCCACGCGGTCCTGAAGCTTCTAGAGAACATGCCCATGCCCTGGGAGAGCAGGCGCGACGTCAAGGTCCTCTACCACACCAACGGATGCTTGACACTCGTCAACGAAGTACCGCGCGTGATTGAGCCAGTCTTCCACGCACAATGGGCGGCCATGTGGGTCGCTATGAGGAAGGAGAAGAGCGACCGTCGCCACTTCAAGCGCATGCGTTTCCCTCCTTTTGACGACGAGGAGCCTCCGCTTTCCTACTCAGAGAACATCGAGGACGTCGAACCCCTGGAACCCATCCAGTTGGAGCTCGACGAGGACGAAGATGACCCGGTCATTGAGTGGTTCTACGAGCACCGCCCCCTCCTTGACACCCCACACGTGAACGGGCCGAGCTACGAAACATGGAACCTCGACTTACCACAGATGGCCACATTGTATCGTCTGAGCAGACAATTGCTCAGCGACACTGTAGACAAGAACTACTTCCACATGTTCGACATGAACAGCTTCCTGACGGCCAAGGCGCTGAACGTTGCAATCCCCGGAGGACCTCGCTTCGAACCGTTGTACAAAGACATCGACCCGAACGACGAGGATTTTGGTGAATTCAACGCCATTGACCGCATCATTTTCCGCGCGCCCATCCGCACAGAGTACCGCGTCTCGTATCCGTTCCTCTACAATTCTCTCCCTCGTAGTGTCAAGCTGGCTTGGTACTCGTATCCCCAGGTCGTCTACGTTCACGCGGAAGACCCAAGTCTGCCTGCATTCTACTTTGACCCTATCATTAATCCCATCTCCTCGAGAGCAGTAGCACCTAAGAACATTTCCGTGAGCCACGAGGATTTGGTTTTCGGTGACGCTGACGAGGATGACGAGGACGAATTCCAGATGCCCGAAGAAGTGGAACCCTTCATGGCAGATGAAGAGCTGTCCACACCTGAGACAGCCGGAGCCATCGCACTTTGGTGGGCACCACACCCTTTCGACAAGCGTTCTGGACGCATGGTTCGCGCACAAGATGTGCCTCTGGTGAAACAGTGGTACCTTGAGCATGTCCCTGCTGGTCAGCCGGTAAAGGTCCGAGTGTCGTACCAGAAGCTGCTGAAGAGCTTCGTTCTGAACGAGCTTCACAAGAAGGACCCGCAAGCACAGAGCAAGCAGGATTTGATGCGCACACTGAAGGGCACAAAGTTCTTCCAGCAGACGAAGATTGATTGGGTGGAAGCAGGTCTGCAAGTCTGTCGGCAGGGTTACAACATGCTGAACCTGCTCATTCACCGCAAGAACCTGACCTACCTGCATCTCGACTACAACTTCAACTTGAAGCCGGTCAAGACGCTCACCACAAAGGAACGCAAAAAGTCACGATTCGGAAACGCTTTCCACCTGATGCGTGAAATCTTGCGTCTGACTAAGCTCATCGTCGATGCGCAGGTCCAGTACAGATTGGGCAACATCGACGCCTTCCAGCTTGCGGACGGCATCCTGTACGCCTTCAACCATGTCGGTCAGCTGACTGGTATGTACCGGTACAAGTACAAGCTTATGCACCAGATCCGTTCTTGCAAGGACTTGAAGCATCTGATCTACTACCGGTTCAACTCCGGACCCGTCGGCAAGGGCCCCGGATGCGGTTTCTGGGCTCCTGCCTGGAGGGTCTGGTTGTTCTTCATGCGTGGTATCATCCCACTTCTGGAGCGCTGGCTCGGCAATTTGCTTTCGCGTCAGTTCGAGGGTCGTCACAGCAAGGGCGTTGCGAAGACAGTAACAAAGCAGCGTGTCGAGTCTCATTTTGACTTGGAGCTCCGTGCTGCTGTCATGAGCGATCTGATGGATATGATGCCCGAGGGTATCAAGCAGAACAAGGTCAACACAGTTTTGCAGCATTTGTCAGAGGCGTGGCGATGCTGGAAGAGTAACATTCCATGGAAGGTTCCAGGACTGCCCGCGCCCATCGAGAACATCATCTTACGATACGTCAAGAGCAAGGCCGACTGGTGGATTTCGGTCGCGCACTACAACCGAGAGCGCATCCGACGAGGCGCTACAGTCGACAAGACCGTCGCGAAGAAGAACTTGGGCCGTCTAACCCGTCTGTGGTTAAAGGCAGAACAGGAGCGTCAGCACAACTACATGAAGGATGGCCCTTATGTGTCCAACGAAGAGGGTGTTGCCATCTACACAACAGTAGTGCACTGGCTCGAGGCAAGGAAGTTCCAGCCGATTCCTTTCCCCAGCGTGTCATACAAGCACGACACCAAAATCCTCATCCTGGCTCTGGAACGTCTGCGAGAAGCTTACTCAGTCAAGGGTCGCCTCAACCAGAGTCAACGTGAGGAGCTCGCCCTCATCGAGCAAGCGTACGACTCTCCCGGAACGACACTCGCCCGTATCAAGCGCTTCTTGCTCACACAGCGTGCCTTCAAGGAAGTCGGTATCGACATGAATGACAACTACAGCACGATCAACCCCGTCTACGATATCGAGCCTATGGAGAAAATCACGGACGCCTACCTCGACCAATATCTATGGTACCAAGCCGACCAGCGCCATCTGTTCCCCGCGTGGATCAAGCCGTCTGATTCCGAAGTGCCTCCCCTTCTGACCTACAAGTGGGCTCAAGGCATCAACAACCTGGACCAAGTCTGGGAACACGAAGATGGACAGTGTAACGTCCTAATTGAGACGCAGCTGTCCAAGGTGTACGAGAAGATCGATATCACATTGTTGAATAGGCTGCTCCGTCTTATCATGGACCACAACTTGGCTGACTACATTACTGCCAAGAACAACGTCCAGCTCAACTACAAGGATATGAACCACGTCAACGTGTACGGAATGATCCGTGGTCTGCAGTTCTCCGGATTCGTATTCCAGTACTACGGGTTGATCCTCGATATCCTCCTCCTCGGTCTGCAGCGAGCGAACGAAATTGCTGGTGCACCTGAGAGTCCCAACGATTTCCTGCAATTCAAGGACAAGGAGACTGAAGTCCGTCATCCTATCCGGCTGTACACGAGGTACATTGACCGCATTTGGGTCTTCTTCAGGTTCACAGCTGAGGAATCGCGTGACCTCATCCAGCGATTCTTGACTGAGAACCCCGATCCTAACTTCGAGAACGTTATCGGCTACAGGAACAAGAAGTGCTGGCCTCGCGACTCAAGGATGCGTCTGATGCGCCACGATGTCAACCTCGGTCGTGCCGTCTTTTGGGATCTGAAGAATCGACTGCCACGCTCTCTCACAACCATTGAGTGGGATGACACGTTTGCCAGCGTCTACAGCCGCGACAATCCCAACTTGCTTTACTCCATGAACGGGTTCGAGGTTCGCGTTCTGCCCAAGATCCGAAACCAAACTGGCGAGTTCCCTGAGAAGGACAGTGTGTGGTCGCTGATCGACAACGCGACCAAGGAGCGCACTGCCGTTGCCTTCCTGCAGGTGACTGAGGAAGACATCGCCAAGTTCAACAACCGCATTCGACAGATTCTGATGTCGTCTGGTTCGACTACCTTCACCAAGATCGCCAACAAGTGGAACACAACCTTGATTGCGCTGTTCACATACTACCGTGAGGCTGCGGTATCGACGGTCAGCCTGTTGGACACCATTGTCAAGTGCGAGACAAAGATTCAGACTCGTGTCAAGATTGGTCTCAACTCCAAAATGCCTTCGCGTTTCCCCCCTGCTGTGTTCTATACACCCAAAGAGCTTGGTGGACTTGGTATGATCTCCGGATCTCACATTCTGATCCCCACCAGTGACAAGCGGTGGTCGAAGCAAACAGACACTGGTGTAACACATTACCGCGCTGGTATGTCGCACGACGAGGAGACTCTCATTCCCAACATCTTCCGCTACATCATCCCGTGGGAGTCTGAGTTCCGCGACTCGCAACGTGTGTGGATGGAGTACTCGCAGAAGCGTCAAGAAGCTCAGCAGCAGAATCGCCGCCTGACACTTGAGGACTTGGAAGACAGCTGGGACCGTGGTCTGCCCCGCATCAACACACTCTTCCAGAAGGACCGCAGCACTCTCAGCTTTGACAAAGGTTTCCGTGCCAGGACTGAGTTCAAGATCTACCAACACATGAAGAGCAACCCCTTCTGGTGGACAAGCCAGCGCCACGATGGTAAGCTGTGGAATTTGAACGCTTACAGGACGGATGTTATCCAGGCCCTTGGTGGTGTCGAGACTATTCTTGAGCACACACTCTTCAAGGCTACAGCCTTCCCCTCCTGGGAGGGTCTCTTCTGGGAGAAGGCTTCAGGTACGTTGATCAATATCCATAGAACTCCTACTGCAATACTAACATCATCCAGGTTTCGAAGAGTCCATGAAGTTCAAGAAACTCACCAACGCCCAGCGTTCTGGTTTGAACCAGATCCCCAACCGTCGTTTCACTCTTTGGTGGTCGCCGACGATCAACCGAGCCAATGTCTACGTTGGTTTCCAGGTCCAGCTTGATCTGACAGGTATCTTCTTGCACGGCAAGATCCCAACCCTCAAGATCTCGCTGATCCAGATCTTCCGTGCCCATTTGTGGCAGAAGATCCACGAGTCCGTTGTCATGGATCTGTGTCAGGTCTTCGATCAGGAGCTGGAGGCTCTGGGTATCGAGACTGTCCAGAAGGAGACGATCCATCCTCGAAAGTCTTACAAGATGAACAGCTCTTGCGCTGATATCTTGCTGTTCGCCAGCCACAAGTGGAGTGTCTCGCCACCTTCCATGCTGTACGACACGAAGGACACTATGAGCGCTACCACCACGAACAAGTTCTGGGTCGATGTCCAGCTTCGTTACGGTGATTACGATTCTCATGACATCGAGCGATACGTTCGTGCCAAGTACCTCGACTACACCCAGGACAGCATGAGTATCTACCCTTCGGCCACTGGACTTATGATCGGTATCGATCTGGCGTACAACCTGTACTCCGCTTATGGACAGTACTTCCCTGGTCTCAAGCAGCTCATCCAGCAAGCGATGGCTAAGGTGATGAAGGCCAACCCCGCACTCTACGTCCTGCGTGAGCGCATCAGGAAGGGTCTCCAGCTGTACGCTTCCGAGAGCAGCCAGGAGTTCTTGAACTCGCAGAATTACTCCGAGCTGTTCAGCAACCAGATCCAACTGTTCATCGATGACACCAATGTTTACCGTGTCACCATCCACAAGACCTTCGAGGGTAATTTGACGACCAAGCCCATCAACGGTGCCATCTTCATCTTCAACCCCCGAACCGGACAGTTGTTCTTGAAGATCATCCACACAAGTGTATGGGCTGGTCAGAAGCGTCTGGGACAATTGGCGAAGTGGAAGACTGCAGAAGAAGTTGCAGCCCTCATTCGCTCTTTGCCAGTTGAGGAGCAGCCGAAGCAGCTCATTGTCACTCGCAAGGGTCTGCTGGATCCTCTCGAGGTGCACCTGCTCGACTTCCCCAACATCTCGATCCGTGCATCGGAGCTTCAGCTGCCGTTCCAGGCCGCTATGAAGGTTGAGAAGTTGGGAGACATGATCTTGCGAGCTACCGGGCCGCAGATGGTGCTCTTCAACCTCTACGACGAGTGGCTAAAGACGATATCGTCTTACACCGCCTTCTCACGTCTGATCCTCATTTTGCGTGCGCTGCACGTCAACATGGACAAGACGAAACTGTTGTTGCGTCCCGACAAGACAGTCATTACTCAGGAGCATCACATCTGGCCATCGCTGTCAGATGAGGACTGGATCAAGGTCGAAGTGCAGCTTCGTGATCTCATCCTGAACGACTACGGCAAGAAGAACAACGTCAACACATCCTCGCTCACCAGCAGTGAGGTGCGTGACATCATCTTGGGTATGGAAATTTCTGCACCCTCGATGCAGCGCCAGCAGGCTGCCGAGATCGACAAGCAGACGGAAGAGCAGGCACAGCTTACCGCCGTCACCACAAAGACGCAGAACGTCCACGGCGAGGAGATTGTGGTCACCACCACATCGCAGTACGAACAGGCTTCGTTTGCCTCCAAGACCGAATGGCGCACAAGGGCTGTGGCCACCTCGAACTTGCGCACTCGTGCCAACAACATCTACATCAACTCTGAGGATGTCAAGGAAGAGGGCCACTTCACCTACGTCATGCCGAAGAACGTCCTCAAGCGATTCATTACCATCGCAGATCTTCGCGTGCAAGTAGCCGGATATTTGTACGGCAAGTCACCACCAGATAACGACCAAGTCAAGGAGATCAGCACGATCGTCATGATTCCCCAGGTCGGCAACACCCGCGACGTCCAGCTGCCGAAGAACCTTCCTCAGCATGAGTATCTCGACGGCCTCGAGCCTCTCGGCATCATTCACACCGTCAGCGGCAACGAGCCGCCCTACATGCAAGCCAGCGATGTCACCCAACATGCTCGCTTGATGAATCAGCACGCCAGCTGGGACAAGAAGACCGTCTCAATGACCGTCTCGTTCACACCCGGTTCCGTGTCGCTCGCAGCGTGGGCCCTGACGCCACAAGGCTATAAGTGGGGTGCTGACAACAAGGATACCATGTCCGATAACCCCTCTGGCTTCAGCACGAGCTTTGGCGAAAAGTGCCAGCTTCTTCTGTCGGACAAGATTCGCGGATACTTCCTCGTGCCCGACAACGGCATCTGGAACTACAGCTTCATGGGCAGCACCTTCGGCACAGTCGAGAAGAGGCCGGTGCACGTGCGACTCGATACGCCAGTGCGCTTTTATGATAGCATCCATAGGCCGATTCATTTCAGCAATTTCGCTGAGCTGGAGGATGTGTGGGTTGATCGCGAGAATCAGTTTGAGTAGGCGAGTTTGAGTGATTGGAGCGGAACTGTTCACGCTAGAGAGGGGGGTGTGTGTTGGAGTGACATGTACTTTGTAGCTTTTGGCGTTCGCGTATTGGCGTTTCGAGGCAGCATTGCATGCTAGGCGGAGACATCTGGTGGTCAGGCAAAATGTGCATAGTGTATATCAATCATTGTAATTCTTGAACCTATATCGAAATCGTCCTTGAGTGGTGGTGGTTATTATTATTGTCAATCTAGTTTCTCCAAGTCGTGTGGAAGTCTCCATCTCCATCGATTACCTGCGCCACTCGCAGGAGTTGATGTGTGCAGCTGACTGTTTATTGCTGTTTGAACGGTGGCTTACAGGCGCATCCGGTGCTTGAGAATTTCCGTCGTGCTGATCTCTGGCCCGATTTGCGCTGTTGCTGATCTCTGGTTTTTGCACACAGCAGATCCTACTCTGTTCCTGTTCACAGCTGCTACCTCCTGTTGAAGCTGCTCGCCTGACATTGTGCTTTCGAGTCGCTCACATAGTGTCGCTACCCCCCGTCGATTGTCCGCTCGCATTGGTCAGTTATACGCATTTGCTCCACAGTTCGGCCGACATGGCCACTTTATGCACCACGTAGCGGGTTGGAACATTGCGTCAGGTGCCAACGTTAGTGCCTCATGTATATAAAGACTCGGTGAGTGCTTGCCAGAGGCGACATCAACAGCTCATTCAATTCATGCCACTGCCATGGCCAAAGTCAACGGAACTTGCGACTCTCGCTTCACAGCAGTGAAGGACCTCCTCCAAGCCAACATCGACGCAGGCGAAGAACTGGGAGCCTCCCTCGTCGTAAACGTCAACGGCGAGAACGTGGTCGATATCTGGGGCGGCTACGCGGATACCGCCAAATCCAAGCCCTGGGAGGAGAACACCATCACCAATGTCTGGTCCAGCTCCAAGACCGTCGTCAGTCTCGCAGCTCTTCTGCTCATCGACCGCGGACTCCTCGACCCGTTCGAGAAGGTATCCAAGTACTGGCCTGAATTCGGCGCCAACGGAAAGCAAGACGTCCAAGTTCGCCATTTCCTCTCGCACTCGTCCGGCGTCTCCGGCTGGCAAGACCCTATCACCATCCCAGAATTCTGCGCCATCGAATCTGCCACTGCGCGCCTCGCCGCCCAAGCTCCATGGTGGACACCAGGCAGCGCCTCCGGCTATCATGGAATCACCATGGGTCACCTGATCAACGAACTCATCCAGCGTATTACCGGCACTTCCATCGCCGACTTCGTCACCACGCAGCTCGCTACCCCTCTAGCCGCAGACTTCAGGTTCGGCGTCCCACAATCCGAATACGCGCGCGTCGCGACCATCGTGCCTCCGCCCGCGCCCACGAACTGGGGCCGCGAGGCCACGAGCATCGATGCAAACAGCATCTTCGCCCAGACGATGCGCAATCCCAGAATGGACGCCGAGGTCGCAAACCAGGATTTCTGGCGCCAGGCGCTGGTGCCCGCCGCGAACGGGTACTCGAATGCGCGCGGCATTGCGAGGATGCTGAGTTTTGTGAGTTGCGGTGGGACTGTGGGCGAGACGCAGCTGCTCCGGCCTGAGACTGTGGATCTCATCTTCGACGAGCAGACTAACGGCCCTGATCTTGTTATCAGCGTGCAAACGAGGTTTGGCATGGGGTTTGGGCTCAGTGGCGTTGCAGATGGGGGCGCGGGGTCCTGGATTCCGGAAGGGAGGATTTGTTTCTGGGGGGGCTGGGGAGGGTCAATGGTTTTGTGTGATGTTGGGAGGGGCGTGACGATTACGTATATGATGAACAAGATGCATAACGTGGGACTGGGGAGTGGGCTGGCGAAGGAGTATGTTTGGGAGATTTATAGGGCACTTGGGGTGGAGGTACCAGACAAGCCGAAGGTATGAGCATCGATACTTCCCTGAATGGCAGTGATGACCAAGATTGCGAGTAGTGAGATGAATATCTCATATCCTTCAACTTACTCGTAGCGGTAGCCTGCGGCTGCAGTTGGCCAGATCATGTGTGGCCCACATGAACAATCAGGAAAATCCCCAAAACCAGCCTGTATCGCTTTTCGTCTTTGTATTGCGGGAGCTCTGATCCAATTTGACATGAATTTCCTCTCTGCACTGCTGTCGAAAACGAAGAACTTTGACACAGGGTGACTTTTGTGGTGTCTCAATACGTACTCGGGGATTTACCCTGTTGTGTATGGGGTGCGCTGTCACGCATGTGTTGCTAGGCTAGTGGGTCGAGATTGTAGCGTATAGAAGTACCCGCTGACAGCCCTGGTATGTTGCGATGTTGTTTGTAGTCGTATCTGAGAGCGAGATTGGCTGTCTTATCTTCTAGCTTCGCATTCGAATCGTATATCGAATGCAGGCGACGCGAGCACCGCTCCATGCAATATCTCTCGCTGAGCTCAAAATCGAACCCAGTGGACCGGCTAACATAGCGCATTCCAACAGTCTTATTACGTGTGTCCTTGAAGTCGTATCTTCCTGAAACAGATACATCAAGTCGCCAAGTCTCGACGTCAAAATGCCGCTGCAGTCAACAATCGAGCGAGTTCCGCTCACAAATGCACGAATGTAGTCCTCTTGCCTGGAGGGACGTTGACGCATGAAGTTTTGGCGAGCAGGTAACATTTGAAGACTCACCACAGTTCGTAGCGCGGTGGAAGCAATCGAAAGATGATCCGAGCAGAGCCGAATCGTTGAGATCCGCCAGGGGTGCGCTAATTAGCGGCTTATTCAGGTATCTAGTTGGAATAAGCCACTGATCTAGTAGAAAGTACATGTCGCACTCTCGGCTTGAGTCAGAAGCAAAGTTGTCAACAAACCAAACTGCCAAAATTTGAGACCCTGATTATGTTTGTTTGACAGTTTTGTAGTGTTTTAATTTATTCAATTGATTTAACGGAGCTGCAGAGCTGCCTTTTGTTTAAGTAATTGTTCAATTTGAGTGATAGGTGTTGTTAAGCGTTCGGAGCGCGGAAATACAGTGTTCCATGAGCCCGTGCACGCCATCGGCTCGTGCACGCTTTTTAGCAAAACCAACGCTCACACACCGAAATCCTAAATTAATTTACCCCCCAACGCCATGCCAGAATTAGACGATGCCCTTGAAGCCCTAGTCCATGGAAGGCAGGCGAATCATACCCCTACGCTCAACCTGCAAAAAAAAAATATGGCTGCAATCAATCAACGTTGTTGCGCTGGCACCATGGGGTATGCGCGTCGCGCGCGCAAGTCTATGCAGAGCAGCAGCATCTTAACACTACGCAAGAGAATGAGCTTGTGAAGTATATAGACGCACTCTGCAAGCATAGCTTACCACCTACAAGGGAGATAGTACGAAATTTTGCAGCAGAAATATTAAAACAGTATGTTAAAAAGTGCTGGTCAGACCGCTTCATTGAACAACTCCACATCCACCTCCTCTCTTAATAGACCTCTGGCAAGGACCCCAACCGCCACAAAGCTAATTCTGAGAGCAAGATTTAAGTCTAGAGAGATAAAAACACCACTCTAAGATAGCAATCGCAAGCGGATTACACTGCTGGCTTGTATTTGCGCTAATGGCACAGCTCTCACACCTGCTCTTGTATACCAGTCAGCAGCTTCTAAGCTGCAGGACTTATGGCTACAAGACTTTAATCCTTCACAGCATTAGTGCTTCTTTACGTCATCACCGAGCAGCTAGACAAACAATAATATAGGCCTAAGAGCGTGAGCAACTCTTCGTTGATTATAAGCTTGCAAAACAATTCTAGAATAATCTACAATTGTCTAAAAGGGGTAAGAGGCAAGGCGTCAAAGTATCTAAGCCTCAGCAGCTAGCTCTAACTCCTGCTGTTGTTGCTATTGATGTTGAAGATGGGGTGGGTGCCGCAACTAAGCCTGCACCTTGACTGGTCTCTACCACCTGTACTGGCCGCACCACTAAGCTTCTAAGTAAACACACATAGCGCAAGAGAATTGCAAGGCTTATTTACTGCTCCACCACAAAATCCCGTGATAACAGCTAATGTAGGTGGCTCTATAGCCTTATATTCTTTTGGTATTCGGGGCTCCAAAGCGTGCACGAGCCGATGGCGTGGACGGGCTGATGGAACACTGTACGCGATCGGCTGGCAAACATACTTAAGCTATGCCAAGCACGGCCTGCGCGGCGTTTAGCTTCACGATCCTAGGTGCGGAACATATTTTTCACTGCGTGGTTGTGATTGAGGGATTTTTGGAAGCAATAGTTGTTGTGAATAATACATGAAAACTGACCGAGCCACCGGCCACAACGCTAAGTCACACGAAGTAATATACTTTCAAACAAACCTCAAAATTCTTGACGGCCGGAACATCATTTTTTTGATTTGACTATCAAAATAGCAGCAGCAGGTTTTGCTTAGTCGACGTTGTAAAATGAGACAAAACTCAAACAAAATTTTGACGCGGTTTTGTTTGTTGACAATTTTGGTCAGAAGCGATAAACTCAACTTGAAAGCAGTACACCAGTATGAGCTATGGTTCGAGTTGTATGGTCATGGCGGCGTGAATGCCGTAGTTTGATCTGCAGAAATCGAAGGTCTTGTTAATGCGGTCAATACCGCAATCTGAGAGATCGTGAGATGTCTGGCATAAGCGTAAGGCAGCATCAAACAGCACTTCCTTGACAGGCTTCCTGTAGTCGACAAGGATTTGATCTGCCGGGTCGAGTAGACCTTACAAGCTGTGGATTATGTCTCTAGGACCCTCGCACTGATTCTCGCCGAATATGTGCAATAGTACTCCCCGGTCATGTGTTCTTGTTGCCAGTGCATTAGAAGCTAGTCATGTGACTTGCGCTGGTACGCCCAGGCTAAAAGCGCGTACACAAGCTGACGCATAGCCCAATAGCTTGTAATAGCTTTGTTGAATATTTCCAGACTCACTGCGGTACATCTACTTGGCCGCCATCATCTCCAAGAACTTGTCGCCAATAGCATTAGCAGACATTGGATTATCGCCAGTGATAACCTCCCGATCCACCGTGATCTGTCCCGCGCTCTTCGCAAGCCCCTCCTGCATATCCGCGCCGTTCTCTCTCAGCACCGACTCCACCTTGGTAATCTCACCGCGCAGCACTGTCTCCATAACCGCCTCCTCCGCATCAGACCACGCCGTCAACTTGTACCCCTTGTACGCAAACGCCTTCTGCGGGCCGACCTTGGTCGACAAGAACGCCCAGGGCCCGTGGCACAGCGCCGCTGTGGGTTTCCGCTGCTCGTGGAAATGCGACAGAATGCGGCCGAGTTCCGGGTCGTCACCGAGATCTGACAGCGGCGCGTGGCCGCCGGGAATGAAGACACCGGCATAGCTCCTGAGCTCGTCGTCGCTGATATCGGAGAACCTGCGCGGGCTGGAGAAGCCGTTTTCGCGCTTCATGCGCTCGATGAGCTCATGGTCCTTGTTGCGCTTGAAGAAGTTGCCGGCGTAGGCGGCGAGAGACACGCTGAGGGGGTCTGGCTGCGGCTCCTTGCCCTGGGGTGAGGCGAATGTGACTTCGTAGCCGGCATCGAGAACTTTTTGGAGAGGCTTGGCGAGCTCCATTAGGAAGTAGCCTGAGTCCTGACGCACCGTCTTGCCATCGCTTCCGGTGTTGTAGAGAGGGAAGGAGTGGGCGTCGGACATGACGATGAGGACCTTCTTTGCTGCCATGATGCGCGTGTTGGCGATGTAAATGTGGTTTAGAATGGACTGGAAGTTGGCGGGAATATGGGGTTGCTCAGTTGTTGACTTTTGAGTTGACCTTTGAAATGATATGAGAGTTGCGCGCAAGGAAAAGTTGATATAGGTGTTGCTGGAGAATTCGGTCTGATGATGCTGTGACGTCAGCGCATCCTCTCCACAACGACATCACGAAAAAAGACACAGATGTACTCGACGGTCTCCAAACGCCGGCAGACCTCAGCAGAGACCGTGGGGAGAATGAGCTTCTGACACGTGCCTGCGATGTGATCGCATGCACTACTCGATAGTCACGACGACCAGTGACATGCAGTCTACCTCACACCACCACCTCACCATCTGCAGCAGGTTGATGCAGCTCCTCAACGCCAGCGGTACTAGCAAGGCCTCCGAACCTCAGACAAGGCAGAACGGACATGGCAGGCGGCTATTCTAAAAACAAGTGAGCAAAAGGGCCTACAATGCATACGAATCCGATAGCAGCTGCTCCGTTGCCTCAGCGGCCATGGCGGACATTCCACTTACCTGCGTAAAAAGAACCTGTTCGTGGTGAGGATTCTCCCATCCGCAACGGTCTCGCAAGCACATCTCTCCTCCCACACTCCACTGAGACCTCTAGGTCAGGAGTCAGTTGCAAACGCGGAGCCGGAGCTGCTTCCGAGCACCCGATCCAGTTCAGGGTCCATGGTGGGGTGGAGGGGCATTCGTGGTTCGGCTATGCGATCGATGAGGTGGGATGAGGTATAGCCGATAAGGAAGAGCGGCTCGACGAGGTCAAGCACGAGAGCGGAGCGTGACAGAGAGGGCGTTTAGAAGGCGAAGCTGAAGCTGGGTAAGAGGAGGAATCACGACCGCTCGACCATGCCTCGTTCGGATGCAAGTCTAGATCCGCCAAGGTCAGCGGCATGACATGTCTACCGGTACCCCAGATCCCCACGGCCGGGTACAAGACTAGTTCGCGCCATGAAGCTCTCCTTACCATCTCCCAACATCTTCCAGCATCTCCCAACATCTTCCAACATCTCCCAACATCTCCCAAATACCACCTCCCCTCCTCTCTCATAGCGGCAACCTCGCAGCCTCCACAACCCAGCATGGCCTCCTCCCCACCCTCTACGCTGACCGGTAATCCCAACTCCCACGACCCATCCAGCTTCTCCTCATCCCTAAGCGCAACATGTCTCTGCAAAGCGATCCGCGTGACCATCAACGACAACGAGCTCTTCACGCGGCCGCGCGGCCACCTGTGCCACTGCGCCAACTGCCGCAAAGTCGCAGGTTCCTACGTGTCGTCGAACCTAGCCATCGAGAAGGAGAAAGTCGTTGTCGACGATCCCCAGGCGAAAATGCGGGTATACGTCGATCTCGAGACGGGTAGCGGGAAGAAAGTTGAGCGCTGCTTTTGCGGGACTTGTGGGAAGTATGTTCCCTTCCCCGGGGCGGTGGTGTGAGGAGGGTTCGAGTGTCACCATGGGCTAATACTTTGTGTGTGATAGTCCTATCATGTCGATTGCGGAGATTTTCCCGACCATGGTTATTGTCAAGATGGGCATGTTCCCCAGGATTCCGCAGCCCGAGTGCGAGAGTTTCGCGCTGCATCGACATCCCTGGCAGGGCAGGCATGGGGACCTGACGCAGTTTGAGATTGTGCGGGGTGGGAAGAAGTTGGGCGAGTGAGGCTCGGGGTGTCAGAGCGGAGGTGGTGGCGGTGGGTACCGGGGGTGTGTGGAGCGTGGAGGAGGGAGCAGTCGGCGTCGATTCTCTTGGATGGGATTCAAGGCTCTGTCGACGACGGTGCGAGGGCGATGGCGATCCAGATTGGCACGTGGTGGCTTGGCCCCCTTTCGGCTTCGCTGTCGAGGATGCCGCTGTCTCTCATCACGCCGGTGCCCTACATTCCGACCAGTGATGAAGTAGTCAACTCGATCACAACTCGTGCCCCACTCGCACCTCCTTGAGTGGTATGTGTACTTGCGCAGGGGATGTGTTTGCCGAGGACGTCGCGTGCGTATGAAGCACTCGGGCATTGGACGGGGTGTGTACACAAGAATAACCGCGCAGTAGAAGAGCACGTTCATGAAGATAGCAGTGAAGGAGTGGCCAGGGCCCGCGAATGCAGACACAGAGGGAAAAAGTAGATTGGACGTGACCGCGCAGCGAGATGAATACAGCACAACTGGCGTACAGGGCAACAGCCTGGGTTATGTATTCAAAAACGCTGAAGGGGGGATGGTTGTTCAGTGCCTCCTCTTTGGTTACCTACCTGCTAGCTCTGTCCGGAATGCCGGTGGCCTGTCTGATGTCAAAGGCTTGTGAAGGAGTCCTGCGCAAACGAATCTGCCATGCTGGGGCTGATGCCATGGTGAGGCGTGTAGTATCTTTGCAATGTTAAGAGTTGTCGTCTCTCGAAGATGAGGGGGGCTCACAAATGACCATGTCCTGACAATATGGTCCTCATTTCCCAAGATGGCCAAGCAAGGAGCACGACCAACCCCGTACCAATGTCGCTCCTCGGTAACGCAGCCTCGAAGCTACAAGACCAGAGTCATGTTGTCCAGATCGATATCCAGCCCAGAGCTCAACTGCGGGATCTGCGAGTAATTGCTCTGACCCAGCAACTGCCTCGTCATCTGCAGGGTCTACACAAATCAGCCAATAGCACTTGAATCGCGCAGCCCATCACTCACCGCAGCATACGTGGGCGTCTGTTCTCTCTTCATGGTCTCGAGAAACGCCCAGGTCATGGCGCCCGTCGCCTCGCCGGCGATGCGCGCATCCGCGCTCGTCTGGTCATCCTTGCACCCGCTGAACATGGTGACCATTTTCTTCTCGCTGCCGTACTGGCCCTCGAACTCGCCTGCGCTGAGCCCTTCTTCCTCCTGCTCGCCCATGTGGCGCAGGCCCTTGAAGAACGACGACGCGCCCGCGAGCAGCTCCTGCGCCTCGCCGAGCTTGCGGTAGCTGAAGCCGCCGTTGATCAGGTCATTTGCCTCGGTGAGCAGGCGCGCGCCCGCCTTGACGTTGTCCATGAGGCTGATTTGCCCGTCGGCGTCGGAGCGGTACACAAACGGGAGCTCGACGGCGGAGCCCGAGTGGCAGCAGTCCATGATGATGAACAGCGTGCAATCGGCGGCCATGCGCGTGACCAGATGCTCATGCAGGATGGTGCTGGAGATCTGTCCGCGCTGCTCAAAGTCGACGGGCACGACGGTGTTGTCCATGCCGCCTACGCCTCTGTTGCCGTCGACGTCGGCGATCTGCCCGCCGTGGCCCGAGTAGTGCATGAACAGCGTGCAGCCGGGCTCGCTGACGAGCCAGTCCATCGCGGCGAGCAGGTTGTGGCCGGTGGGGTAGTAGGGTGAGTCTGGGGATACTTCCGGGAGGTCGGAGAGGATGACGCGGTCCTTGTGCCCGTTGTCGTAGCCTCGGTACGAGAGGAATTCGGCCATGTTGTCGACGTCGGAGTGGCAGCCTTTCAGTTCATGCGCGGAGCCGACGTAGTTGATGCCGATGAGGAGGGACTTTTTGCGTTTGTAGGACATGCTGGAGTTTGTGTCGATGGCCTGGCTCGCCTGGAGGATCTGGACCAAAGTGCTTGTTATTTGGAGTTGTGAGGTGTGGGCTTCAAAGTGGCTGTTGTGAGATGTGGGCTTGAAAGTGGCTGTTGATGTGGCCCAGGTGGGGTACTTTGTACGAAGCACGTACAGGTGAATGTGCTGTCTGATCTTTACCGCCTCGGGCCTAGTGGGCGAAGTGGACCTCTCAAACGTCGACCTGCATTAGCCGATGCTAGTGACAACAACGGTCGTGCGGCGTCAATGCTGAGGGAGACGGGTTGTGCAGCGTCAATGCTGAGGGAGACGGGTTGTGCAGCGTCAATGCTGAGGGAGACGGGTCGTGCAGCGTCAATGCTGAGGGAGACGTCAACCGATACAGCAGACGGGGCGCATCAGAGCAAGTAATGATATTGCCATTCATAGCTGTCAATAGTGAGGTATCCAAAAACCACTCCCATGTCATAACACATAACACTACACAGCCCGTGGGCTGTGAAGAGACACCGCAACGCAAAACGCCAGAAGAATGCTCCTCTACGAGGAAGAGCAGATGCCTGCTTCCTCAGCTGTCTTTGGCGACCTCTGTGCGGACCTCGCCCTTTGCGTTTTCAGAGTCGCGCTCGGCTTCGCCTTGCTGCTTCTCTTCAGCCTGCTTCTCTTCAGCAACATCCGCCTTTGCGGCCTCATCGGTGCCTTCCATCTCGACATCTGGCGCAGGGACGCCGGCGCCGGTGGGTGATTCTGGCGGTGTCAGATTGTTGGAGGGAGAGTGCGAGTCGGTCGAACCGGCTTCGGGCGCAGCAGCCGTCTCAGCCGGCTCAGCCGGCTCAGCCGGCTCTGCTTCGTCCATGTCAACATCACCGTCCTCTTCGTCTGCAACGGCGGGCGTCCGGGAGCCTGCTGGCGACGTCTGCCGTGTAGACAGCGCGCTGTCGTCGTTGAGATCGTCCAGACCCGCGAGCTTGTCGAGCGCGTCAGGCTTCGCGGCGTCCGGGTTCACGTGGGCAGTAATGTTCCGTGACTTGTCCCTCCCGGGCTGGTCTCGGATGCCCATGCTGGCCCGGTACTCGTCGTCCTCGCTGTCATCGTCGTAGTCGGCGGGGTTGGCAATGCGACGATCCTGGCGACGCTCTGTCGAGCGCACGTCAGGGTTGTTGTCGGCGTCCTCATCGTCGTCAATGTCAGAGTCTTCGTCGTCGCGTGTCAGTGGGTTGTTTGGAATGTTGGTAAAGGCCTCTACAGAAGGCCGGCCTGTTCGGCGAATGTTGTCGATGACGGTCGACTTGATCTTGTGCAAGTAGTCGTGCGAGTTGGCATTCTCCATGTTCGACGGGCGGACGTCGAGCTCGTAGTCGGGGGCAAAGTACTCGTAGTAGTCGTTAAAGGGCAGCTGCTTCGACATTTGCTCTCCCACCAGCTCGCCAGTCTCGTACGCCCATGTCCGGGCAACGTTCCTCATGGTGTAACCGCCGCCGCCGAGCACAATGACCGGCACGCCGAAGCTCTTGACGTACTTGACGCAGTTGGCGTGGCCCGCCATGCTTAGGTTGAAGCAACCCAGCCTGTCTCCGGACAGACTGTCACCACCGCACTGGAGCACAATGGCCTCGGGGCCGTAGTGCGTCATGACGGCCTCGATGGTCGGCTCGAACATGGCCCTGTAGGCCTCGTCGTCGATGCCGTCGCGCAGAGGAAAGTTGACCGAGTAGTTCTTGCCGGCGCCTACGCCAATGTCGCGAAGCTCACCGGTACCGGGGAAGTACTCTCCGTACTTGTGGAACGAGACCGTCATGACGCGGTCGGTGGTGTAGAAGGCCTCCTCGACGCCATCGCCGTGGTGGACGTCAATGTCGATGTAGAGAACGCGCTGCTTGTAGCGAAGCAGCTCGATGATGCCCAGCACAATGTCTGGCACAAGTCAGCATGGCCACCAAGACTCGCCGGTTCCCCGTCGTACCGTTAACGTAGCAGAAGCCACTGGCCTCGCTCTTCTTGGCGTGGTGCAGCCCGCCGGCCCAGTTGACAGCGACATCGCACTTTCCCCGGTTCAGACGCGCGGCGCCCTCCATTGTGCCGCCGGCGCTGATGCCGCAGAACTCAAACAGCCCGTCAAAGACGGGACAGTCATCGCCGACATTGTACTTGCTCTGCTCCTTTGCGAAGCTGTCCATGTTGTCGGGGGTGACCTTGTGGAGGAAGTCAATGTACTCGTCCGTGTGGAACTGCGTCATTTCGTACTTGGAGGCGGGCTTGGCGCGCTGTGTGCGGTGTTTGTCAGTCTTGGGCTACAGCATGCGAGGCAGAGACGTATCGGTGAACGCACGTAAATCTCCATCTTGGTGTACAGGCCGTAGTTCATAATCAGGCTGTGGGCCATGCGAATGCGGTGCGGCTTCATAGGGTGCCCCGCCACGTAGGCGTAGTTGCCGACGTCCGAGTCGTAGAAGTATGCGACCTTTTTGGGTTGCGACGCGGTGCCGCCGACCAGGCTGTGCGCGCCCGTCGAGGGCGCCATGTGGTCGGAGTCCATGGTGGATATCGATGGAGAGGAGGGCGGTGTGGTAGGCGAGGAGCTACGGCGGTGCAGGCGGGAGAGGTCGCGTCGAGGGCGCTGTTATCGAGGCATGGACAATGCGAACGCGGATAACGAAAGACGGCGGGCGCGACAAAGGCCGACGGAGCTGGGAGAGCTGCGGAGCTGGTTAGCGCAGGCGGTGTCGGCAGAACCGCGGGCGGTGCAGCAGAGAGCAACCGCATCACCGGTGGCAGCAAGCGCATCATCGCCGCATCCACGTCCGCATCCTCGTCCACATATTCGTCCTCTCCCTCTCCCTCTCCCTCTCCCTCGCCCTCTCGCGCTATCCCCCGCAGAAGACCCGTTCCCCGCCACACACACACGCACACACATATACACATATACACACACACATACACACACTCACACACACACTCACACTCACACACACTCACACTCACACACACACTCACATACACACACACACACACACACACACACACGCACACACGACACACCGCCATGGACCGGTTAAGCAGGATGCTCGCGGCGGCGCAGGGCATGGGCGGCATGGGCGGCGGGCCCGCGCAGGACACACACCTGATCGACAACTCGGAGACGGTCTACATTTCGTCGCTGGCGCTGCTCAAGATGCTGCGGCACGGGCGCGCCGGCGTGCCGATGGAGGTCATGGGCCTCATGCTGGGCGAGTTTGTCGACGACTACACGGTGCGTGTCGTCGACGTGTTTGCCATGCCGCAGTCGGGCACGGGCGTGTCGGTCGAGGCCGTCGACCCCGTCTTCCAGACCAAGATGATGGACATGCTGCGCCAGACGGGGCGGCAGGAGACCGTCGTCGGCTGGTACCACTCGCATCCCGGCTTCGGCTGCTGGCTGTCGTCGGTCGATATCAACACGCAGCAGTCGTTTGAGCAGCTGACGCCGCGCGCCGTCGCCGTCGTCGTCGACCCCATCCAGTCGGTCAAGGGCAAGGTGGTCATCGACGCCTTCCGCCTCATCAACCCGCAGACGCTGATGATGGGCCACGAGCCGCGGCAGACGACGTCCAACGTCGGCCACCTCAACAAGCCGTCGATCCAGGCCCTCATCCACGGGCTCAACCGCCACTACTACTCGATCGCCATCGACTACCGCAAGTCGGCGCTCGAGGAGAACATGCTGATGAACCTGCACAAGCACGTGTGGACCGAGGCCCTGCAGATGGACGACTTTGCGCTCGACGCCGAGCGCAACCAGGACCGCCTGCAGAAGCTCGTCGCCCTGGCCGACGGCTACGAGCAGCGCGTCAAGGAGGAGACGGAGCTGACCCCGGACCAGCTGAAGACGCGCTACGTCGGCAAGGTCGACCCCAAGAAGCGTGCGCCGCCCACTTGTCCGTGCAACCGAGCCTGTGCTAACCTTGACTCCAGACATCTCCGACGTCGGCCAGCAGCTCATCGAAGACAACATCGTGTCCGTCTCGCGGCAGATGATCGACAAGGAGGCTTCCGTGCCCAAGTCCAACGGCAGGCAGAACGGGCGGGCGTGTCAGGACGAGGCCGACGAGATGGAAGAGTAGCGCTCTCCAGCGGGGAGCCTGCACATGGAGACTGCACTCGAGGACGTGCAGATTACTCCGGCGAGCAAACTGCACATTGCGATTGCATTCGGCGAATAGGAGATGCACGGCGTGACGCTGCCGGCTTATCTGTGGCGTGGAGTCGGTCGTCTGTGGCATGGAGTCGGTCGTCTGCGGCATGGAGTCGGTCGTCTGCGGCATGGAGTCGGTCGTCTGCGGCATGGAGTCGGTCGTCTGTGGCATGGATCCACTCACACGAGCATCGATAGAACCAAAGAGCATCAACGTGAATATGATAATCAACATGACCATTACATGCGGTACAACGCCATCTTTCGTCTAGTCTTGTGTAGCTTGATTCTGGGTATCATCACTTTTCTGTATTCATCTCGTCAATTTCATTCCCTCCAGCACCCTCAGCACCCTCGGCACCCTCGGCACCCTCGGCACCCTCGGCACCCTCAGCACCCTCAGCACCCTCAGCACCCTCAGCACCTCCCGCACCCTCAGCACCCTCAGCACCCTCAGCACCTCCAGCACCTCCCGCACCTCCCGCACCTCCCGCACCCTCAGCACGCACGACCTCCCCCTCAAACGGCCTCCGCGCCCACACAACCCTCACCTCCTGCCACAGCCTGCCCCTGCGGTCCTTGATCACGCCCTGGAAGTCCCGCACAAACGCCTTGACCTCGTCGTACGTCCACCCCAGCAACCGCGTGTACAGCGCCATAACCCAGCCCTCGACGCCATCGCACCAATTGCGCTCGCCCCACCTTCCCAAATCCTTGAGATGTGGATCCTTGGGCCACGGCCCAATAGGCCACACAAACGTCTGCGAGTGCACGTCGACGAACCCACTGTCCGGCGCCGCCAGAAACCCGTGCATCTCATTGACAACGTCGAAGCTCATCCCCGTCCGGTGCGCGCCCGCGTCCAGAATCGACACGCTGAACGCCGAGAGCAGTTGCTCGTTGTACCCCGTGCTGGTCTTGCTCGCGCTCGTCTCCACGCTGAACTCGAGGTGCTCTATCCACCCTCCCGGTTTCAGCGCGGAGAGGCACTGCGCGTACAGCGTCGGCCAGGACTTGATGCAGCCTGTCAGCCCGCGGATGTGGATCATGTCAAAGTGCGCGGGTGGGTAGGTGAGGGGCGAGTTGGCGTCGTCAATCTCAAAGTGCACGTTTGGCGGCACGCTGGGCGGGTGGATCGGGCTCAGGTCCGTGGCCGTGATTTCGGCGGCGGGGAAGAAGTCGGCCATGTCGAGGGCCCAGAGACCCGTGCCGGTGCCGATGTCGAGGATGCGCTCGGGGTTGGAGAGCGGCGCGAGGAAGAGCTGGTCGTGCAGGGTGAGCAGCCACAGGTGGTGCACAATGGTCTCGTAGCGCGAGTAGGCCTCGTCGTTGGGCGCGTAGTACGTTCCCTCGCGGTACGCGTGGTAGCGCCGCCCGTTCTCGTACCGGTACGATGTCACTCTTGACGCGAGCGAGCCGCCGCCTGTGCTGGCGTAGAAGGACTGCCGGTCTGCGTCGTTGTCGTCGGATTCGATGTAGTTGTCGTACTCGGAGTCCTGGGGCGGTTAGCGTAGGACGACGCAAGCGACGACGATGAAGGAGGTCTTGACGCTTGTGTTCGAATGACGATGAGGAAGACGGCCATGTAGAGTAGTGCTTCTCAGACATGTAGAATCGTGCTTCTCAGACATGCAGAATAGTGCTTCTCAGACATGCAGAAACGGAACACTCCCAGATACGAAACACTCCCAGAAACGAAACACTTCCAGAAACAAAACACTCCCAGAAACAAAACGCTCCCAGAAACAAAACACTCCCAGAAACAAAACACTCCCAGAAACAAAACACTCCCAGAAACAAAACACTCCCAGAAACAAAACACTCCCAAAAACGATAGAACATCCCCACACAGCCCGTTTCCAACATCGCCGAATACAACGAAAAAAAAGAAAGATCAGCAAGACAGGAAACAGCATCACAGCCACAGACTTACAACATCAATCCCCGCCGGCTGAGCTTCAGTAACCATCTCGGCATCCCCCTCTTTCGACGCACCCGCACCCTTCCTGAACTTGAGCACCTTCCTACGATCCATCAGCCTCTCGCACTGCCATGTTCCTTGACCCTGCTCGAAACGAGCGAAGAACCAGAGCCCTAATACTCACTCCAGCCGCGAGAAGTACCCGCTCCCCTTACCCTCTACCCTCCTCCCCGGGCCCTGCAGGCCAAGCCGCTCGAGCGCCGCGATATCCAGCGTGTCCCTGGAGTCTGGAAGGCAGTGGCGCACGCAAAGGCTCGCAGAAACAGTAACGTACAGACCGCCGGGTGCCAGCGAGTCTGGGGTGAGGGAGAATGAGCGCCTGGTGCAGCTGCAAGACGGCGAGATGCCGCATGCAGTGCACGCTAAGCCGACTATCACACGGTGCTTCGAGAATCGAGACCGTGTCCTGAGGCGCCGGGGATACTCCGATGCGCGACACCCGGAACAGCAGTTCGAATCGAGACGAGACGGGTCGAGTAGAGCTCTCGTCTCGTTTGTCGAAATGCACAGTGCAGGTCCCAGCGACGACCCCCGACCTCACGTCTCGTCCTCGGAGGTACTTTGTGCGGTATTGAAAAGAGGTCGCGACGGCCAGCGGATATCGACTCGGCAGCAGGACAGGGGGGTTCTGTCGTGCCAGCAGCGGCGACGACGCGACGAGTTGCGTGCCTCGCCAGGATTCGGCGTCTTTCGCTGCCCGGACCGGAATGCACGCTCGCAACGCATCTCAACTCTAGACTACAGGAAAAAGAGAATAACACCGCACCGCACGCAAGCCCGCACCTTGAACGCTGCGATCTGCACGTCGACGTCGACGTCCCGGATGCAGTGTCGTCGCTCTACCAAGCCTTTGGGATCTTTGCGGAGAGTTTTAATCGTGGTCGCTCGCTTTGCCCACTGCGCCGGGTCTGAGATCTTGCGGCTTGCCGAGGCGGGGATTACCATCGGGGCACGGCTGATGTCATGGCCGCGATGCGAGGGCAAATATGCCACATCAGCGGTGACCGTGTGGGCTGGGCAAGCGACAGATATACAGGTGACAGGATCAGATACTTCGTAGACAGGTCGGATGGTCCGAGGTACATACAAGGTCCAAGCGAGTTGTTTGACGTCCGCAAGCGTGCGCCCTGTGCGATTGCAGAGGCGCCACCTGCGTATGCCTCGAGAACGCGACCGGTATCCGCTCCTCTGGGTCGTGCTCAGCTCACGCAGTTATTGCCAAGTGTGTTTGCAGGTATCGATTGATAATATCTATCCCCTAATAATGACATGCAAGTGTCCGCAGGCACGTTCTATGCAAAATACCACCCACGGCCATCACCTTTATGCAACATACCGCGACACGGCTATAACCAGGCTGGCCGCTGATATCCTTGCCACAGCTCGCTCTTCTAGTGTTGGCGCTGCCGTATCGTTTTCGCTTCTCGAAACAGCGACAAATTACCGCCCAGGTGGTTGTACATTACTCGTTCCGCCAAAACTCCATGTAATCAATATCCAAAACATCCATAATGATATAGTGATGGTGCCAATCTGGCTGAATCAGAGGGTTAGGGTGGTATACAAATGGAACAGCTGGAGTCTCGGTGTCGTCGGTTCAGCCGCTTCTTCAATTTCTTATCCAAGAGCGGCCCACAGCTCAGGTCGCGGTGCTTCTTATCAGTTTCAGGGTGTCGATCGATCGGAGACATGACTCCAGACGCCACCGAGGCGACGCATGCACTCGATGCGGTCCGCGCATCCGGTCCGATCTTTGGAACAATTTGGTGGGCACTCCCGTGGCAGAGTAAGAGCCTAGGGGTGTCCGTGTGGTTTTGAGGGAGCTTCACCACGGTAAGAACCGGACAGCTGGTTGGTGCGTTGCGTCTTTGCTCTCTCATCCTCAGAGCTAGAATGACTGCTGCTGCCATCGTTGTCAATCGAGGCATCCTTGGACTGTCGGCGGAGACGTTCGGCCTTGTCCTTCAGAAACTTGGCCTGCTCGGCCGCTCGCTGTGCTCTGATCTGCTTCTTCCACATGGAAGCGTAGTGGCCATTACGTTCTAGAAGCTCCTCGTGGGTTCCCCGCTCTTGTACCTTGCCCTTGTTCAGCACAAGAATTTGATCGGCGTGAGTGATGGTACTGAGTCGATGGGCAATGATGAGCATAGTGCGTCCATGTGCCAGGGTCGCGAAAGCCTCCTGGATGTGCTGCTCAGTTTCCGTGTCAAGTGCGGCAGTGGCCTCGTCCAGCATGATGATCCTTGGGTTCTTCAGAATCGTGCGAGCAATGGCGACACGCTGCTTCTCGCCCCCAGATAGACGCAGTCCACGTTCTCCGACCTTGGTTTCGTACTTGTCCGGGAAGGTGAGGATCTTGTCATGAATGCTAGCGGCCCTGCAGGCTTCATAGACCTGCTCATCAGTCGCGGAGGGGTTGGCGTACTTCAGGTTGTACATGAGAGTTTCGTTGAAAAGCACGGTGTCCTGAGGAACAACGCCGATGTGGCTGCGTACTGCATCAATGGTGAGATCAGTGACGTTGTTGCCGTCGACCTCGATGCTTCCAGATTCGGTGTTGTAGAATCGGTAGAGCAGGCGGAAGACGGTAGATTTTCCACCACCAGATTCCCCGACAAACGCAGTTGTGGTGCCTGGCGCGCAGTGGAAGTCTAGGCCGGTCAACGCGGCCTTGCGGTTGTCGTAAGAAAAGTGCACGTCCTTGAACTTCAGATCACCGTTGCACAAAGGCAAATCGCTTGCACCTTCCTTGTCAACAACTGTCGCTGTCTCCTTGAAAAGCTCGAGCATGCGTTCGGAGTTGATCATCGCAGACTGAATCATCCTGTAGAAAGTGCCGAAGAAGTTGAGCGGACTCTGGAGCTGGCCCATAAATGTGATCAGCGTAACGAACTTTCCGCCAGAGAGTTGGCCGGTGGTGACCTGGTATGCTGCAATGAAACAAGTCACCAACAGGCCCACCATGAAGACCATGTTTTGCGTGATGTTCATGATGTTCAGCGATAAGAGCACTTTCCACTCGGCGTCCTGATACTTCTTGACGGCATCGCGGTATCGCTTAAATTCGTAAGCTTCAGCGTTGAAGTACTTGACTGTCTCATACGAGACCATGGAGTCGTTCCTAGCACCGTCAGTATGTTGTTGTGGACAAGGAAAGAATGTCAGCTTACTTGACAGCGTCTTCTTCACGGTCAGCGTTAACCATCTCACGGCGGACTTCTGCGCGCCACTGCGCCATCCGAATCGTCAAGTAGATGTACCAAAAAGTCACAATGGCAATCACTAGCGCATAGTATGCATCGTACTTGACCAGGAAGTAGCCAATAGCAGCGCCCAAATCCAACAACATGGGCACTACTGAGAACGTCACCTGCTCAAGGAAAGTGTTGATAGAACTTCCCTTTCCAAGCGCCGAGAGTACCTCACCCGTCTTCTTGCCGAGGTGGAAATCCAGACTAAGACTGTGCACGTGCTCAAATGCCGCAACTGACAATTCGCGGTACGAGTACTGTGACACGGGAATCCAAAGCGCCGATCGTGCGGCACCGAGCACACCATTGGTTCCTTGGAGGAAACGGAAAGCGATGAAGAGGCAGATGGCGGTCCAAGGACTTCCCGCGGAATTGTGCTCGAGGCGGTCCACAATGCGACCCAGCTGATCAGGGACGAGCAAGTTGATGACACGCTGTGCCATAACCAGCACAAAACAGATGACCACCATGATCTGTAGTCTGCGGTCCTTTGCGGGCCAGAGGTACGGGAAGAAGACGCCGTAGCCCTTGATATACTCCCACCAGCTGCGAGTCGGTGCACCAGTCGGTCTGCTCCAGGCAGGCGGTGCGCCCTCGGTGTGCTGGTGTTTGCCACCGACCGGGTGAACTGAGCCATATGACCCGTTTCCGTTCACTCCGTTCGCGTGACCGGTTTCTGCACGCTCGGCGCCATTCCCCAAGAGCGAGGTGCTTTCGCCAGGGCTTCCCTGCTCCTGCGCCCTCTTCAGCTGTGGCAAGACGACGAATACAAGGTAAAACCCAATGAGAGCGAGCAAGAGGACGATGCGCAGCAGATCAATAGCGACTTCGGCTGCCTCCCATTCGGTCATGAAGAACCGCAGCTTGGGGTTCTCGGGGTTGCCTATGGTCGGTTGGTAATGGGCGTGGGTGTAGAGAGCCAGCGAGCCAGCGACGAGGACAATCTCCAGAACCAGACCGACGAGCCATGTCGAGAGGTGAGCGGCGGTCGGCGAGGGCTTCGAGTCGAGCAGAGAGATCAGGAACAGGCTGTAGACGAAGAAAGAGCCCACAAGGTAGATCTGGAATGTCACAAGTCAGCCAGGCGCAACTCCATGTTGCTCTCTCCAGGACAGCACGTACCACTACAGACTGGCCACACCACCAGTGCTCGCTCTGCTTTGCCAGTGCCTGGGCAATCACAAGCACCGAATTCCCAAAAAAGGTCAGCGCAGCAGCCAGCGAGACCCATTCGAAGACTCGCTTCTGAGTCTGCGTCACGTCGTCGAGGACCGTCTTCTTGACGAAGTTGCGGGTGGGGTCGGTTGCGGGCAGCGGCTTGCCTCCAGGACCGGTTGTGGTGGGTTTGGCGATGTTGGAATTGATTTTCGAAGAGGCGATGCTGCGGAGAGTAAAGGCGACCAGAAAGAAGCCCAGCATGAGCAGCGGGTAGGCATACTGGAGGACGGTTAGGGAATTATGTATCGTCGAGGCGTGCTTCCAGCGCGGCTGGCGGTCGTCCAGATCGCCGTATAGCAGCTCGGCGGGCATGATGCAATTGCTCTCCACGGCGCGAGATCCTGTGTGAGGGTCTCGGTGGTGGCAGCAATGTTAGCTAGCTGGGTAGGGGAGGATGGAGGACGGCGGGCGGTGGAAGTGACGGGTGAGGTGCTACAACCTTCGACTCGACAAGTACGCCATGCTGCGCTTGAAGGTACGAAGCACGGACTTGGGCGAGTCGTCTGTGGCGCATCGTCGACAAGTGCGGATGCTTCTTGGCGGAACTACCGTGGATTCGGGCCTAGACCTCGACGCCGGTGGGAATTGGGGGCGCTGGTGCATCAGGGACGCGTTTGAGGGCTGCAGGTCGCTGCAGCTTGTGCGACCCCATGTTGACGCACCCGTGTCACGCCCGCTGCGTCGCTTGACCACTGCCGCGGCTCCATCTGTTCACTGCATCTCTGCCTGTAAGCCCCGTGTCGTGCAGTCTCCCAGCGTTGCGCATGCTGTTGTTGTGTGCTCTGCCAGACTGCGGCCGTCTTCGCCGCCGCTCCCACCCTCACCGCCCCGCAGTCCAGAATTGCCTCCCACCGGCTGCGCCAGGATGTTCCACAGCAACACGTACACATGACTGATCACCGACGCATCTCAACGACTGCCTCGCCATCTATCCCGCCGGCGCCGCCACCGCCGCCGCCAAAAATAAAAGGCCGTTCGTTCCTTGAGCGTTTCGTCGCCCAGCCCTTACAGTCGGCGGGATATGCTTCGCGACCTCCGAGCGTGCAGGCACATCGCCCGGATGACGGCCCTCTGAACCCACTAGTCCCAAAGCTGCTCGGGTAGGTCTATCCATCTCTACTTCATCTACCTCCAACTTAGGCCTTATTGGGAGTGCTGTGGTTGTTCTCATCCTGACATCTTCGCCGTGCTGGGTCCTTCCCATCACCCTTTCATGTAGCCGCTAGCCTCACTCACCCATCACCTCACCTGCACTGCACTGCATATGTCATTCCACGTCTGATGTCCGTACACTAAGCCTGTGACGCAGCATTCGGACTGGCCACTCGCTCGATGCCACGCACAAGACCGGCCTTGACATATCTGCCCTTGACATCAACCGTGAGCGCACGCACGCTGTGCTGGCTGGCAAAGAGATTCTCAAGACAGTACGTGTCCAAGGCAACAAGATAGTTGACGAGACCAATCTACGAGCTGCCGTCCTCAATTACGCTGACTCTCATGCGCGGCAACGTGAGGGATTGGGCATTCAAGATGTGAAATGGTCCCATGGCCAGTTCAGCTCGCATATAGCGACAGCTGTCGCCAATGGCAAAGTCATCTTGTACGACCTCAACCGTGCCAGCGTGGAGCTTGTCAGACTGCATGAGCATACACGTCAGGTCCACAAACTTGCCTTCAATCCACACCAGGGCCACCTGCTCCTTTCTGCAAGCCATGACGCCACCGTTCGGCTTTGGGACCTACGAGATCTCCGTCGAGATGCTGCCTGCACGAGCCGAGACCAGTTCTCCGGAATTAGCGGTGGTATCCGGGATGTGCAGTGGTCACCAACCGACGCTATGGAATTTGCTTTCGGCACAGATAACGGCACCATCCAACGTTGGGATTTCCGTCACAACAAGGGTCCAAAGCAGAAGATCCCGGCACACGATCAGAAGACCTGCACCTCCATTGATTGGCATCCAGACGGCAAGCATCTACTCAGCGCTGGTGTCGATCGAACGGTGAAGGTTTGGGACTTCTCTGTCGACGGGCGGAGGCAGAAGCCTGCTTACGTCCTAACCACACCCTATCCAGTACACAGGGCACGTTGGAGGCCACCGTACTGGTCTGACGAGTTTCATGACAAGGGCTCGTTCCAGTGCACGCAAGTGGCAACTTCATATGATCGCGACCACCCAGTCTTCCATGTCTGGGACTTCCGCCGGCCGCATCTGCCTTACAGAGAGATCAACAAGTTCCGAAGTCCACCGTCAGACATGCTTTGGCAAACACGTGACACGCTGTGGACGGTCGGAAGAGAGGGCATATTCCAGCAGAACGATGTACATCACGCTCCCAAGACTACAGAACGAAGACCTCTGCAAGCAATCGCCATCTCACCGAACGGAGAGATGAGCGGCGTTGCGCAGAAAAGGTCCCGACCACGACGTCCTACCAACCTCTCCTACAACGACGATATGTTTCTTGGCGCGCCAAATGATAAGCATGGCAGTCTTGAGAAGAGCAGCCTACGAAGCTCAGCAGATGGCAGCTTCGAAGACAGTTTTGGGGCCCTACAAATGAAGCGCTGCCACGGCCGCACAGCTAGCAACAGGTCTGCGAAGTCATATGGTAGTACTCCACCGTCCGACGTTACTCCCAAGGTCATGTTCCTCCCCGAATCGATGAACAACCAAAGCGAGCAATTCCAACCGGACCAGCTTGCGTTCCGAGGGCTCTTACCAGGTGCAGTCAATGTTCAAATCTTTGCATATCTTGCCCAGAAGTACAAAGCGCAGTCACTGCCTGACCGGCCGATCCTGGAGTCGTATGTGGATCTCGAGCAGCCGTTTCAGCAAAATGCCGAGTATGCGCAGAGAGCAGCATACCACAGACTTGCGCAGACTTGGACTTTGGTAGGAGCGGCAATGGCGAATGCGACCAAACGGCGCGCAGAGTTGCATCGAAGCATACGGATGAAGGACAAGAAAGCCAAATTCGAGGATCCAAACGGCACCTCCGGACAATTGCATGCACACGCCAAGTCCTCGGGCGCTCCCCAGAACCCGGCCGTCAGAGCCATTCTTGGCACGCACGATAGGTCGCGCCCTGCATCACCGCTCAGCAAGCCTGTGGGTCATGTTGAAAGCACGTCGCAATTGGCAACGCCCGTTGCAAGACCAGTCAACACTGAATCAGCCCCGACCGACCCTCGCCAGTCTGAGCTCCCCGATCCCGACCACGACGACAAGATTGATCTCCCACCGTCGATGATGGGCATACCGCAGACAGCCAAAGGATCGAAATTTGCTCCAACGGCCTACTCAAAGCCCAAGGGAGCACACTGGTATGACTCTCCTGAAGGCCTGGAGGAGCGACGAGCTGCCGCTGGCAGTTGGCGAGCATCGCCACGAATGCCGCTCAATCTCAATCCAGCGCCTGCTCGTAGCGACAGCCCCAACGTTCCTCCTCCACTGGAACGCCATGATTCGGGTGAGAGTTTTACTATGTTTTCTGCGTCCACAGATTCCCAGCATGGTAGCTCAGTGTCAGGCTCGCTCGAGAGCGTCAACTCGAATCCCCGCGTTATGGAAGGATTGTCGACGGGTTGGCAGCGTGCGCCAGAGAAGTCTAGTTTCGGCAGAAGCACAGGCACAGCGAATGTCGATCATGAATTGATCCTGAGTCCTACCTCAAAACCAGCCCCAGGCACAACACCTTTTGCTTCTTCTTCTCAAGCGCGGCCCATTGAGAAGGGTGCGAGCCAAGATGATATAGGTCATCTGAGGCCACTCAACAGCACTGAGAGATTCACCCAGGAAATTGATGCTTTGAGACGCACGAATCAGCTCATGCGCCATGATAGCTCGGAATCATCTGCATATGCCAGCAGCCAAGAAGGTACCTCATTCTCGTCCACGCACAGTGTGGACATGGAAGCTAGCGGCACGATCATACCGGAAGCCTTCGATGAACCAAGGTCACCGCAGGCCTCCAAGCCGATAGTGACTTCACCAGTCATCACAAAGACCGTTTCGCAGTCGACTGTGTCGACGAAAGAAAGCCAATTGTTGCTGGCGGACTACCAAGCGCTGACCGTTGACGCCGAGAGCCACTCAGCTTTTACAGCTGTCGGCTTGCTCAACAGCATCCTGCAGTTTCACACGGATACTTTGTCAGACGCGCAGTTTCCATCGTTGCTCCTACTGCTTCTGGCGCCGTTGTTACCTCAAACTCATGCACCTTCCAGCTCATCAGACATTGACGTCGATGAAGTACTGAACGCATTCACTGAAACCTTCACAGCTCTTGGGCTTACGCGTAAGCAAGCCGAACACATACTTTCGTCTCAACTAGGCGAGCTGATCGCCACGGGAATCAATCCATATCAAGCGGAGTCAATCCTTAACACTTATCACGCACAGATGCATAGCCTGTCGCTCTTCAATTCGGCAGCATCACTGAGACGACTAGCCTATCCTGTGTTTCCTGCAGTCTACGAACAAGCTTTGAGAGACACTCAACTTGGTTTGTTGTGTCTTAGCTGCAAGTCTCCGATCAACAACCCCAAAGACAAAATGCGATGCGAGTCATGCAAACGCGCACAAGCACCGTGTCCCATATGCTGGGGCAAGTACGCAGCCTTTGAATCCATCACTGCCAAGCGGAAGTCAAAGTCTAAGCACCGAGATGACAAAGGTCACAAGAGGAAAGGATCAGCTACAATAGCGGCGTCACTAAACGACGCCGACAGCGGTCCTTCGCCTTCAACACCGGAAAAGTGGACCCCAACACCAGCTACCCTTTGGACATGGTGCTCACTCTGCGGTCACGGCGGTCACACTAACTGCCTATCGACCTGGTTCGCCGATGCCGTACTCTCTGACGGCGCATGTCCAACCGAAGGTTGTCTCTGCGACTGCGTATCTGGCAGTTGCCGGGAAGAGAAGATGCTCGATTTCCAGAAGAAGAAGGAAGCCAAAGAGCGGTCAAAGATCGTCAAGAGCAATGACGACTGGAAAGTCAGGGACAGCAGAGCCGTATCTGCAGTGCGTGGTACCTTCGGCGAGAGCGGAAGCCAACCTTCCTCGCCCGGTAGCCAACAGCAGCGCAGCCAGACTCCATCCGGTGGTCAAAAAGCCGACAGCAAAAAGGTCCGCGTCCTTACGCCGGCCTTGGGGATCGGTCCGCACACGGGTGCTTCCTCGACGTGAGGTCCGAATGGCGGAAACAACATACCATGCGCGGGCATTATACCGAGCGAAATGAGATAGATTGTAGTGAGAAAGCTTGTGAACAAGGTTTTACGCACGTTGACGTCGAAGGCGAGATGCACGCAGCACGAGGGATGCACTGCTGCAGCTGTTCACACCGCTCCACACCGCCAAGACCCGGAAACCTTACTCCCACGGTCCGGCACCCACTTCCTCGGATGCAATATATCGGATCGCGTGGAAGGCCACGTTGGAGCGGCAGAACGTTCGGATAATTGTGCGCAAAGGAGTTAGTTTGTTACACATCGTTGTTGGCATCGTGTGTAGACTAGCAGCTGTGAGAAGCACCATCAATCGACCGAGCAACCTCTTCTTATCTTCCCGTTTCGTCTGCTGTGATAAACGTCTCTGCAGCAGTGAGCTTCGTATGGAAGATTTAACGCACCACAGAGCCGGGCTCCAAGACACCATTCACCATGCTCCCGGACAAGACTTATTCACAGCCTTGCATCGCTGAACAGCACACGAGAACTAGTTAACTCATCTAGATAACGCAGCTAAAATAGTACTCGCCATTCCAAGTATCACACACCTTTCGCGCTGACATCACCACTCGTGCTGCCGGTCCTGCTCGCCATCTAGTTATGGATTCGAAGGGCCGCGACTACGACCACGATCGCTATCGCCGTACTCCACTTTACTTACGTTGTACCCGATGCTGTGCTACTCGACTGCGATGTCGTTATCGCTCTGCCGACGCACTTCTGCTGTGGTACGTTAGAGGGCGCGTGACATCTGCAGGTGCGCTCGCTTTCGGTCCTTCTCCTTCACCGCGACACATACACATAGTACCATCGTGGCTGGGCATCTGAGGCTGGGATTGCATAGGGAACGTGATGGGTATAGTCCTATACAAAATTAGGCATCGCGCGGATATGTCTGAGCGGACAATAAGCGGGTCATGTGCGCGACTACAAAGAGCATGGAGGTTTGATCGATGGCCGTGGGGTGAGCAGCACTCAGCTGAGTTTTGATGCAACGGTTGTGCGCTTGTCCGTTCTACTACATCACGGAGACATGCTCCTCACACAGTGCAATGCCACTGCTGTGCAACACCGTTGCGTGTACGTCTATCATTTGGTAAAGTTGGGGAGCCGTCGATCGGTGTGCTTCACGTGCAGGTCCCATGCACACGGCGGACCGCGGCCGCTGCGCGCGGGTTGGATGCGCGGCGTCGGGATGCTGCAGCCCTGCGCTGCAAGACGCAGAGATGTGACGGCTGGAAGCAAGGGGGGTGTCGAATGTTGAGGACTGGGGTAGTTGGGGTCGGGCATGGTTACAAATCGGGAGGACGTGAAGAATGAGAGGCGTGCTGTCGGGAGCTGAAGCTGCAACATGCTGAGTGAACGGTGTCAGCGTGTACGTGGACGCAGCGACAGGCTTGAATGCGGCGGGGTGTAAGATCGAGGGATGCGCTCAGTCTCAGAACTTTCGCCAACGTTCTGTATCCATAGTTTCGCGAATGTGCACGCCTGTCCGTAGCGCCGGTCGTACGCACTAATGGCTGTTGTGGTGGCAGAAGGAATTCATCTAGGTCGCCTTGAGGGTAGATCGATAGATCCAGACCGGTACCTTTCTCGTCAATTGTTGCACTGCAGGATCGACACATGGTCGTTCGTTGGCGTGGGACCGGGGTCGGGCGAGGTGAGGTGTGGAGGGGCATGGAATACGAGGTCAGATGGAGCTGGGCGGTTAGCGAAAGGGCGGCGTTTCCCATTGAACCTTGAGAGCTAGGCTACCAGAGTAACGGACTCATCGTGCGTGTGGTGGCCTGACTGCGAAGCTTCCAGACACTTATCGCGCAACGGCGATACCATTGATATTGACTTCGTTCAAGATTTTTTTTGGAGTCGCTCGTCTACCGAACGATGCTGTCTACTAGTGGAATCTGGATAGTGCAGAGGGGTTGTATCGAAGATGTAGATGGCTGGGCGAATGTTGGGTTCGAGGCTGGTTTTGGACAATGCCGAATTGACACAGAACTCAGTTTACCGATGTACTATTGCGCTGCAAATTCGTATAGCGGAGAACGTTTGGGAGAGGGATGTCTGTGTTGCACTCGTGACTGATGAGAAGTCTGCGTTCGACCATGGTGTCAGCTTGTGAAAACTGCCCCAGACCTATGAAACTAAACTCATAGTTAGAGCGTAAGTAATCCCTGTCACAACTTTGACCCTCTGCATGGTTTGGGGCCTGGTGTGTTTTGAGCGCACTGCAGCGGCGGAGGAGCGTTTTTGGATTCGATCGTATTGGTTCTTAACCGGTTTCCTTGCCTCGTGACACCATAATAGTCTTCATGAGAAAGGAGATGAAGGCCTAAGTCGCCATGAAATGCACGCCCACGCCTCTGAGACGCAGCTCAGATTCCGTATATCCTGCGTCCAGTCAGCCAAGCTGTTCCTCGTGATGTTGCCAGCCATCGCTGCCTCGGTGCGCGCGTACCTCAACTCCGTATCCACAACCATTTACCTCGATCCAGACCAGACGCTCTTGAGGAAGCCGTCGCGCTGTGTGAGGCGGTTCATGCTGTCGTCAGACTCGCCCATGGCGCGGACGAAGCCAGAGAGAGCGTAGACCTGGTTCTCGCCGGTGTAGCGACCGTTCTCGTCAACCTTAGCGATGCTGATCTGGACGGAAGCGTGGTCCTTGGCCTTGATGATGCGTCCGGTAGCGGACTGGAAAGGATTAGTATCGCGATAGGAAGGTCAGGTCGGGCGGTGCGGTCTTACGCATTTGCGGGGGACGTAAACTGTGCGATTGTCAGCATTTGTTCACTCTGCAGCTGCCAGGTCTCTGTTCAATCGCATTGCGATCTTGCATGTCCCAGCTCCAGCAAATCGAGGGCGTCCTTACGGTCAACGAGCTCGCCGCGTTCGTTCTCCATTTTGGCTGATGTGTAGAAGACGGTGGTGGTCTTTGGAAGTCGGTACGGGTGCTGTCGTCAAGATCGTGGTTTTCGTTGATAGTCGCTGTGTCGAAAATCGGCGTAAGCGAGGTGGGAAAAGCGGGTCTTTCCGCTTTCGGTGCGCTAGTCACGGGCTCGTTCTGTCACAGGGGATATCAACAACATGGGCATGCTTTACAAGTTTTGCATGACATTGTTCATGTATCGTTGGCTTTCTGCTGGCCTGCGTGTCTGATTACTGCACTTTATGCGTCTGCAGCCTCAATTCCAGTCGTCCGGAGTGATTGCCAGGATGACCGTCCCATGGCTGTTCCCCGCCAACGTCCTGATTCAGAATAGCAATGCCTTGTCTAAGCGCTATAGCGACACATACTATGTCGCCGTACTCAAAGGTCGGAATATCTGCTCTGCATAGCGCAAAGCAGCCCACCACAACTCCAATGGGTCCAAGCACGTTGGTGACTCCAACTAGCCAAATGAACGTCTTAGAACCTTTCCGGACCGCAGATATTCTTGCGGTAGCACTGCCGGTAGCGCTTTCGTCGTGTTTGCAAAGGTTAATGCCGCACTGCCTAGAGCTACTGACGCATCGTCCATGATAGATGTCACCGAGTCAGCGATAGCATCGAGAACAAGCACCTTATATACAGGGCTGCTAGTGTCGAATAATACTGACCGGTTTGTCTGGAGAATCATGGTGTTCTCCACAAAAGAGTGTCCGACTGTTGGAGTATAGAACGACAAGCCGTAGCTGTATACAGCTACTGATCGCAGTTTCATCAATGGGTCTGGATCGTCGGCCCGGACATTTTTTATCTGCCGAACCTTGACTGTGGCGTTGACTATTGATACATCCACCCTGAAGAGCGACGGTTCGAAAGTAACTACGCACTAGGTCTTGTGCAGCTGTTGATTGCTGGCTCCGGTTACCATGCCGAACATTCATCTCGTGTCACTGTCGATAGGCCCGCAATTGAACGTGCTGACTATCGTGTCATCAGGACCAAGGGCAAACTGCGCATAGAAGTCTATTACTATGAAGTAGCTACCTCGGAGGTAGTTCTGATACTGCACGATCTGAGACTAGTTGGAGTTCGGCAACGCCCCGTATGCCATGTACATGCTGAGCAACATTCGTTCGCGTAGCGTCTCACGATGGAGGATATTCTGAGCGGAGGGCTCGGTGTAGACGCAATCAGTCTGCGTGGGACAGCCTATCTCTTTGTATGTGTAATGTTGCAAATATTGGACTTCGCTGATCTCACAGTCCGTAAGGCCTGCAACGACACCGACTCTCAAAGGTCGCCCGATGAATTGATATCTGGTGTTGTCCCACTCCGAACGGACCCTTAGTCTGTTTTCGGACGGAGAAGCTGTAGCAACAGAGTGTAGAAGTTTGCCAGCCTGTAGGCTTTCCAAGCAATTAGTAAAAGTGCCGTTCGACTATGTCATGTTTCAACATTCATCGCTCACGAAAGGCGCGAGGAACAAGCCGGGTTGTAAGTGTGCACAGTCGTTACTGGATCGACCGCTTGGGACTAGTTATTAGTTGATTTTCGGCATTAGACAGTGGAATCGGTCAGGGGCCCATAAACGTTATTCATACAGGCAGGTGCTGCTCACACTTACCAGAAAGTGCAAGACCAGGCACCAGTCTATACACCAATGTGGGTGTGAGTGTATCCGCCCAAAGTACCGCAGAGTTGTAGCTGAAGGCGAAGAAGGCTGGAAAGGCGAATACAAGTGTCCAAGATAGATTCCAGTTGGCTCTGGCCTGAGTAATGGTGGACCACAGTCGCAATGTGTCGAGATTGACGCTACTCTTCAACAACCTGTGCCTGTCCACTGGCTAACCAAAGTACATGTTGGGAAGACCCAAAGCGCACTAATTGCAGATGCCAGAACGTGGAAGACCATCTGATCTGTTACTCGGCTTGAGGTAGATCATTCGTATAGCGTTTCCGAGGTGCTGTAGTTGCGTAGATTAAGCATGAGGACGGTAGGGCTGTCGCTCGTTGGGATGACAATGCACAGCAAAACAAGCTTCATCCACCAGGACTCCTGGCCAGGCCTCAGGCGGCCGGCATGATTCGTGTCGTGGATATCTCACCTTGATTGACTTTGCAGGACAGGCTTGTATGCCGTAGAATAATCATTTTTCGTAACGGTTGACTAGGCGTAGGCAGGAGTGACTCGATATCTGAGGTGGCAGAGGACGCTCTTTGTATCTTTGAATTGTCTCGAGGCCTACCATATCTACAGCTGGCTCCTCAGTTGAGTCGTGCAGACGTACAGGTTTGTTGTGCGTGCGCCGCTATGGCCCCCATACAATTGAGATCAACCGCCCATTCCACCTCTCCTTTTGATACAGAGGCGCGATGGCCACTCTTGTAGACTATGGCCACATTTGTAAGTTCGAGACGACAGCCAGGTCTCACATGACTTCCCATACAGTAGCTTGGGCGGAGACGGGATAGACTGTCATCAGAGTCGACAACTTTTTTGTTTTGGAACCAAGAACGCATATAATATGCAGAAGCTTCGAGACGAAGGGCGCAAGTCATGCAGCAATGTGTTACAGACGGCACAGCCGCACACAGGTGAGCGTTCGAAGTTGCCGTGTCAAGTTGGCATGGGACCAGCACACAGACTAGGTATTTGGCGTACTCGACATAAGCGGGGTCTCATCATGTTCCTATGGGCCATTGATCGCGGCGCGACGCAAGATCCTAAGTGTCACAGTCGATCAACGATTTGTGTCGAGGCTGCGGAGAGTTCATGGGGGAAGTGGCAAGAAACGTGGCATGACTAATCAGAGGCCTTGCCCCTTTTGTCGCGCGCTACTGCATCCTAAATAGCTACTGCCTGATCAAACAGTAACTAGGGACCGCAGCGCTTCAGGGCGTGCAACCTTACAACGGTGAACTGCATTCGCCGCACATGGCAAACACCACCATCACCAATGACGACTTTCCACCTTTGCCATTCCAGACATCTCAGACACGATCGTCTAAGAACAAAAAAGTCGCTATCAAGAAACCGCACCCAAAGCCGACTGGGCACTACGCCACACTCGATGACCTCCCAGATGAGCTCACTCTAGAGATAATCAATTACTTACCTGGCATTGACATGCAAGATTTTCAGCTACGTACGCTTTTGAGCTTATCCCGGTCTACTCGGAATCTGCATCGAGTAGTCAGTGACAAGATTTATTCGACATATGACAGCTACTTTTGCGAGCCATACCTGTTCCTCCGCACCCTCATCTCAAATCCACGCCTTGGTGAGAGCGTTCGCCATGCCAAGTTCCGCTATGGCGCTGATGCTCACCTTGAGAGGAAACGATATTCGCCGACTGCTCGAGACAAGAAGATCATCAAAGAAGGCACGAAATCTCTCAACTTCCCAGACTGGAAAGGATGGGCAACGCGGTGTAATTCCGCTGATGTCGAGCTCGACATTCTGCACACGGCTGTCATGCTACACACACCCAATCTCATGACGCTGGACGTTGAAGACGGAGTCATCTCGGCATACTCTAAAGCCAAGTGGCCGGAGCTCATCAAGAAGGCCACGACTGGCGAACACTTCGGGCAGGCACACCAGTTCAGCGCACTCAAGTCTGTGCGCGTTGACGCTCAGAATATGGTCATACATCACCTTGTGCCTATATTGCGATTGCCGTCCTTGCGAAAGCTCGAGCTGCGAGAGCTGAGTGAGATCGAGCTGGACATGCGTGCCCCAGCTGAGCTCAAACGTGTGCTTCCACAAGGCTGCAACAATCTCGAGGATCTCGTGCTAGAGGATTGTTCTCTACGCTGCGATGCACTGGAGACTCTCATCAGCTCGGCACGAAGCTTGAAGAGCTTTCGATTCGACGCCAGCCAAGACAGCGTGCACTTGGATGGGTCCGGCGTCCAGTTTCTGAACGTGTTAAGGCGACAGAAAAATTGCCTTGAAAGTCTCGACATCTACCACGACCCATGGTACAAAGACGACGAAGATCCGCTACGTCATGGCGGTCTTGAACAGTTCCCGGTGCTCAAGGACCTGAAGTGCCCCCTACGCATGGTCATTGACGTACGCTCAGGTGCACGTGCGACTGCGTTGGAGTTTCTACCACCGGCGCTTGAGACTCTCTGCCTCTCCGTAAGATGGGACGCTGACGAAGAGCTATTCTTGTCAGTTCTAGAGCGCATGGCGAGCGAATACGCCACCACCGTCCCTCGGCTAGAACTTCTTCAGCTCAATATTCAAGTACCTGCTGAAGATCTCGAATACGACTGTGAGCGTCTCGTCAAAGCCTATTCTACGACTGGTGTCGATCTCGTCATCAACCTACCTTCTGATAGCGACGACGACGAATGGGGTGGTTGGCTGACTGTGCCTTCCGACTCGGACGATTCCTCGGACGACTCGGATGAGGTTGAGCTTTACAGTAACAATGATGACAGTAGCGAGAGTGACAGCGAAGCAGGGGTCAACTAGGAGGTACAAATAAAGCTATCCGTATTTGCAGACGTAGCTCTCTCTGTTTACAATTCTTCCGTGTACAGTGCTATTAGAGTCTAGTCGCATGATTATTGCGGTTTGGACATTCAGCCTCGCTGATATGCTACTTGCGGCTTGTTGCCTGGAGCCGATCCCAAGAGTGCGTCTTCGATGCGATGGAAGATCGCCTCAAACGGGTATATTCAGCTATCATACTCATCTAACACAAAACGATGGAGCAGGGAGATAGATCTAAGAGATGAGCGCTTGATACTCGGTCTCAGCCTCTCATTCGGTTACATTGCGGGCGCGTACTATGATATGTAATTAGACAAATTGCTATGAAGTTGACTTACTGCAGTAGAATCTCCGGAGTCTTGGGCAGTCTAAGATTGACTGGCTATGACGAAGTCGACTCTACCTTCTCATTCGATCCTGACGACTCAGAAGAAGCTACAGCAGACAACCGTGGAGCGCACCTCTAAAGGCTCGACTGCTCTTTTTTAGGACGAGACTTACGTGAACACGGACTTCATACTGCCTTACCTGTGGCTTCTAGGCAGCGTGTACGATTTTGTTGCAACTATTGTTAACTTACAATACGACATCGGGACTAAGCTATATATGGTCAGCAACAATACGTACGCCGGACTTATAACTTAAAATCCGTCTGAGACCTGTGCTTTCGGCGACTCGCTCAGTGTCAAAGAAACAGTCTGTGTCACGCTGCCCTATGCTGCGTTCGATCTCCAAGCTTGTTGACCCATCTACGACGACACGAAGAACTGTTCTCGATCTGCCGGGCGCCCGCCGTGTGACCAATGCTACGCAATTTACTCTGAATAGAGCGTTCATGCAGGACGCATGTAAGATTATCGGCCCTGAATGAGGCAGTTCTTGTTACACCTAGCAGCGATTCCGGCCTCAGACGCACAGAAATCTTCTCCATCCCGGCCTCAGACGCCCGGGCCTCCCAAGAGAGAGACGATCTGTGCAAAAGTTCGATCTAGAGGATAGGTACTGGTTGCATGGTCTTTGGCATCTTTTTCATCGTACTGGCAACGATCACGGAGTCAAGATCTCCTGAAGTTGGAGGATAGCAGCGGAAAGAGAAAAAGACAACTGAAATCAAGGATATCTGGTCAGGAACTAGTGCTGGTAAGCTTACAGCGTTCCTGCTACCGGATCCTAGTAGACCTGCGCTGCGTGCTTTACTCCGTGCCCATCCTGAGATAAAGGCAATGAATGCTCTTGCACGATTTGTGACTTACTCACCATCATCAGTTGCACTGCTATAGCAACTGCGGGCATGGCCGTCTCCACCCGTCTCCGCGCGGTCGTGGCTCGATCGATGGCGGACATCCGTACTGACTAAGTGACTTGGCTTGGGGTGCTCGTTGTGTTCGACCAACGGGAAGTGTAGGCCTGTCTTGCTTGCTATAGCATCCCTGCTCTCATTCACACTCTTTGCCGCCCATAATGCACTGCCGAGGTGGCTCAACGGGTAGAGAAGTTGGTTCTCTGGGTGTGTCACCACCTCCTCGATGCTCGGTGCTGCCTTACTCATGATGATATCCACATCCCTTCTGATTTGCAAGCAGAACGCATCCAGTGGCCAGTCGTTCACATCGTTGCCGAACGGATTTTAGATCTCGCGGCCAATCAGCGCAATTCCGAGGATTATGTATGTCGCAAAGACGCTCGCTGGGATTGTAATGTATCCCAGAAGCTTGTACAATTGGAAAGGCAGCAGGAGAATGTACACCCATGTGATCTGACTGATAGCAATGCTGTATGCGATTGGCAGCGGCGTGCTCAGGATCCTGTCAGTTCCAACAAGCACATCGTTGAAAGTTGTGAGTGCATTGAGGGACTGTGTCTGGTAGCTGGACACTTTGAAAGTACCTTTGCCGTATATCGACTTCATGTACACGCTAAGATGGTTGTTTATCTCGAGTGAGAGATTGTCAAGTGGGACACGCGAGCGCTTCAGCAATTTGCGAGTGTTCGACTCAGCCATGGGCAGCCCAAGGAATTGGCCTACCGTGTTGAACACGTTTCGCTTCTTCCTTGTGTCTGGCTGATCGGCGTCAGGCGCGAAGGTGTCGAGGTGACCGACGAGGTGCTTTAGGTCGTCATAATGCATATATGGTTCAAACCGAAGCTTGTGCTTAAGTGCAACGGCGTAGGCGGCGATCAGGTTCAGGCAGTTGATCTTGGCGAGCAGATCTTGGTTGCCGAGCGCAGCGTCCTTCTCGTATCGTTCATCCACGTGTATCAAAATGAGGCGAGCGAGGTTCTGCGATGCGAAAGTCAACTGTGTCCAGTATTTACGACGGTCGTTGTAGCGCTCGTAGGCTGTGGAGCTTCGAAAACTCAGGGCAAGACCAACGACGAAGTCGAGGACGGTGAGCAGAAGCCGGTGAACACTAACTGGAAGCTGTCAGTACATCTTGCATGCTGACGAGACATGAGTGAGACATACGGTCGTGGACGAATTTCGATATGAGCGTGATCATGCTCAACCAACCGGCTACAAAGAGCAAAAGCAAAACCATTTCTGGTGTCACACTTCCATGGATACGGAGGAAGACAGGCCATCTCGAGTGGTGATCGAGGCCGCGCGGTCCGATCTATCTGTGTTCGCGACTACCTGAATGACTATCAGGGAAGGCGTACAAAGTAATCGTTGAAGTCCTTGTCGCTGTCCTGATTCTTCAGCGGTGGCCGTGTCGATGCGCCAATTGACAAGTCTGCCGTCCTTTGTTTTTTCTCCGCCATGACGGGTCGACAAGAGCGGAAGTCAGAAATCGAATTCAGCGGCCCCTCGTATTCGACGTTCCGACACGCGAACACTTCATATGGTATCGCGTGCCCCTATCCCCGATTGTCTCTTCTGTATTTTACCGCTCCATAAAAATCGCTGGCTTTTCAGCAGTCTTTGCGTGGTGCCGTACGTGCGACGGCACATTTATGGCGATGTTACAAAGGGCAAGGCTGCGATAGGCGACTCCAATTGACCGTGGCCGCGTAGCGGGAGTGGTGAAGCATAGCCTTGATTGAGGCACCGTCCGGCTTGGCATGTTTCTATTACAGGTTTATGTACTGATGTTAAAACGCGGGACTGTGACATGCGCTGGCGAGTCGTGAAAGCATCTTCCTCGGTCGGCTGCTGTTGGGCGAAGGCCTTGTGGTGCGAATGCGTTCGTGTGCAACATTGTGTCAAGAATTCGTATCAAATGCGGGGTGGTATCCCGGAGCCTGCAAATTCGGTTTTTGTGTCGACAATGGACTAGTGATGAGCGGAAGTGCGAGCGAGATTGGATCGCTGCTGCAGCAGTTTGTAATTCGCTCACGGCTCAAGCTTCAGCTGAACGAGAAGGTCGAGATGTTGTTCTACCGGTATGTTTGGCAACATTGGCACTGAGCTTGCTTTAAATTAAGTCGCGCTCAAGGCTTCCGCCCCAAACAACAGTGTCAGTCTGGGTGTGAAGGTCAAGATCACGAGCATGATCACGGGGGATCGCGTCTTAACGCGTACGAGTGACACGGAGATCACTTCTGACATTCAACCTAACATCAGCTCTCATCACATCAAACGCTCAATCGCGCGGCTGATCGAATACATCAAATGCTACGATACCTGTCTACCAAAGTTGTCAACAACCAAAATCGCGTCAAAATTTTGTTTGAGTTTTGTTTGATTTGACAACATCAACTAAACAAAAAACTGCTGCTAGCTTATATTCTGATAGTTGAATTAAACAAAAGAGGTTCTAGCCGATAAGACTTCTAAAAATCAGTCTTGACCAGTCACCTAATATTTAACTAAGTCGAGTTACGTTTTCTTGCATAAAATATTACTTTAAAAATCCTTCAGTTACAATCACGAAGTGGAGATTATATTTACATCTACACTGCGGAGTGGTTGCCAGAATCGCGTCCTGCTGTTTGCTGGATGTTTCAATCCACCTCATCTTAGTCACACTGCTCTTCTCGACATACTTATTCGTGCACAGACAACAAGATGATTGCTACGATCACCTTGCTGATCCATACCGAATACCTGTCTGAGAAGAATGCCATTGAAGCCGATGGTAAGTCTTTTATCCGGCGAAACACAAGCCAATCCAACTTTGGCAGGACCCAGCTCTTCGGCATTTCACCCGGGTCTATCCCGCTGAGGATTTGGATGACTACCTGAAGTGCTTGATATCAGTCAAGGGTCTAGCAAATAAGACGGACTTGAGATCGTATTTGCGACCTTGTACGGTGGGATCATATTTATCATCTCGGTCGCGGTTGAGAGACAAAATAAAATTACTAGCGGCATTGCACGGCCGGTTGATCATGTAAGAGGCCACTAGGATAAATTCAAGTTTGCTAACTGTAAGAATTGGCAGAAGGTGGTGCTAAGAGAAGGTCTAGTACATATTAGTAGCTTTGCCCTATACAAGTCCTGCTAACCTAATAGAAAGCTAAGAGCTATCTATCTAGAGATTTTAAAACCAACTCAAGTAAACTCTAAAACTATAAGTTATAAGTTATTGGCTATCCCATAATACTGATATACTTAAATAGGATCAATATAGTACACAGGATAGATCTAGAAGACGAATAGTTATAAGATTATCATTCCTGAGGGATGATGCTACGCAGACGAGGCTACCAGATGAAGATCGATGCCGAAGATGGTAGCGAAGCCAAAGCCGAATATTCATTTAAAAAGCTGGGAGAAAGTCAGAATCATGGGCCCAAGGTCAGTCTAACGCAAATTCGTCAGTTGTTCTTCGATTCAGAAAAAAGCAAGGAGATCTTTACAGCAGAGCTTGCTACTCTAGCTGTCAATCCGAAATTACTGTCGCTCTGCTTGGGCATTTACAAAAACTGGTTATCCCTTGGCGTGGCAACCCTGAAGTCGACAGCGTCACAGATTGTCGACGACTTAATTCTTGCAAAGAAAAACAGCACACGGCAGACTAGCAGACAAGCATCAGTCTAGCTGGGCTAAGATGATATGGAAGGTAACAGACGGCATTAAAAAATAGAGCCATCATGCAGGGAGACAAAGCTGGTTGAATTAGGCCGTTGAGCGCCGTATGAAAAGCCGGAGATACAGAGCCTTGAGTAGGAGAGAGAATTCTCGCAGTGAGCAGACTCTTGGATGTGAACGTTTCGTATACGAATTGCAGTGTAAGAATCTCTTGAACTTAACCAGACCTCTTCGTTCTTGAGAGTAAAGCTGCGATACTGTGCCGTGGTGAAAGTGGGCCAGGTGAAGGCTGCGGCTGCTCTTGGATACGCTAACGACCTCAGCAAGCGAGCATAATAAGTGTGACTGCCATCAAGAAGCTTTTGCCTTTGCCAAAATCTGCAGTGACCCTCATAACAATAGTATTGCAAGCCACCATGACAACATGGACGGCGTTCGAGCCCTTGGCAGAGCCCGCGACTGACATGGCCATCTCTGCAGGGCAAGAGATTGGGCGACTCGAAGACCGCAACATTATACTTGAGCACATCAGCTTTAACGGATCCGTCAAGACCGCGCCCTTAGAGCACTACATCACCCTCACTGAAGAACGCTACCTTCCGAAGCGCGCTCAAGGTCGAACCTTCCGTCATGCACCCAACGTAACACCCCCAACGCTCCGGGGCAATTAAGACAACCGCTTTATCATCTTCCCGGGCGCATTTTACCCGCCTCATTTGGGCCATACAGGGCTCCTGTGGCACACCTACCTTTCCCTCGACGACAAGACGATTGCCGCGATGATCCTGCCGATGAATGGGCCGGTTTGTGTGGATCTGGCCCGGCGATGACTGCGAGAACTTATCGGTATTTCTTCGATGCATACGAAATCTAGCAAGCGAAGATGGGTTTCACGTTGATTTCCCGTCGCTACATGGCGGCGACCACATGCGCTCCTTTCAACGAGACGGGCGCACAGGGTGGGGGCTAGGCAGTGTGGTTACCAGCGATGTGGGCAGGGCTGTCGACTTCGTCAAGGGACGGTAATAGGATGTGAGACTCTCGCATTGCGGGTTGTAGAAGGAGCAGAAGAAGGAACCATGTAGGAGTGTGAGTGGACTGAGAATGAGGCAGTGTTGTGCTTGTCAGAAATTGAAGGTTGTGTATCCTGGATTTTTTCGGCGTGATCTTGCATATGGTGAATATTCGAAGAGGACAGCTACGGTATCGATGCTAACGTGTTCTTCTGCCATGAGAATCGAAACGAATTCAAGGAGAGCCTCAAGTCATTGGTCTTGAATCCAGAGCTGCTGGCCATATACTTAGGTACGGACGACGTCGAAACGGCTGAAGTTGATCGGGTAAGTCCACAGTCTGATATCCACACGATTCTAAAGGCCGAGAAGATTCATTGAAAAAGATAAGTATCGTTCTGGCGTGCGCTGTAGCACTATTCGCCCGGCTGGAGGCCAAAAAATTGTGGATAGTTTAGCCAGACTTGGGCAGACTTGCCGCAGTGTGAGCTGAAGAAGCAAAGTTGATGCACTGACGGAATCAGTACGGCAGTTGTAGACACAAAGCTCCGGTATGGACGCAGGTGCCCGCACGTGGACCCATCCATAGGTAAGGGAAGCACGGAAAATCGGATCACGTTCGTGCCCAAGTGTCACAGCAATCTTCTGAATCTGCGATAGCAATATGCGTTGATGGACCGGGAGATCAGATACCCTGTGGAGCAATGGAACAGGTACCCGTTGACTTCGCTATGTGTGATGGGCCACGTTCACGCATCACTGCTACGGCCGGAGAAACGGATGCGCGGGTACCTGCCTTCATAATCTAAACCTGAATTTTGAGTATCAGAACTTCTGTGCGGTGAGGTGTTCAGAATGCGACTGTGGATGCTCCAACGCAAAACACTCCCGGGACAGCCTCTTCGGGCAACCCCGCAAGGTTTCCTACATCACCCGTAAAGACACCATGCTCAATAGCTCACATGGGTTAGCCAGCAGAAAGCTTCTAGCGCGGCGGTTCAGCTTCCACATCAGCTTCTGCGCCTGCAGTGGTGGACGTGTGGCTTGCGTGGCGTGCTTTGTGGATGCATCTGTGGAGCCGGATGTTGTGAGCGAGTTCACAGATAAATTAATGACTGCGAGTGCCTCAGCACACTCGAATCGAGGCCTTGCATGCCTTGACGCATCCTGGCAGACCAACGGGTATCGCCTCACGGCGACCTGAAACTGTGATTCGTCGTCTCTGTACGAGGCTCGATATTGACGGCAGCGGGTGTCACACAGGTAGTTCCGCAGACTATGGAGCAGAGCTGCCCGCATAGGAAATGGAGAGCGGTGAATGGCGCGTTTTGTTGGGAGCTCACACCTCGACAGGCAGGGTCGGAGTCATACCACGCTTCAGCATGTGAAGCGGACGCCCATCCTGGACGCACACCTCAGCGAACGCTCTGGCCAGAGCCGCTGAGGGTGCACGTCGCGGGCTGCTTATCGGTGCTCCACCACGACAGAGCGCGTGTGGCACGGCGGACGGATACCGTAGTGTGATGGCGGGCTCAGCGCCGCCGGATGGGTGGTGCTGTGCTCGAGTGATTCGCGCTCATCACGGTGGTCGAACAGCCGTAGCGCCTCCTCGTTCCCTGCCAAATTCCGTCACCTTAACCCCACCGAGCTAGCACAGGGTCCTAAGCAGCAACTTTTCGGCGTCGACTTGCACGCTTCAAGCGATATTCTTACCTGCCTTGCGTCTGCCTGTTCTCCGCACCGCCCACATATCTATACCTGCCCTCGCCCTCGCCATGTCTGCCCCCAACGACTACCCCGCCCACCACCGCCACCCCGTCAACTCCACGACTCCCGCGGATCCGCCCGTCGCAGGCGAGGCCACCGCTGCTCACCCTCCTGCCGGCAAGCCAGACCCCACCCTCGAGAGCAATGCCTCCCAAAGAAGACTCTCCGCCCCCGGTCCCTCCGCCTCCGCCGAACTCGCCAGTCTTAAAGTAAAGCTCAAGGGCGCGCTGCGCCAGTTCCCCGACTTCCCCGCCCCGGGCATCCTGTTCGAGGACATCCTGCCCATCTTCGCAGACCCCGCGCTGTTCGAGGCGCTCATCCACGCCCTCGAGCTGCACATCACGCAGACCTACACCGAGAAGCCCGACGTCATTGTTGGGTTGGACGCGCGCGGCTTCTTGTTTGGCCCGACGCTGGCGCTGAGGCTGGGTGCTGCGTTTGTGCCTGTTCGCAAGAGGGGTAAGCTCCCTGGTCCGTGCGAGACTGCGGAGTACATGAAGGAGTATGGCGCGGATTTCTTCCAGATGCAGGCCGGTGCGGTCAAGCCGGGGCAGAAGGTGCTGATTGTCGATGACATCATTGCAACTGGTGAGCTCCTTCCCGAATCAATTCCACAGAATCAATGCTAAAGATGATAGGTGGCTCTGCCTCTGCGGCCGGCACCCTCGTCGAGAAGCTCGGCGGCAAGATTGTCGAATATATTTTCATCCTCGAACTCGATTTCCTCAAGGGCCGCGACAAGCTCAACGCACCCGTTTACACTCTGCTCTCCGGCCAGGAGGAGAAGCTCGGCAGCAGATAAGATATACACTACAGATACTTATGGCTATCTACTCTATGGTATAGATGGTGGGATTGCATGGATAGGCGTTTGCAGGTTCAGGGCACGATGAGAAAAGTTTGTGCTCATTTAACATTTTTGCGTATACGGATGCACAGAGGGAGCTGGACACTATGCAGTTGTTGTGCTATTAGGAGGGTATGATCACGAACGACACTATCACCAGCATTACACGTCATGAGATACCTTCTCCTGCATTATCCTTCGCCCATCTTTCCCCCCCCCCGCGGCAAGAAAATATTTCGTGTTACCCCTCCATCTCGTGACGCGCTAGTCATATTCATGGCAGGGGAGCCCGGCCATCGTCACTTCCTCCACGTCCAGCAGCCCCACTTGCCGGCCACGACTTTGACCAAGAACACTACCACACTATTCCTACTTTCAGTCATCTTCGACAGCGCTTCAACTTTCATATCCAAGATCGAGCATGTGGCCTACTCTCAGCCTTATGCGCCAGACATCGATGACACCATCAGCTGCCTTGCAACATCCATCTAGTATGCTAGTCTTCGATTGACTCTCCGTAACCAAAACCTGCTATCTGTATCCCTGCCTCCAGTACTGACAACAATGACCACGCGCGTGAAAGCATTCAGCGGTCAGGAGGATAAGGCAGGCAACTGGGATGACCGGGCACCATTCGTACGTATCTACAGCGCTCTGCAAGTCAGGAATCCAACTGCAGTGCAGGTTCCAGACAAGCTATGCCAACAATGCACGCATATCTTCGAGAATCCGGGGAAACGAAACATCAATGTCCTCTACATCCATCCAGCGGGTGTGCGAGAGTGTCGAATATGTGTTTTGCTCACACAGCATTATACGGATTATCTAGACAGTCCTTCGGAACAGATGAAGGTTGGATACTTTATTGCGGATCGCTGCAATTCGCCTGGTCTATACGATCTTATGTTCAGGCTTTGCGGAGTATACTATGGCACAGCCCCCGATCTTCGATTCGGGATACAGGCGAGGGATCGAGCAGGTAATAACAGAACATTTCAGATTGTGAATCTGAATGTTGCTAACTACGCTAGATGTGGGTTTTGAACATGAAATGGTGCCTTTCTCGCAAACAATCGCGCAATCTACAGCCTCCGAGCAGACCTTAGCTCAAGCAAGGTGCTGGTTGGACAAGTGCGTAGAGACTCATCTTGAGTGCAGAGCGGTCTCCAATGATTCGAAATTCGTACCCTCCCGGCTCATCGAGATCTCAGGCGTCGACGAGACGTGTCTGAAAGTTCGCCTCAGAGAAGGAAAGAATGTGCCATCTTTCTTTGAATATGCTACGCTGAGTCATCGTTGGGGAGAGAGTATGCCTTTCAAGCTCACACGTGACAATCTAGAGGAATGCTTCAATGAGCTCCTGATGAGCAGACTATCCCTCGTGTTTCAGGAAGCACTGAAATTTGCTTGGCGTATGAAGATCTACTATGTTTGGATCGATTCCTTGTGTAAGTGTCCTCTCCCTCTCAAACTGTATTGCAGCTCATGATCGCAGGCATCATTCAAGATTCACATGAAGATTGGGTTGCTGAATCATCTCAGATGGGTCCAACCTACAAGGGCGGTGTGCTCAACATTGCGGCCGCAGCAGGGTCTGAAAATACTACAACAGGATTACTCGGGGAAAGGGAAGCTCGTCTTATTGCGCCAATCGCCGTATCCGTGTCATCAGCCATTTTTATGTCATTCGACCCAAGATGCGCGCAGAATCAATTCGGACGAGGGGACTACTATCTTATCGACATGTTGACCTGGGCCTATGGCATCGATCAGTCGCCGCTGTGCGGTCGCGGATGGATTGCACAGGAACGAGCCTTGTCTGTCCGTACAATTTATTTTGGCAAACAGCAGCTCTATTGGGACTGCGCGAGCCCGGGGTCTAAAGCGACAGAAGTTTATCCTGAAGGCCTGCTGCAGGGAACGTTGTTCTACAGTCCAAAGTACGTTCTCAGGTATGGATTGGACGTGGCATACAGACGAACCGGAGCTCTTCGATTGGTCCGCGACCTGGTACAAATCTCAGAATACGATAATGTTGCAAAGTGCCATACTGAAAAGCAGAGGATCACTGAAAGAAAACAAACTCTCAGGCTCGAGCTTGATCAATGGATCGAACTATGTGGGCCGGCTTCCGATACATTTGAAGAACGCACTCTTGGGACAAGTACAGAAGGTATGCTAACATTAAATTCAGTACATCTGAAGGATTGCGATTTCAATGTCCTGAACGCTTTCGGATTAACGAACTGGGGTGACATGAAGAGAGCGCTTCGAGTCTGGGGTATAGGAGCACCTACTGGCCGACCGACGACTCGGGTGTCGACTGAAGTGAGACAATGGATGCAGATAGTGGAGTACTATTCCCGCTGCTCGTTGACCTTCTCTAGCGATAAACTTGTAGCTATCTCGGGGATTGCAGAGCTGTTTGGCAAGACCATACGTTGCGCTTATTTATCCGGTTTGTGGGAACGCGACCTCAGGCATCAATTGTTGTGGAAGACCTGGCCACGATGTGCATCGCCCCTGAATGATGGCACACGAGGACCATCGTGGTCCTGGACCGCTATCGATTCGTACATACATTTCACGTCACGGAAGAGCCACCTCACAGATACGTAAGCCCACCATAGTCTTCGCATTTCGGCTGTAGCTGACTAACCAGCGATCCCTGCGACATCCAATGGCTAACCCAAGTCGACACCGTCAACGTCGATCTTGCCACCAACCAACAATTCGGACAAGTCCGCTCCGGCACTCTCACCGTAACGGGACGTCTAGGCGTTTTCGGAGTCCACGACCTTGTCCCGCTCCATCATATTGACACTCAAAACCTGTGGGCAACACTAGGAAACGGCGAGACAGTGCTGACCTTATTCGACACGACGGAACTTAAAGAGAAATTCAATCCAGACAGCAAGCGCATGTACCTGGCCTTCCGCACCTTCGGTCCGAAGGAGGAAGTAATGACGGATCTGAGAATCTTCGTCCTGCCAGTACGCGTATCACAGGGCCGGAAACAAGAGCAGGATCCGTGGTACCGCTTCCTCGAAGGCCTGCTTCTCGTGCCAACTGGACGGGCGAGGGGGCAGTACTACAGAGTCGGACATGTCGAGTACGATCACAACATGATATCGGAAGTATGGCCATATCATTGTCTCACAATGTCGACGGATATCGTGGATGAGAAGTATTTCATTGCGAAGGAGGGCGATGCGCCCGAGACGAGATACACGATTACTATCGTTTAGCGTAGCGTAAGGGGTTGCATCGATGGTGGCGGGACATAGGCCGTCCCTGAGAACTTGTTAGATATTTGACCTGATGAACGGGGTGCTGGCACACGTCACCCTTAGCCGTGCCCTCCTTCATTCGGATTCGGCATGCCCGTCTGCTAGATGGCACACACATGAGTCAAGGGTTCTAATCAATTCACTTGGTCCGTCGACTTGACCAGGCAAGTATTCACCTCGCCACCAAAGCGGTGTCCGGGCAGGTCAGATCTGGTGGGATGACCCTTACCGCAAATTTCGGTGTTGTGCGGATCACAAGAGGGAGAAGATAATGCGGACAATCTTTGGAAGTCCTAGTCCGCAACAGAGGACGCTGGAAGCTTCCTGGGCTACCAAGAGCTGGTGGAGAAGTTTGGAGAGTCGGGTCGGTGCACTTCGATCTGGTGTTGGCGTTACTCGCTTTATCGTACGAGCAAAGGTTCATTTGAAGAACCAATAAGATAACATTGTGTCGGAGCAGCTGCATGGACAGTATACATTACGAAAGTCTGGTCACACGCATATCTTTTGTACATGGATCCTGCTTGTTATGAAAAATGCGAGTTCGTTGGAACTTTGAATGGTGCGTTGCGCCAGCGCTGCTGATAGGGATGGCTCCGTAATCGGACCCACCCCCACCTTCCTGTTCCGTTCACAAGTCTTTCCCGTCGGCGATTGGTGTCATAGCTCCGAAGCGCAACGGAACCCGATGCTAGCCTGCATTTACTTACCGTGTAGACAAACTGTCCCTCACAGCAGCTTCACATATCTCACACTTACATGCTCCGTCCACTGCTCCGAGCTTCACGATCCATTCTCGTAGCTTCACGTCCTGCTACACCATTCTTGAACCTCAACAGAGCTCAATTGATCACACGAAACATGTCTGGAATTAAGATCGTTACTACCAAGGAGGCTTGCCCGGGTGAGTACTGTGATGATCACGAGGGGGAGTGAAGCTGACGAGAGTGCAGTCGCGGGACCTTATGTACGTACACCGAGCTTCTTACTGCTGCACTGGCTTCCCATCAGGCATCGATCCTCAATGCCCACTCCCACTCCCCTACACGATTGTAATCTAGGCGAAGCAGTTTGCACGCATTTGTAGGTGGCCTAGGAAAGGAGCCCCGGAGACCTTATAACTTACTTCGTTCAGACGCAGCTTCCCAAGTTCTCGCCTCTCTACTCGCATCAGCCCCGCAGTCTACAGCAGCACATCCATTTCTCCAGATCATATCGCTAACCCACCACAGTCCCAGGCCATCATCGCCGGACCCCAGGTCTTCGTCTCTGGCCAGATCCCTGCCGACAAGACCGGTGCTCTGATCGAGGGCAGCATCACCGACAAGACCACACAATGCTGCGAGAACATCGTCGCTATCCTGAAAGAGGCCAACACACCTGTTGAGAAGGTCGTCAAGGTCAACGTCTTCCTCGACGATATGGCACACTTCGCCGAGATGAACGGCGTCTTCGAGAAGTACTTCGCACACAGGCCCGCTCGTAGCTGCGTTGCTGTCAAGCAGCTGCCCAAGGGTGTTCCCGTCGAGATCGAGTGCATTGCATACAATGGTATGAGCGCGAAGCTATGATCATGTTCGCGGACAAGGCTGACAGAACGTAGGTTAAGCGCGATTACGACCAGCACAGCTCGGCTTAGATTAAGTCATGCTGTAGCAACAATGAAATAAAAAATCTAACTCTCGAATTGTCCCTCCTCGGGAGCGCTGACTACTTCCTCAAACCCTTGACCACCTTGCATGCCTTCGAGGTACCGTTGCAACAGCGTTCCATTGATGCCCTCAGCCGAGCTCTTGAACTATGTGTCCGAGAACCTTCTTCCATAAAGCGTCCTGATTGGGCGACTGATCAATCCCGAACATTGACCAAAGCCATTCGTTACAGCAAACTCACTGATCCATGCAAACAGAGCAAGAAACACCAACCACCATCCCCCCAACGCTACTGTCAACCGTCAACACTCTATTCGTAAGCAGGCCAACCCACCCATTTCAAACGCCGTTCATAATAGCGCTGGTGTAGGGAATTTTGGCTCCGCACTTGCAAAGAGACTAAGGTGTGCGCTGGGACACACGCGAGCGGAGACGAATAAGCTGCGACGGACAAGCTGCGATGGATGTGTGCTAGTCGTTAATGCACTCATGTCAAAGGCCGTCTCACACTCCGGTACCCCGGCCGTGCGTGGTGAGGAGCAGTCACAGCTCCCGCGCCATGTGTGCAGGCCTGGAGATGCGGTCGTTGAGATCCCGACCGAGATCATCATCAGCAAACATTATGCATTGCTGTAGCTGAGTTGAGACGAATGCTATCCCGGCTCTTTGTCGCAATTTCTGGACTTGATCCAGCTACTCATACTGGCCTGGAGCGGATGGACGACGACTGTGGCGGCTACCAGGATAATGCTCATTTTTTTCATTGAACTTTTCCGGCCTCGAGGCTTACATTCTTGTCCGCGGCTGACGAAAGTGTTTGGCCCCTCCAATTACTTACAGTCGCCCATGTTTCGTCCATTCCAGCACAGGTCGCGGACAAATCTAGATTGAAGACGTGCTGACTAGATTTACCAGAGAAGTAGTCGTCAATCGACCATATTTCTTCCCTACGATGTCTAAGGCCGGGCAAAGTGAAGACCGCTCAGATCGCCACCACATAGAACCCACCGTCACCTTTTTGTCTTCCGGCCTTCGTTCCGCATGCAGCCGTTTAGTCGCCAGTGCCGATTTTTGCGGGCCTGGAGGTGCGGGCAGTCTCTTCATAGTCTCGACCGTAGATGGTGTACTGATTGTAAACGGGGATCGGAGTCTTGCAGTCTGCTGAGTGCCGAGCAACCTTCCCAGTCGCGATTCCCATGACAGAGTCGAATCCCTTGTGCTCTTCAAGTTCAATCATGCCGATGTCTGTCAAGTACTGACAGACTGCAAAGCTGAAAGTTTTCTTTGAGAAGATTCGCGGTGCAAAACCTCTGTTGAAACGGATGAAGATGGCTGGATACTTGTACCTGAGGCCATGGTGCACTCGATCTTCAGCCTATCAAGACGAAAATCGTCATAGATCGACCTGAGCCAGGCCTCGTTTGTATTGCCGAAGAAACCGTTCAGAGCTTCCAGATGATTATACTCCTTGTGGAGGTTTCCTTCCACTATATCGAGAAATTCATTGTGAGGGCAGTCGTTCCATTAGGAATACACATAGTACTTCCAATCAGCATCTCTGCAGCGCCTCCAACAGCGGATGCAATGATTACAGTATTCGCATTCCTCGTGAGGGTAGTCGCGTTTAGCGAGCTGGCGAGATTCGAAGCGCACAGTGAACCATTTGCAGAAGGCGCGGAAGTACAGTGGAGGCTTGAGATCGAGAAGCAGGTCGCCGGTGTTGCAGGTATCTTTCTTATCATCCCAGAGAACTATCATCATCTTGGGTGCATGATCGACCTCGAGTTGCTTTGTGCTTGGGAGGCTGCGGAATGTCGCTAAATAGTCGGCGAGCTGGGCAAAGTCCAGGGCGACAGAAGATGCACGGAGCCACAGAGGTCGATACCTACTCCGAGCGAATCTGCTTGCAAATTTGTACGAGCAAAAAGAAGGTTCTAATCGAAGGACGCCACAACAGACGTGCAGACCTGTTGCTTTTGCGCAGCGGAGTTAGCTTGTCCCACGCGGAAAAGAATTCTCTGCAAAAGCAGTAGATATGTTTGCGGATTTCTGCCAGATTTCAGTCAAATAAAGTCTTTGTTGCGCTGATATATGTGCTTCACCTGCAGGCATCTCAAGAAGTGCGCATCGTGCGGGCTCATCGGTGACCGCCATTGGCTTCTTTTTTGTGGCCCTCTTCACGATCACTCGCGGAGACGCTTTGCTGAGTCTCTTGTCGCCCAAGCGCCTGCAGTGTGCCAGTGATAAGGTTCGGTGTGACGAATGCATGCACTCAAGTAGTGGGCGCCAACTCGACAAGTCTGCGCTCTCGGCGTATAGAAGTTGAAAAGCAATTGAGGAATGGAGCGAGTGAAATTGCGTGGAGGGAAACCTAAATGATGTAGAAACGCGCTAAAGCAGACGCGTGCCTGACGCGATGACGTGACTGGTGAAGCTTTGGGAAGGCGCGGTCGCGGTTATCAACAATAATATCACCAACAGTCGGTAAAAGCTAGTATGAGAATCTATGAACGTTTACTCATTACTGAGCATATCTAAATGCACAATGGACGTATTCAATGCCCGACCATTTCGCCAGAATGGACATGGTCGAGCCGCCAGCCGCGTTGTGGAAATCCGATGCATTAATGCCCTCAACCATACAAGCTTCCCTGCGTCCTCTTGCTCGCCTGATTCTCGTTGTGTAAATGCTGCGTAACATCTAGCGTCGTGAGGACATGCTCATAAGCCAGCTTCTCCTCCTTCCTGCTAGCAAGCAACCTCGCAATCTTCAGGATGTTCTTGATCTGGCGGCCGTTCATATTCATGCGTGCGAGCTCGGAGAGCTGCGGGGCGGTGATAGTGTGTTCCTGGGTGGAGTTGTTGAGGAAGTTGTCCCAGACGGTTTTGCGCGAGTCGATCGACAGCTCTTGGTAGTCGAGTGAGATGTGAATTCGTGACTGGAAGGCGGGATCAAACGTTTCTACGCGATTGGTGGTAAGGAACATCGTGCCTGGTGATGCCGTTAGCAAATGCGCGGAATGTCGTCAGCCAGAAGCATACCTTCGTAGTACTCGAGCACCCGCAGGAAGATGCTGACTAGCTTGTTGCGCTCAAGCTCGTGCAGCGAACGTTGCTCAAGGAACACGTCAGCTTCATCGAGCAGCAGCACTGCATTCCATCGGCTGCACATCTCGAGGATGTCTTGCAGCTTAGTCTCGACAAGCCGAGGGTCAAAGCCTAGGTCGCCTGCGCTCATGAGGTACAGCGGAACCTTCATCTCCTCAGCGACCGCCTCGCTCGTCAATGTCTTGCCCACTCCAGGGGGGCCACAGAGCAAGATAATCATGCCACGGCCCTTGCCCTCGATCACGTCGTCGAAGGTATCCCGGTTTTTGCGTTGCGATTCGGTGAAGCCTAGGATGAGCTCCTTCTGGTTCTTCGGCAAAACCAAGCGGTCGAAAGCGTCCTTCTGCCACTCGATGTCCTCTACGCAGTTCACGAAGAAGTTCAGCCAACTCTTATTCTTCAGACTGTAGCCGCGAAGGACTGGCGTGCAGATGAGCCTCTGATCGGTTGTGAGTGGTGCGGGTTGTGTGCTCTCATCGTCCTCGTCTGCAAAGCGGCCGTCGATGGGCATTCCGCCATCGTCTTCATCATAGTCGTCCTCCTCTTCATTTTCTTCATCCTCATCTACCTCCTCTCCGTCTTCGTCGTGCTCATCCATCTCGCTGCTGGAGTCCTCAGTGATAGCTTCCTTCTGGGTCAGTGGCATGATGTACACAGCAGACCCAGGATTGAACCGGTTCCACCCATATGTATCGATGACGATCTGCACTCATTAGTCAACAAATTCCAGGAGTTCAAAGTACTATTCACTCACTCGACCCTTGACGTTGTACTTGTCCTTTGTGCCGAATTGGCCCATCCTCCAGGCAACGCCGTGATAGGCACGGTAGTTGGAGCCAGCCAGCCCCTCTGCCTTGGCTCCGCGTGTGATGAGACGCTCGCGCAGCGCCTTGGCATCGTGATGATAGTCGAGGGGATACGCCTTCAACGAGCCGATGGCACGGGTGCCCGTAAAGACAAAGATGCAAATGTTCAATTTCTGCGTACCGAACTTGGTGCCATCCCAGTCGACATACTTGCCGGTGATCCAGAAGCATGGCACACCCTTCGAGTCCAGTCCGTAGCGAGTTGTATTTAGCGTCATCGCTGTCTCCTGACCGTCTTGACGAGAGAAGATGGTCGCTCCTGGCTGGTAAAGAGTCCACAAGAGGTCAAAATTCATGACGCCCTTGCTCATCATGTCCTGCGAAGTGTCGATCAAGCCCTTAAACTCCTTCACAAGGATGCCTTGCAACAGCTCGGCATGCTGCTTGGTCGTACGCTGCTCCTCAGTGGTACTGCCCAGCTTGCTGATGGCTGCCTGCAGCTCCGCCCAGCGGTGGATGAGCGGCTCGAACTTGCCTGAGAATTCGAGGCGGTTGAGGCCCACTGTGACGCCAGGGTAGTTCTTCAAGACTCCAGCAAGTAGCTTCTTGAGTAGCGGGCTCTGCACGACGATGGAGTGAATCGACAACACTTTCGTAGGGTCGTTGTAGACCTTGACATTCCGGACGAGCAGTGCCCACTTCGCAGTCTCGCTGTTTTCGACTGGATCGCCGATATCCTCTGGGATCGTGTCCTGCCATTGGAAGCGGCCCTTCTTGTCTTCCTTGCCAGAATAGAGGTTTTTGAAGCCGAGCTTCATACCGAGATCGAATTGCTCCTCGTCCTCTGACTTTTCAGTCTCCTCTTGTCTGCTATTCGGCTTGTTATCTCCGTTGATGATGACGTGCTTGACGCCGTTCGCGACTGTCTCGATCTGCGAGTCCGACTCGTCTGAGCTGGACGAGGCGGACGGTGATGATTCGCTCATGGCGGGCGACATTGCTGTGCCCAAAGTGAGGAGCGAGAGGTGTGCTAACTGTGCGGTCGCACGAGAGAGAGAGAGAAAGAGAGAGAGAGAGAGAGAGAGAGAGAGAGAGAGAGAGAGAGAGAGAGAGAAAGAGAGAGACGGTGTGGAAGAGACAGGGACGTAAAGATGGTCGCGGGGTATACGTGCTACAAGGCTGGCCTATAAGTCAAGGTGGGAGGCGGGCGGCTGCCTGCCTGCCTGCTGCCTGCTCAGGTACACAGCCTTCTGGGGACAAATCTCGCAAGGATCTCCACCGCTGAAGTCGCTCAAGGGCCTACGGCACTGCACTCTACTTCAGACACTTCAAAGGTAAATGCGGCGCTGCGTTGTCAGACCGGGCCTCAAATGGTCAGCCGCGCCTGGTTGGTGGCAGGTGCGGCAAAGGGCTGCAGGTGACGAGAGAGGGCGCTGACACGCATCTCAGCCTCAGCTTGGCCGGCTTACAGCGGAGGTAGAGTTTCTACGATCTTCGACTTGATACCGTAGCAAAGAGCCACAGTTCAGTCGCAGGCGTACGGACTGAGGCGCCAATGCACTTTAGGACAGCCAGCGAAGAAGGGCGGTACCAGGCTGCAGCATTGAACAATACCAGCATGGCGGACCTAACGCAGCCGTCCACGGCAGCTCGCCCCCACATGTGCAGCGCATACCTGCTGTGTGGATGTGAGGGCTTTGACAGATGCTGTACACAGTGTGGATGGTGAGGCTGATGAGATGAGCAAGGGCCACAACTAGATTTCCATCGGCGACATCGGCTCAGTTGCCCCACGAACTGCCCGACTGCTGCCCCGCGTGTAGCCATATTTTCTGATTCACGGCGCATCGTCACTTTTTTGCGCGACACACATCGAGTGGTCGCGCCGCCCGCCAGACGCCAGCAACACCCGCAATGGCCGCAATGCCCACCGTCATCAGAGTGCCGTGCTCGTCGGCCAATATTGGCCCCGGCTTCGACGTCATCGGCCTCGCGCTCAACCTGTACCTCGAGCTGGAGGTCAGCGTGACGCACAAGGAGCGCTCCGAGCACTCGCTCAACTGCCGCATCACGTACGAGGGCGTGGGCGCAGAGGACGTGCCGCTTGTTGCCGCGGACAACCTCATCACGCGCACCGCCGTCTACGTGCTGCGCTGCCACGGCGTGCGCGCGTTCCCCGCGGAGACACACGTCCACGTCCGCAACCCGATTCCCCTGGGCCGTGGCCTGGGCTCGTCGGCGGCGGCGATTGTCGCGGGCGTGCACCTGGCGAACGAGGTCGGCCGCCTGGCGCTGTCCAAGGCACGCATGCTGGACTACTGCCTGATGGAGGAGCGGCACCCGGACAATGTCGCCGCCGCGCTGTACGGCGGCTTCGTGGGCACGTATCTGAACGAGCTGTCGCCCGAGGACACGGAGCGCCTCGAGATTCCGCGCAGCGAGGTCCTGCCTGAGCCTGCGGGCGGCATCGACACGGGCCTGCGGCCGCCGCAGCCGCCGCTCAACATCGGACACTACACCAAGTTCCCCTGGTCGGCCGACATCAAGTGCATCTGCATCATCCCGCAGTTCGAGGTCTCTACGGCAAAGGCCCGCGCCGTGCTGCCCGAGTCGTACTCGCGCAGGGATGCCATCTTCAACATGCAGCGCCTGGCTGTCCTCACCACCGCCCTCGGCCAGTCGCCGCCCGACCCTGACATGATCTACACGGCCATGCAGGACAAGCTGCACCAGCCCTACCGCCGCGGCCTGATCCCGGGCCTCACCGAGATCCTGCAGTCCGTCACGCCCCAGTCGCACCCCGGCCTGCTCGGCATCTGCCTCTCTGGTGCCGGTCCCACCATCCTCGCCCTCGCGACCGCGAACTTCGACTCGATCGCGGACCACCTGCTCGCCGAGTTCAAGAAGGAGGGCATCACATGCGACTGGAAGCTGCTCCAGCCCGCCACAGACGGCGCCACAGTCTCCAACTCGCTCAGCGCCACACCTGCCGAGGCCCTGACCTACGCCTCCTCTGGCGTCAGCATCGACGCCGGCAACCAGCTCGTCCAGCAGATCAAGGCCTCGACAAAATCCACCCGTCGGCCTGGCGCAGACGGCGAGATCGGCGGCTTCGGCGGTCTCCTGGACCTGCAAGCCGCTGGCTACACAGAAGCACCCATCCTGGTCGGCGCCATCGACGGCATCGGGACGAAAGTCAAGATCGCCTTCGAAATGGGCAAGCACGACACAGTTGGCATCGATCTGGTCGCCATGAACGTCAATGACCTCGTTGTCCAGGGCGCGGAGCCCCTCATGTTTCTCGACTACTATGCGTGCTCGCGCCTCGACATCGCGAGCGCTGCCAAGTTCATCGAGGGCGTTGCAAACGGGTGCAGACAATCAGGTGCTGCGCTTGTTGGCGGCGAGACGGCAGAGATGCCTGGCATCTACCAGGACGGCGAGTACGACGCTGGTGGAGCAGCCATTGGCGCCATCAGGAAGGGTGCTACCATCCTTCCCGACACAGCAGCCATGCGGGAAGGCGACGTGCTACTCGGCATGTCCAGCAGCGGCGTGCACTCCAACGGCTTCAGTCTGGTCCGCAAAATCGTCGAGCGCTCCGGTCTCTCTTTCCACGATACCGCGCCCTGGAGTCCTGAGCAGAACATCGGCACTGCGCTCCTCACGCCGACCAAGATCTACGTCAAGCCGCTCCTGGCTGCCGTCCGCAAGGACCTGCTGAAGGGCATGGCGCACATCACCGGCGGCGGGCTGAGCGAGAACATCCCCCGCATGCTGCCGAAGCATTTGGCTGCCGAGCTCGACGCAAAGACATGGCCGCTGCCGGACGTGTTCAAGTGGCTGAAGAAGACGGGCGCTCTGGAGGCGAGGGAGTTCCAGCGCACGTTCAACACGGGGCTGGGCATGGTCATCGTTGTCAGCCCCGAGAAGGCGAAGGAGGCGCTGCAGTTCCTGCAGGCTGAGGGCGAGAGCGTGTTCGAGATCGGGCGGCTGGTTAGCAGGGCCGATGAGGAAGTCATCATCCACAACATGGAGGTTTGGGGTTAGACATTGGTGCCAATTCTTTGATATCCGTAGGTTCGTTCCTTCTACACCAAAATAGACACGGCGCTTTCTGGGACTAGACTCCATCACTCAGATCCTGTACCCTCGGTTCCATGCTGCGTGTGCGTCGCTTCTGCATCCGCGCCATGTCCGCTGTGCGTCGCTGGCACAAGTCTGGGCCGCCAGGGTTGGCTGGACAACAACCCCGCTCAGCCTTGCGCCTTCCGGGCAGTTGGTTGCGTCTACTGCCAGCAGAAGATGGCGCATCGCGAGGAAGGGACATGGCAAGTATAGGTTCAACAGAACCAACATGCGAAAAGAAAGTCCAACACAATTAAAATGCTCTAATCAGTACATAAGGCCTGTCATACGATGCAACATAGACAGACTCGAAGCTCACCCAGCGCTGAGATGAGGGAGGAAACGACTCCACGCCGGCACGTTGTACACTCCAGGTGGAAGATGCGCAAGATGGACGAAACACTCAACCATAATGTAAAACCTCGCAGCCAGGTATGCGATACACAGGGTGAGACAAGATCTAGCTACGCTTGCATTTCCCGAGTAAGGACTTATTAACGCTGAGACACCGCGGCGAAAGAGAAGGCATATGGGCACAGCAACGATGGGACTGGCGATAATCATGGAAGCAATCCGCCATCTCCACTGTTCCTCTATCGTGAGAGACGGCACATCCCACGCAAGCAGATGGAGACCTCCATAGACAGCTGCAGCAGCCATGAAACCTGCCGTAGCCACTCGATCGAGATTCCACAGGGCCTCCGCACTCTCGTCTCGTGTGGCTGTGGCTTTCAGGCGTTTCAGTGATTCGTCGGTTGCGTTGAGCGTGGACACGTGGTCTACGAACATCTCATGCAGCGGGAAGTTCTTGATATCCGTGTACGGATCATTTCCCAGCTGCTCTGACAAGGAACCGTGAGCCAGCCGGAGACATTCGAGATCGGCCCACTTCAGCTCGAAATAGACGCCGGACGGATCTTTCGCTTCGACAACCAGGTGGAAACCGAAGCATCTCTGGCGGCTGTACAGTCTGATCTTTTTCTTGCTTTTGTTGCAATGTAGATCGTGCCAACATGCATTTACTCTCTGCGTGATATCAGCGTCCGCGAACGAATATGTGACAGAGTCCCGGAAAGTTGCTGCTGTTAGCCCTCCCGGCTGATATCCATTTCTCGTCAAGAATACCTTAGTCGTCCCGTCAGTATCCGTCTTCTCCCCATGCAACTTACAATACAGCCGCCTGTTTGCACACATCTGCGCGTACAGGGTGTAGGTCCTGGCCTTCGATACATCGATGTAGTCGGGCTCTTCGATGTCCAAGGGCTTGAACCACCAAACGCCAAGAACAAACAAGAAACAGAGTGCGTGGAGCAGCACGTTGAGCTCAAGCAAACTGAGGGGTGATCATTTGTTGCGAGTCGTCCCGTGGGCTGGGCGCCGAACCAGCACACCTGCATACACAGCAGAAGCTTGCCAATCCCATTTGCTTTACTCTTGTCAAGAATAGTCTCTTTCGAAATATCGGGTATACTGTATGGCATAGCGCGTGTGATCGCCCGAAGCGTAGACGTTGTTATCGTACTGCATTTGCGGCCGTCATCGAAGGGGTTGATAGACATCTTGCTATTGTTCAGCACGAAGCCGCCCATCAGCGCGAAGTAGCTGTGTGTCCGGGTCCAATTGTGGTATCGTTGCGATGGCTGACGTCGGTCTCTATCCGCCGGGCGTGCCTCTCTCGGGCCGTGGAGCACTGCTCGCCATTTGGCCTTTATTCTCCTTTCGCTCCTCGACATTATCGATTGGTGCCTCGGTCCAAAGCTGCCAGAGATGCCGCTGATGTTTACGTGCGGTATGCTGGGGCGTCTGTTGCCCATCTCCACGTCTTGCGCTTGGCCGCCAGACACTATACTGGACCACTGCGTGAGTCCCTGCAAAAGCTCGACCATGTCATGCTTGAGGTTTCGAGCGAAGACCCAATCACTGACAGCAATGTACGCGATCTACTCAGTAAGCCCAATGTCAAACATCGCTGCGTTACTTACTCACATATTCAGGAGCAGCAACTCCAAGTACAACCCACCATGCTCTCTTCCAGAATTGGCAGCGCCAGTAAGGTACGCCTTGCTTGGGGACGTTGAGGTGGAGTGATGTGTAGACGCAAAGGGTCAGAGTAATAAGACATGATGAAAATATAGTGAACGTCTCCCTTTCTTTCGATGCGCTCTTCCAGTAGGGCTCGTTGTTGACGGGTGCGTTTCCGAGTGGTTCCCACATTGCGGACGTAGGATCAAAGTTGCTGCTTCGATCTGAGGATGTGGCTATCCCTAAGACTACGATCCTGCGTTCAGCGCTTGGGAAGCTGAGCCTCGTCAGGCATTGTCTGACCAGGCTGAGTGCATCGAGCCGCCATGCTGGAGTCATGGGTCCCCCCACGCCATGGTATTCGTCGTCGGAGCCTTGCTACGGCTGCGAAAGTGACAGGAATACGTCGCAAGGGTGCCATTCCACTTAGAATCAGAGATACGTAAACTATCTAAGTGAATATCTCATATTTTTGGCCATTGGTGGTGGCGGGAGTGAGAGGGTACACTGTTGTAGGTCGAGACTCGGCAGCTGAAACGTCATATAGCCACGTGGCTGACGTGAACAGCCCTTCAACCACAGCTTCCTCATGCTCAGAATACTAATCTCGTCAATAAACGTCTCTGCAGTAATCCGGTCATAGCGGGAAATATTATTGATATCAGCGAGGCGTAGGCAAGCGGAGAAACGAGGTGGTAAAGGCCGTCGCACTTTCTCACTCGCATCTAGAATTTCCTTCAGCGAGCATAGTCCAGCCAAAGACTGCAGTGCAGGTTCGTGGAGAGATCTGCTTCAAATCCAGATGTTCGATCTTCGAGGCTGCTCCTTCCACGGTGCCACTTGCAGGTTGAAATAAGATCGATCAGTCACAAGGCTGTGTTTGGGGCACCCGTAAAAATCACCCAGAAAATTCCTACGCCCGTATGCATGAAGCCTCACCCGCCATTACCCATGGATTTAAGCTCCTGATCCCACCATAGGAACAATCACAGCAGTTTATCGGATCATTCCGTCGCCATGATATCCAGATGCTGGAGTCAACCGGCGCCCCAATGCGGCAGATATCTACTCCAAGACGGTTCGACGTATACCTCGGGTGGAAGATGTGCAAGGCTTGTGAGACATTCGGTGATGAGGTAGAGCCGTGCCGCAATATATACCAACGCATAAGTGGCCAATGCCATCATTGTGACGAGATATGCAGAACAACCGCACAGAATTTGAATGAATAAGGTTGCGCAGTCTCCGAGACAGTTCTTTAGAACCTCGGAGCCTGGTTGAATCATTTGCTTGTGAATGACATCGATGACGGGGTGTAGGCGATAGATGAGAGCCAGCGGTCCGGGACTGGCGATAGTCATACACGCATACCGCCATAGCCACTGTTCGCCGGTACTAACGAAGGGGCCATTCCAAGCTAAGAGGTGCAGTCCACCGTAGATGGTTCCCGCCAACATTAGACCAGTTGCGTAGAATTCGTCCCAGCCCTGGAAATCATCGTCAGGCGATGACATCAGCGTAGTTTCATCAATAAACATCCTGCCTGGCGGACAGTACGACTTGTGCGAGAATGACCATCCGGATCCATTGGCATTCATGAGGTGAACAAGCCTTAGTCGAGTGATTTCGGGGCTTGTAAGCTCCACCCAGGCAGTTTCGGGCTTATATTCTGTCCGCACTGGATCGTCATAGTAGGATCCGGTGTGGACGGGCCTTACTGCAAATCCGTAGCAAACTTGATCTCCATACAGCCTCAGCGTCATGTGGTCTTTGTTCTGGCCCAATTGGTGTTGGATTCTCTCAACACTGTTATCCACTCTCTGCGCTTGGAAGGAAAACGTATATCCATGCTGCCTCATTTCGCGATCGTCCGGCGCGGCATACGCTGGTGCTTGCGAATCACCCACATAGAAAAGTTCCCACTCTCCACTGCTGTAGTCCCGGCATGGATAGGAGCGAAGTGGGTGGTCTTCAAGCATCAGCCAAGCACACACCTGCTGTGTGCGATCAGAGACATCGAGTGTAAAGGGCTCTTCGATATCGAGAGGCTTGTTCCACCAAGCCATGTAGATGCAAAAACAACAAACTGCGTGTAAGAGCACGTTCAGTTCCAGCAGGCTAATGGGAAGTCCAGTGACAAGTCGGCCGACGACTTGCAGAGAAAACCAGAAGGCTTGCAAACAGGGCAGGAACTTCCCTAATCCGCTGGCTTTGCTCTTGTCTAGTATGACTTGCTGTGATATGTCCGGCAAGATTTCCGGAGCGTATCGGGCGATTAGCCGCAATGCAGCAGGTTTTAGCATTCTGCGTGTCTTGTTCAAAAACGATCTGTCATACGGGCCGAGCAATGTGCTGAGATCAACAGCGAAGCCCCCCATAAGGGCCAAATGACTATGGATCCGAGTCCAACAGTGTGATCGGGATCCCGGTGACCCAATTGGAGCATAGTACTCTGGTGGAGGTTTTGTGGGTAACAGTCGTGCCATGTCATCGTCCAATCTGCGTGCGGCATGCCAATCTCTTAGAGCTATGAAAGCGACCTGTTACGCGATCAGTAGGTCGGGGCAACCCAGAAGACGTTTCTGATCTTACAACTTCAGGCGCGACAAGGCCAACAAAGCCCCACCATGCTCTATGGCGCATCTTATGCCACCACGTGGCCCTACTAGGACTGGGAATGTTTAAATGAAGACAACTGTAGACACACAGAATCAACGTGAAGAGGCACGTCGAAAGTATACCAAATGTGCCTCTTTCTCTTGGCCCTTCTTTCCACTGGCCTGTACTGTTGGCTGGAGCCTCTCCAAACGGTTCCCACATCTTCGGTTGTTGGACGTAAGGCGCTTTGGACCAAACCCCTTAAGATGAATAAAACTATTACTCGGGACGGGGAATGACGAAGCAAGACATCCTCTGAGGGTCAGGCCGTGCTCGTCGTGTCCACTCAGCCACCGAACAGCCAGACTGAGGCAAGAAACCGAGAACGGCTTCTTGGCCGCAGGCTGTTAGACATGGGTGTGCTCTCCATGATTTGACATCGTAAAACATCGTAGAATCTGCAGCGAAGCAACTCACATGTTCGACAATTCTTAGCAGGTATCGTGGATGTTTACGCAGGCGACATGAGATTGCAGTGTTTTGTCATCGAGTTTTGGGCTGAGCAGCTCCTACCGGTAAGCATCGCATCGCAGGCTCCACGCGCTAAACTGTAAGGGCTTGGCAAACATCGCCCGCACCTGCCAGCCTTTCCCGACCGGCTCGGCAATTCGCTTACGTCCTCTCGCTCATCCATAATTGGTCTTCTACAAGCAGCACCACAAAGTCTTAGTAAGCTCCAATGCTCTCGTCGTTCTCTCGCGGACCAATATGTCAACCACAGCAGTCGGCTCTGCAAGCTATCTCCGCATTGCGTGGTTGATCGTGAATGCTGGACAATACTACCTCCTATACGCGGACTCAGCTAAAGGCTATCGCTAACGAACGAACAGCATCCGCGGGAATCTTTCGAAGTGTCACATACCGTTTCCAGACTGTACGAGCGCCAGCACTACCTAAGGATGTACTCAATGCTGCTGTGCGTATCGTACCGGACCGTCTCACAATTGCAGACTCTCGGTACTTGACCGCGCAAACAAGTCATAGCTATGTGCAGTCGTATTACAAGCCTCGAGGCCTGGAGCCCAAAACGCTGAGGGGATGCTTGGACAGAAGCTTGTCTAAACCTGCCCGCCCTCTTGATGGAATGGCATGCATCAGGTCGTAAGCGACACCTTTCTCTGGTGGGAAGGCTACGAGTTGTTCGCTGACCCAATACGAGAGCTGAAGAAAAACTTCAAGGCAGGCTGGACAAGTGGAGGGGGCAAGCTCAGTAGGACTATCTCCTCGAGTCAGCAAGGGAAGCACACGTGGCGCGCATCGTTGATACAATGATTCCCAGTGCAAGGAGAGGCGACGTGCAAGTGAGGATTGAATAGTGGTTGAAGGGCCGACTGCGGCAGTGAGATCGGCGGTCGAAGGGTCCGCGGCACATCTTGCAAGCTTTCAGCTGCTGGGCTTGGTGCATGGTCGCTCGCTTAGTCAACCCACAAGCGGAATCGATAACCACACAGCGTTGGCGACAACGCCGCCTTGCCTGTCATCAACAGTCACGGCGCCTTCCTTGTCCGTCGCAAGCTCAGCGGCGCTAAATTAACAGCGTGTTTTAAACACACAACGCCGAAAGACTGTCTGACTTCACCATAAGGCGCGAAACTGTGCAAGATTCCCGATGGCGTTGGTCAACTCATGTTTAAGGACCGTGCGCTTCGACTACGACTAGGACTCAAAACCTTCTGGCAGTTGCCGGTACGCATAAGGATGGTACTGCAGGCGTCGACGTCACCGCTACTTGACCCTTGATAGTGACGGTATCGTCGGACTCGAGGGGGCATTGGCATAAGTGGATGCAGCTTCGACGCATGCTCACTTATGGCCAATTACCAAAACGTCGTAAGCAGCAGCCGGACTTTGGATACTGAGCTACGGAGATGTGATCGGCGAGGCCTCAAACATCTGTAGCCCCACCGCTAACTTACAACACATTCAGGTACGATCCGTGGAAGGGTCCAGACGTTGCGTGTGTGTCTTGCGGCATTTTCTCCCCTGGGATCTGCATACATTTTCAAGGAACAGCGCTCACGTGATGGGGCTGTGTAGAGCGTCTGCAGGTGCATCCGCTACACAGTAGACGCCGCCAAGCACTTTTGAAATGTTCTCACATCCCCACCGACGGCTCCTTCGATGCTCTCAGTTCCACGCCTGAGCGGAGCTGTTGCAGCTCGATGGTTGACAATGTCTTCGCCCTCCATCAAATTACTGGGGAAGATGAGGTGACTTTCCCCTTCAACATCAAAGACTATCAACGCTATGTCTTCGGGGATGACAGCCTAGCGTACCGTTTCGGTACGGACTGCGCTAAGGCCTTCATTGCCCGTTGCTCTGGGTCGAAGGCTGCGCAGCATACCACGACGACACAAACGAGCAATCAGAGCGCAGCAGATGACTTTGCAGTTGCCGTTCTACCCGACTATGTTCCGACGGCCACCCACAGCTTGCGCGATCATTTTGTCGCTTATCTGAATCGACACCTGCTCTCGACGAATGCAGATCCCGCAATCAAGATCGACATCAGTCTGGTGGAGGAAAGTTCGAGTGGGCAGAACGGATCGCAAGCAGGGACAGTGATCTACCGACTCGATCGTAAACGTGTGGGACGTAGGACCGTTATCGTCCTGAGCGACATCCGCTTGAGCCACGACCGAGAACGTCAGGTCCAGAAGTCACTCTGTTCCTCCAATGTCAACAATCCAGTTGTTTTCGCTTACCTCGCCTCGGTACTCGAGCCCTCGAAGGCGATTTCCCTTTCACCAATCCTGGGGTGTATCATCAGCCCCTCCCTGAAGGACGTCGAGGATATTGCGCACGGCCCCAATTTTGTCATGAATGCAAGCTTCGTTCAGTACATCATTGGGAAAGATGATCAGGAGTTCTGTCGCTTCCTGAGACGACAAGATGATGGCTTCGTGAGATTGCTGCTGGACCATACGTTTAGTGGTAGATATTACAGTAATGAGCTGTACCAAGCAAACGTCAGGTTCTTGCAATGGGAGGTTGGAACCAGAGAAAGTTTGTAGCATTTGTAAATGATTTTACGCTGCGGCTTCGCGCAGGTGCTCTGGTCGTTCCACGATATATCTTTCCAGCATGCCATATGGTTGGAGGATAGGTTAACTTATGAAATTAATAATACACACGTAACTAACTGAAGTCAAACATACAAACCCTATTCGCAGTAATCCCGAGTCATCGATCAAAGCTTCTTGCCCGGTTTATCGAAATGCGCTTGGAACTCCCGCACTGATCACGCACTCTCGCCAAAAGAACCGAAGGCAGTCCAGTCGTCAACTACAATTCCGTACAGTTAAAGTCCCTAAATTTCCGAAAACAGCTGGCTTTTGGTCTTCGAGGTGCTCGGCCCTCGCCAACTCCAACGAATATTGACTCTGGCAGCGGACTCCGACCGGTTACCAGTCAGCTTATAATTTCACCATTATTCCCACCAACGTCCGCAGGACGTTATACCGTGAACACCATTACTACAAGATCATAGCAAAGCACCGTATGCCAAGTACCGGTCTTTCAATTTCATCTGCTAGCAAGTGCGTTGGCTTCACGCCTGATTCTCAAAATCGAGTCCGTTCCAGGCCTACCACAATGCGCACAAAATTTCTAAGCATACCGGGTCAGGATATAGGTGGACTTTATGGGCGGCAAATGCTGTGCTCTTTCAGGTCGCTGTGTGAGCCCTCACATATTCGAAAATCTTACGCCGCGTCCGATCAAAATATCAGTTATTCTCCATGTAATATGTCCAGTGACAAGAGGGAGTACCTAACTGCAGCTGGTAAATTTCGCTATTCATAGTACCCAATGGTGCATACTAGGAGATGCCGCTTCGCCAGGCGAGCAAGTCAGGCGGAGAACGTGAGCGAAGGACGTTCAGCCGGTCAGCAGGCAGGACATCACTAGAAGTCAGCATTGTGAATGCAGAGTCACCTACGATGTCCTGTCAAGTTCAACAAGCGCTGTCCGCCTGGGAGTCCGAAGCACGAAGTCCGGTAGCGGCACCATGACCACCACCACCACGAGCACTGCAACATCAAGATCGCATAAAACACAAGAAAAACTCCACAAGAAAATCTACAGAATAAATCAAACCAACTTCACCACTCATTGCTGCACTGACTCTCGAGATGGTCCGCTCACTCCCCCTCCTCCTTGGCAGCGCCGCCCTGGCAGCCGCGCATTCCTGGCTCGGCTGCACTGATCAAGACAACGAACGAATCCTCGAATGGATGAAAGGCAACGCAACCGAATACCGAAAGCCTGGAGACCTCTTCGTCGATACCTTCGCTCCCGGGCTTGCAGTCTTCTGCCACGGCTGGCCGCGTGCAAAACACAACCCCGGAAACTGGATCGATGAATCCAGCAACTACCTCTGGGATATCGCAGCGCAACAGTTTAAGGGCGATACACATGCCTGTCACCCTAGTCAACGCAGTCCGACGTACTTTATGGAGGAGAATGCGGGGATGGCGACTGCAAAGCCGGGTGGTAGTATCAAGTTGATGTTTGGTGGGAATGGACACTCGAGGGGTGCGAATGTGGATGGTGGTGATCCGGGAAAGAGTGTCGTGTATTGGAAGGGTAAGAAGGAGGCCGAGATTGAGGACATCAAGGAGCTTACCAAGAAGAACAAGCTCAAGGAAATTGGATTTGCGGAGGAGGCATTTATCTGGCCGGAGGATCCGAACGTCAAAAGTCCAATTGAGGGCATGTTGGATAAGGGAAATTGGATGACGGTCAACATGCCGGAAGATATGGAGAAGGGAAGGCACATGATGGTTTGGGTATGGGAGTATGGGAGTAAGCCGAGGTGGAGCACTTGTTTCGATGTCATGATCGATTAGATGGGTAAGGCTACGGCTTTTTCAAGGGGCTCTGATGGATTTTAATGGTGTACTGGTGTCAAGGCGATAGGGTTTGGCTGTTAGATAGCACCTGGGCTTGAAACTTCGATCCTCACAGATGCTGGGCGTCTACTATCAACACCTGATTCTATACCTACTTATCATAGATTTCTTGTAAAAAATTCTCAGAAATACACGATACTCGTTACAGATCCAATGCCAAATATGCAACATGGGATCAGATGCATGAAATCAGCTTCCAATTCCGGCATCGCAACGTCTTCCAACTTCAGCTTGCTTTATCACTAGCGAAAACGGCCCCGACTCCCTCCATGAGTCTGCGTGTCGCAAAGACACTGTTACTATCGGCAGCAGCTACTCTTCAGTCAAACTCATCATCGCTGCGTCAAGAGAACAGAAGGTCACTTGCGAAAGTACCACCTCGGTCACGGACTTAAGATCAAGTTGCTGGGTGACAGAGCGCTCCACTCATGGGGTTCTTCGATTGACTTTTGCTCTACCATATCGCCAAACCTCGAGCACGCCAGAATATGGGAGAATTGTCAATGTATGCTCCGTGTGAACTGATCGAGACGGAAGGCCCAATGAGGACTTCTTTATTAATACAGCTATCAAGCAGAGAATCGATATAGGGTGGCGAGATGGGTGCGGCCGGAACAATATATCAGGGTATGGAAGAGGTCTCTCCGCGCACCCATATTTCACCTTGGAGCCGCTCAGAATAATGAATGTGAAGTATTCTGTGATACTATTTCCAGCGACCTCGGAAGGATTGGGCTTACTAAGAACCTGTCCTAGAACGATATCGTCACCACTAATACGCTTATCGCAGCGCAGGCAACCGTCAATCGCTACAGACATTACATACCTCAGCAATACAGTCATCTAGCTCATATATTCATGTGTGATGGAGGTACTAAAAACTCAAATATCATGTCTAAAACGCTTAAGTCGTTTTCCGGCACGAAGGTTATGGTGGTGGACGATCACGTCGATGAGGCCATAACATATGCTTGGCAAGTATAGAAGTCGCCTTTAGTCGCAGTAGCCCTAATCTTGGGGAGTTCCTACCAACAGATTATGCGCGAGGGCATGGATATCAGTGGCAAGCAAAATGAGCTTCGCCCCGTGACGGGAATGGTCAACTGGAAGTACGAGATAATCCTCAGCAACGATTGGTAGACAAAATGATATCCGCAGAAGTCGCATAGTCTCCACCTCGATTGGATGTATGACGGAGATGGAAAGTAGATGTCGTACTATAGGTAGACCTAGCTGTCATCGATGTGCGCCACCTCAGCTTTCTCAGCACTCCGTAGCCGGAGTCGCTCATTTAGCCTCAACTCGGTTACATAAATGCTCCTTGATCGATGTTGAAGCCAGCATTGGGAAATATGAGAGCCCACACTTGATCATTCATGAAGTCTAGATCCAACGTTGGCGGGCCTTGTGACGAGAAGTTTCCGACGTTCTGATCGTCGTATGCCAAGATGGCGTCGGCTGGTGGTGAATATTGCGTAAGATTGAACAGATTCCGCAGGATTGTGTGGTCCGTGACTGTGGTAGGCACATCTGGATGTAGTGGTGTACGATGCTCTTTGATCGATGCGTACTCAGCGAGAACATTATGCAAGAATACAGCTTGCAGGGAACAGCTCGTATAGCTTGGCGCTCGAAAAGCGGCGAGAACATTCGCTGTGTTGTTGCTGATGCTTTCCAAGGCTCGCGATTCCATCTCATTTGAAATGTAGGCTGGTGCTGAAACAAGGAGCTGCTTTGGTGTTTGTGACCACGTGGCTCAGATCACATGATATCCTATTGTAGCAGGCACTGCCCGGTGGGCAAGTGCACTTACCTGAGAGCTGAGAGCTTAAACAACAAAACAACACAACATGACAACAGATAGCAATACACTCGTTGATCACAGTCTTTGATCGACACTGCTCACGCAGTTACAGTGTTAGATCCCCGACTGTGAAAGCAACAGAGAGCAAGTACCTTGATTAGGAATACTGTTGCATAAGCAATCATGACATGAACAGAGTCTTGCGCAAAGTACACTAGCTGAGAGGCCAAAGGTTCAGATACGAGCTTGAGAATGTCCAGCGCGCTCGAACAGCTGTTCCAAATCGCTTCTATGTCAACTGAAGTTTCCATATCCCTTAGTCGCATCGATGCGCGTAGTGGGGATGCGAATAAGAGCAGCCGTGCGTAGCTGCCATAGAACGGTATCAAGAAAGCATGACAGTCCTCACCATGACCAGTAACCGTCTCGGCTCATCTCTTCTGCCAGTCGATGATCTACCTGTCAAGCAAACGTAGCAAGGACCGAAACTGCGCGGGTTCGTGACGTTGATGTTGAACATACTGTGCCGTCATCATCTCAAAGTGGGTGGAGGTGATGAAGCGGAGCGAAAAAGATGCGCTGAGCAGCCGGTTGTTGGTAAAATCAAGAGCATGTGAGTGTCCGTCGCTCACTACCTTCACATAGCTGCTCCTCTTGATCATCCAGGGTTTGCCTGTTTGCATACTTATGCTGTGTACCAGTTTAGATCTCCCGAGGGCGCCCACACTTTTCTGTCACGTACCTTCGGTCATGCACAAACAACACCAGCCAAGTTCTCTCTATATTTCGAAATTGCCTCACCTGATGGTCGCACGTGTTCTCCGGGGTTTCATCTCAGCGGTACCAAGTTGGTGCCAACCGAGCTCAATGGCCATCCTGATAGCAAGGCCTACAGAGAGCCATGCAAGGTTGTCGTCGGGCTTCTTCCAATATGTCAGTATGAGAATTGCGTGTATAGTCTCCGTCGACTTGAGCCACAGCGAAAATGATCCATGAATACTCTTTTAGCATGATTGAGCAGAACGATGTACAATGAAGGGTGCAATAGCTTTGCCGCTGCTGCTAGAACAGCGGTCAAGAGGAGCCGCGACGTCTCCCGGACGTATCCAAGCGTGTGTAGGTAGCAGTCCAATTGGCTGATGAAAGGGTTGAAATACTTCATGAAGCCATCGAACAGGGAGGTAGCATCGTGAAAGTTAATCAACCCGTTGTCGATAGGGTCGTCGTCCATAGCGTACTGTGTGCTGTATTGTGGCTCAGCTCCGTGCTCAGTGCGAAGTACGGATTGCAAAGAGAAATCTCCTCTTGTAGCCTGCCGGCTCAGAATGTCAGGAGGCCGAAAGCCGTTGCTTTGCGTCCAGAAACCTTGACTTGAACATTGCGTTGGCTGTGCATCAGAGTAAAATCTAGAAGTGGATGTTCGGGCGCCAGGTGCAGATCTTATCGGTACGGTAGGGCACTCGCGTCTCATTATGGGTTGTTTGCAAAAGGCTGGCTACACCCCGTGATTTAGTGCGATAAAGTGACGCTAGATGTACCGTGCCGGAGCTCGTGCCGCACGGTTCCGCGTTCCGCACGCGATCACCAAAACAACGAAATATCCTCAACACTACAACTCAACAACGCGATGACTTTAGAAGACGCACTTAAAGACACACGCGCAGCTAATGCGCGCGGTGAACTTTGCTACCAAAAAATTGCAGAT